TGTATGCAAGTGGTTACAGATTGAGCATAAACCCCAATCTCTTAGAGAGTGATTCGATTCCAGTCAGAAACCCATCCCTAGAAAATTAGTATGTTCTTAAAATGACAATGATTCGGACCAAATTTCACTCTATGAAATCTATTACACAACCATAGCTCATCATATCCAATTAAAACCTTTAGTGATATCTGAAACACTCCTTTCGTGACATTGCTACTTGTAGGCTATGAAAGAAGGTTTTGAGCTTTATTTCCAGTACATAAGGTTCGAAAATTTCCCGTGCCAAGTCTCGAACCCATGATCGCTGTGTTGGTTTTGAAATAACTAGGTATCGAACTAGGTACAAAACCATTCCGGCACCAAACCACTTTAGCTCACGAATTAATACCTACAAAAGCTAAAAATGAGCACAAAAATCCATTCATCATCCTCAAAAAAGTAGAACAGAAAAAAAAATCTCATTACTTTGAACTACTATTGCACCATATTCCAATCATTATTATTACTATGCCTTATGCATAAAAATGGAATAAAGTAAAAATAAATGAAGTAAAGGAACCAATTAAAGGTGCATGAAGTACAAAAAAAGTAGCAAGTACTACAGCATAACAAAACGGTGGAAGTAAGGAAATTGAGTATAATTTGATATAATTATTTTTAATACGACTTCCTCATACACCTTTCATTAGATAGCTGATAAATTTTTCATTTCCATTTTTTTTTCTTGTATTTTGTGTTGGCACCAGGGGCGTGTTTTGGGGTGGAATGTCGTGACTTCATTGTTATGTCAACGACTATACTCTATTTAATCATTAATATTATTGGATTTAGCAGGAATTGAACCAAAATCTAGACAAAAGATAGGGTTTAAGTTTTCTGAGGCTCTGCTTAGCCACTCGGCAGCAGAGGTCTTATATTTGCTTTATCAGATTAACATTAACGTAGTTTAGTATCTTAATTTACAAGCTCTTCCAAAACCACATTAAAGACGCTACAAAAACCATTAAAAATTGAAATTCCCATTTTGAAAAAATTACTGTCTGCACCCCTGGATATCACGCTAAATTAACCGTGGACATAGTACACAAAAATTAATCGTATAATCATAAACAAAACAGAAAAAAAAATAATAATTTCCACCCACAACGGATGAGTTTGCAAAGTAATTGTACAGCGTAATATGCTCGATATTGATATACACCATGATGACGCAATAATGATTTACGTACATAATGATAAAACACCCCCCTTACCTCCACCAACACTAACCCCTTTTTTGTCAGCCTCAATATCTCTCTCAACTTCCCTCAATCATTTAGTTTGAATATTCACGCACTTGACGTAGGCTAACACATATTTAGATCATTCCAACATCAAAAATATGTATGCTTGTGTATAACAGCAACAAAAAAAAAGCATGAAAACCACATTGTGATGATAAAAATGAAACATTTTCGGTGGGATGTTTGGGAGGTTGGTACAAGAGTGGAATGAGGAAGAAAAGCTTCCATATCCTTCCTTTTTGTTATATAATTAATAGCCACAAAACATTTAATTTATCCATAATTCAATTGATTTTTTTTTTCTTAATCAATTTATAAATGATTTGATAATTAAAAATTGTAGCTGGATAGGCATGCAAAACAATAATTTCATTAAGAAAACATTTATGGCGCAATTTATTGAATTTTACAAAAGAGAGAAAGAGAAAAAAAGTTTTGAGAACGAAGCCTAAACTCTCCCGTATACATTTCAGTTGAGGTAGCAAATGTGTGAGGAAGTGTGGGAAGAGGTTGATGATGATGAAAAAAAAAGTTTAGGTTATCTGCGATGAATTTGAATGCGCAGTCGCAAAACTGCTATAATTTTTCCTCTACAAAACATTTTTTTTTACTAGAAAGCACCAAAAGAAGCTTTTGCGTCTGTGTTGATGCTCCGTCGTCTACTGTTTTGTAAAAGCATTCGCACTGCACACTATTATGACTACGATACGGGTTCTGAAAAGCTCAACGAAAACATCGTTGTGAAATAAATTTCTTCTGTGTGCCATTGTGCAGCACAACAAGCATGAAAAATATGAAAAAAATTTTCAGTGATTGACATGACAAAAAAAATATATTTTTCAAGGTATTTGTATGAGTTTTTACGCTGCACTTTTGCGCCCTCATTCAAAATTGTTATTGCAATTTTCTGTTGTTTTTTTTGCCAACGACAGAGAAAATTGCTCGCAGCAAGGATATGTAGAGCACATCGGAAGTTACTTACTTCCATGTAATTTACAATTTACTATAGCTTATAGTAGTAAGAAGTTGTAATATCCATGCACTTCCACAACATTCCGCAATGCACAAAAGAGAAAAAAAATGTATATTACAGTTACGTCATAACTTGACCTAGTTCTGGCATTCGTTCTGAATATCATCATCATCACAGTCATCATCATTGTTCTCCATCTTCTTTTATTCATATTTATTTACCTTTTTTGCTGTTATTGTACACACCGCATCGTACGGTTTATTTCTTATTACTCCACTCATATTTATTTATCTTTTTTTTAATGTTGTTGAGCAGCAGAAGCGGCAAAATTATCGATTAATCATACACACATAATATTTTTGTGTGTGGCCCCTAGTTCCTTTCTTCTCGCTTTCTTTTATAAGTTTTTTTTTGCGGTATTTAAAATTGTAATTAGCGCGTTTCTGTGCTTAAATGTTTCAGAAATGTCGACTTAATTTTAAATATTTTTATTTTTGATTTCTGACTGGTTAAACACTCATGGTTGACTAATTTGCATTTTGAAGGTGATGATTTCTTAAGCATAATTAATAGGTCAGTAGATCTTGTGATGTATTTTGGACATATCAATGACTTTTGTAGAACCAAGGTTGTAACAACGTGATGAAGAAATTTTCCACAACTTCAATCAATCATTAAATATTTTTTTCATCATGTTGTTTTCCCCTTGTTTGGAACTAAAATGTTAATTAGAACACAAATCGATATCTCATGCATTGCAATGAAATAAATAAAAAATCCGGAATATCACAGAACATTGATATTAATTCAAATTTATTCTTAATAACCGATTAAATATCGTGTGTTTTTAATTTAATATCCAGAAAAGAATAAAAACATGCAGCTCGTGATGATGACAAGCCAATCTTCCGCATATTCTTTTCTTTCTTTTGAAATCTTGATTATTGCAGATGATTTTCAGAGTCGTTTACCTGCACCCGATCGAAACATATTGAAAAGTTTTCAATGCGGCTGTCAAAGAGTCTACTTAAAGGCAATCAGTAGCTCCTAGGAATGGGAGCTTCTGTGTCTTTCTTATCTCTACTTTCTAAGATGATGCAATGTGACTCACTTTGTCGAGCGGCTGTTGCTAAGGACTGAGCTACTATCTGCTATGGTATACAAGGATATACTAGTACTGGATGGCTTCCTTATGGCATCTTCCACACACGAATTGTGACTAGGAACATTGCAGGATACATCATGTCTTATAACGTTCTCATGTCTTTGCAATGTGCAGAGCCTGCAAGTGGATCGGATCCCACTATAAACTGTAGATCTCTAAAGGGTGTGGTACAAGAGATTCTTTACAAATTGAATCTCAGTGACTCCAGCTGAAAGGCTGGGCCCTTCATACATTATTATTATTATTATCTGCTGATCTGTGAATGCGGCTGCAATAAATATGTGCAGATCGGAACAGTTACCTGATTCACATTAATTAAGGCTTTACATTATTCCTGATTACCTTAAAAGGAAGTGTATTTTAATGTGAATCAGTTGATGAGTTTTTTTTCCAGAGATGTTAAATGAGTCTAACTGGTGGCTTGTAATTGACAATCATCTAATCGGGATTTTCAGGCTTCGTACCTTCTACCAAAAATAATTTTTAAGCTTCTAAAGTTCATGACAAATCAACAACTTTGTTGCTACTCTTAAAAACTAGATTAATAAAATACATAATTATTCAATTGGAACTGCATGGAAGTGTCTTCACGTCACATTCATCTCAAACACACCCAGCAAGTATTAAAATTTCAAGATTGCATAGATTCAAAATTCCGACCATGACGTCAAAAAAAGAGCAAAAAAATTTAAATTTGAACTTGAAAAATCAAGGTGGACTCATTTGAATGAAGATGATGAGCAGTGGGTCATAAAAGTAAGATGAATTCGCAACCAGTTACTTTTTAGTGTTAAAGATTGAGTTCACTTTATTTGGTAATTATTAGGAGTCGTACTTAAATTAAGTAATGCTTAAACTTGGCCCACTTGCCTCGTTGGAATGAATTTTCTTAAAAATTTAAACAAAACTCTGACTGATTTATAGGGGCGAAGACAGGAATTTGAAGAGGGGGGGGGGGGGGGGGGGGTCAAAAAAAATTTTATATGGAAAATTCAGAGGGAAAGGGGGCAGAATGCTTCCTAGCAAAATGAAGAAATTTCTGTTATCGTCAAGAAATTTGTCCCCCAAATCCCCCCCTCGTTACGCGCCTGTGGATTTATAATTTCCCCCTTCCTTCCAACACTTCTTATTGACGAGTTAAGTCATTTTCACGCCATGTCCAAAAGTAGTAAAAACTCTAATGATCCCCAAATCCGATTGATGAATTAAGGTTCGCAAAGACTCAAAAGATTAACTTCAAACAAAAGCAAAAGATGTCAATAAAATCTGAAAAAATGTTCAATCAACAAAGAAGAGAAAATAAGAAGAACGGAAACAATTGGCAAGAAGCAGAGAAATCGGTCAGTCAGTCTAAGTATGTTACGGTCAAATCTTAACATATTTAAAGCGACGATGAGAGAAAAAAAAAGACAATAAAAAATCCTGTTTATCAATGACCAACTCTGACATTCAAAACCATTTGACAAGACATCTTTTTTTTTCTCTCACTTTGCGTTGCAAAAAATGTGTTGGATAGAAAAAAGTTTTAAAATTCTTTGAAGCCGTTCAGTTTAATTTCAGAAGTTGTATTGAACTAACGCGTCAGTGATGCCGTTATGGCGAGAAAATTTTCAATTTTACGTTATTTTGTTATTTACATGTGTTGTACATTTTGTCTACACCGAAAAATATTATCCAATTTTGTTATGGCATTCAGCCGGTATGATTTAATAATTATCCAATAATTGAGTTAAAATTGTTTGGAGTTGGATTTTTTATAGTGATGAAAATTTTGTCAGAATTTTGTCTGTTGTCTGATAGAAGCTCTGGAGCTTTAGATTAAGCTAAAACTCCAAATTTCAGTCTTAAAAATTCTTACAAAGTTTCCTACTTTAGTAACCTCCACTCAAGTTCAAAACCTATAAAAAAAATCCCATCAAAAACAATTTTTCACTAAAATACTCACTTTATCATGTCAACTCAGGTGAAACATGCTGTGATACGGAGTCAAGAACTTATGTAAACTTTATTACCAAGGAAATGGGAAATGACGTTCATGTTAGGTCAGTTAAAATAGGAAATACGACAGAAGAGGATTTTACAAATAGTCTCGTTATGCATCCTTTTCAACAGGCAAGTATAGTCTAAATATATTGTTATTATCATTGTTATGAAGTTATTGAAAGGGCACAAAAGGCTACAAAATATATTTTTTTGTTCATGTTGATTCCGGCTTTTTCAATTTGTACGGATGTGGATGTAGATTAGTGCTCTTTTTTGTCGACTGGATATTTTATGCAGCATTTAAGGATTTAATTTTTGTGTCGATAGTTATTGAGAATTTATGGATTTTTTTTTGAATATGTTTTGGGGGGTCTGGATTGGATTTTAGAAGAAGTTAAGTTCATAGACTTGTGTTTAGGAGTTTTGAGGGGTTTGTTTCGTTCTATAAATCAAGACAAGATTAAGAAGCTTGATTAAAATTAATTAAATTAATCAGCACTCAATTCATTGATCAATTAAATGCAACAACCTCAATGATACCCAAACACACCCTTTCCCTAACCCAAATTGACCAAAAACATCTTCATTAATCCAATCTTTTATCTCCAGACCTTGCACAATAAACAAATTTCTCAGAAATAACCACAACTATCTGTATCTCATCCCAAAACCATAACAAAACATTAATTTTTCAACAGCATACCTTTATCACAAACCAGAATCTCTCAATAGGCTTTCATCCTAATTAAATTACAATAATTTGCCTCCTGAATAGCCCGGAAAAAAATATTCAATCTAATGAAAATTAAATGTTTATTAAGTCAATATTAAAAGTTCATTTACTAAGTGGTTTTGTGTGAGAAAATAAAATAACATAAAATTGGAATGAACCTTGACTGTTGATGCAAAAAAAAGTTTCGGTTATTTTTTTATTGATTATAGTTTTTTTCTCATTCTCATGGTTTTTCATTAGATTTTTGACGTGAGATTTTTCTGTGGGTTATTTTATATTGGGAAGGTTTTGAAAATAGAAGGTAAGAGGTGGAGTGGTGTGTGCTCCAAATAATGAAGCCTGGACAATTCACATCCCTAAAATCGGCAGTTTTCTAAGTCTATCCGAGGACTTTATATAGAAACAATAAAAACCCAAAAAATACAACAATGTAGAGTATAAACACAGTTGAACTTACACTAGAACAGGACGTCACAGACAGTCCTAGAAACTGACTCATGCTACCCCCTCAGATTGTTTCAATTCTACTTCCTCTGAATGCCATTTGTAATAACCTGGTGTAATAAACTTAATTCTATTCTACCTTAAACTGCCATTCATAAAAAAATATTGTAACAAAAATTTTACTTCCATAGTTTTTAGAAGTTTTTTAAAAACAAATCTAATTTTTTTGTCAACAAGCTATTGATACTTCTGGTTTAGATTCAAATTAACTTTTTATTATTTTATTTGTTTTTTCTACAATTATTTTAGATTGAAATGGTGTGTAACAAGCTGAAAAAAAGTGAGGCATACAAAAATGGATATAACGGAATTGGACTTTCTCAGGGAGCTTTGTTTCTGTAAGTAAGAATTTCTAATTTTCTGGGTTTTTTTCAGTTTCGTGATTTGTGATGTGTGCTGGGAAGTTCCAACTTTGTTCTTATCATTCGTTAGTCTCCAATCCCACGTAAAGAGTTAGAATTATTCCCAAGAAAAAGTTGATTTTGTGTGTTTAAAAGACTTGACTGAGTTGTTAACTCGATGAAGAAGCGAAAATGACCTAACGAAGGATTTACCCATGCTGTAACCATTAGAAGACAGGAGGATGAATTTGATCAAAATTACAGCTCCGGTGACCTTCAAACTTCACATTTGAACTTGAATTCTTCACGATCGATGCAATCTGCATAAAAATTAAGTGAAAAACACAATCAAAAACTAGTTCATCAAGATTAGCAAAATACAATACATAGGGTTATATACTAGTGACGTCCCAAAATTAGTTGATGATTTTGTGACAGAAAAAAATTTTTATGAAAATTATGTGACATAAAGGGGGGGGGGGGGTGGGGGTCTAAAAACCTATTTTATAGATTGTGTCAAAAGTTAAGCTACCCTTTTTATTAATTGCTAACCTTCACTCAGAGTTACAACGATTTCGCGGCTGATTCCGAACCTCAAAGCATCACTAGTATTCAAAATATGTAGATTCCTAAATACCATATAGATAGCAAAGTTATGCACGAAATGCCACACATTTATGATGTCGCTTTTATTGAAATTTCATAACGACTGAATAAAATATTCGCAAAAGTTATCTGCGAACCTTGAAGTGACACTATTCAATGTCTTTATCAAAGTTAACGATGAGACAATAAAATGTGGCATTAATGTTGATAATTTATGGCTTTCGAGCTAGTATCAATATCCAAAGTTATTTTGTCGCCACAATGTCTGTGCCGTTTTGTGCGATCGTTAACAGTAAACCTTGGCTTTGCAAATTAGCAATCATATGATCATTTTTGGTCTTTTTTATCCATCTGTCTGCTGCTTTCTCTTTTATTAAGGAGAGCTAGATGCTAATGACTTATTAATTTCTTGATTTTTGAGTAAAAGAAATTTTTATCAATTTCCAGAAGAGGCTTAGCAGAAACATGTCCATATCCACCAATGAGGAATCTCATCTCACTTGGTGGACCACATCAAGGTGTCTATCAATATCCAAGATGCAGCCAACATATTGGAGAAACCCAATGCAATTTGTTGAAATTAAAAATTAATTTTCTAGCTTATCACAGGTGATTTTATAGCATCTTTTAAAAATATCAATAAACTTTACATCTTCATCTTCAACAGAGTCTTTCAACGATCTGTAAGTCCATTAACCTATTGGCATGACGACATCAATGAATTCCGGTATAAACGTGGAAGTAGTTTTCTTGCAATAATAAACAATGAAAACTTTTATAATCCGGAATATGTGAAGAATTTACAATCACTAAAGAGACTTGTGCTTGTAAAGTACATGAAAGACATTTCTGTGATACCAAATGAGTCAACACAATTTGGATTTAGGGATGGGTATGGAAGAGTCATAAGAATGGAGGATACTGAACTCTATAAGAAAGACAGAATTGGACTGAAGAGAATGAAGGAAGCAGGAAAGCTGATGATGCTCGATGCTCCTATGGAGCATCTTGATTTAAATGAAAAATGGTTCAGGCAGAATTTAATGTCAATTTTAAAAGAGGTTTAATAAATTAAGAGTTTTAAAATAATTTAATCCATTTGATGTTCTTTATCCGTCAACGTAATCAGGTCATTATATCTTGTCACATGTCATGAGCATGATAATAACAAATTGTGAATTAATTTGCAAATAAGATTAATTTCATTTCGTTGAGAATTAATTGTGCGACTCAATCGTTCAGCTTAACGGAACAACGACAAAAGGTGTCAATTTTAAAGCTTGTGAGTGAGCAAATAATTCTTATTTGTCACACTTTTAATTCTTATTTACATAACGTAATGGACTTCATTCATACAAGAGATAATTGTTATTGGTATAAACTTTATTGCTTTGTCATTGCGTATAGATTGCAAAGGTATGAGAAGCAGTATTATAGAGGTTTTGTAGAGATAAGGTCTATTATTGATTTTTTTATATAGAGTTTTAAGCATCTTCTTTTGATGCACAACGGAATACACGAGTTACTCAACCATGTTCTTAGAAAAACAGAACCTAATCAGCTCGCATTAAAATGTTGTCCACAGTAGGGAGCACCCATGGCTACCCAAATGGAACAAGTCGGTTAATCGATCAGAAATCTGGCACCAAGCATGTGTGACTCTGGCATGATGCTGATCATTCAAATCAAAGTCAGCACCATGCCCGTGTCATGCCATCTCAGTACCGGTTTTCTATATAATTAACCGACTAGTGCTATTCGGGCTACATCTTAGCATCCAATTGACATACACTCAAAAATGGTATTCAAGCCTAGGATCTGAGGCCCTCTTCTTCAGCATTTAATAATTTAGGACCCTCTCCCTTCCTAAAAATTCAACTATTTTAATGAACAATCTCGGTCACAAAATGTAGGATAATTACTTCGACCAGTGTTACTCAAAATTTTTTGGTCCACGGAACATTTTTTTACATAAAAATTTTTGCGACACACTAGTGTAATTTGAGAATAGCTGCTTTAGACAATTGCCCATATATCTCGTTCAAATTAAGGAAACCACGTCATAAGCTTCATTCTCAAGTAAACTGTGTTAAACTCAGCTTAAATTTCTCCTCACTTAATTGATTCACTCACGTTTCACATTCTTCATATTCTCACAAACAGAGACAAAAGGGATTTCCCAAGATTTCATCATCAACTTTAAATAAATTACGTCATTTAAATGCCAAAAGAGAAGTCATTCGGAAGAAATGAAGCTTCTCTCACCATGACCATGATCTTACACTATAAACTTTCAATTTTTAGTAATAAAGTAAATTTTTTACAGCACTTGAGATCATCGACCATTTTGTTCTTCACTTTTGGGAATGTCGATGAAGATGAAAAGGAAATTTTTGCATGCATGACCGGGAAAAAAATTATTTTGAATATAAAAAAAAGTTCATTACATTTTTTGTGTGCCTTGAATTCGGATGTGTTGATTAAGCAATGAAGAAATATTTTGTGATTTTATCCATTACAATAACATTCCTTTGTTCTGTTCAGTCAAATGAGCCATTGCCAATTCTGTTTTGGCATTCTGCGGGTTTGTGTGAAAAAATTCTAAAGCAAAAAAGTTGTTTAATTTTATTAAAAGAATTTCAATTTTTCTGCTTTTGTGTAGGCGAGTCATGTTGTGAAAAGGAATTTGAGGCATATGCGAGTGTTATAAAGAGATATTTGGGCAGTAATACTTATATCAAGTCTGTTCAAATTGGCACCAGCATAAAAACTGATAAACTATTGAGTCTTACAATGCATCCGTTTGACCAAATTGAGGCAGCTTGTAATGATATTAAAACTGATGTAAATTTTTCCAATGGATATAATGGAATTGGACTTAGTCAGGGTGCATTGTTGTTGTAAGTTGATTAATGAATTTTAAAGATTACTGTTTAAAATTTTGAATATAAAATCAGGAGAGGATTGGCACAAACATGTAACAATGGACCAAAAATGAGGAATCTCATATCACTTGCTGGTCCTCAACAAGGAGTTTATCAGTATCCAAATTGTGGGAAAATTAAACCAATTTTGTGTGCCGGAATAAATAAGTTGATATACAGCAGGTAAGTACAATCTATAATTTATATGTGTAGCCATTAAAACTTTAATCCCATTAGACCTACTCAAAGTCTACTTGCTCCTGCAACCTATTGGCATGATATAGTTGAGGAACGATATCTAGCTGGCAGTACTTTTCTAACAGCAATCAACAATGAATTAGAAATAAATGAAGGATACAGAAACAACCTGAAATCTCTCCAAAAGCTTATCTTAGTAAAATATGATCAAGACACATCAATTGTTCCTAATGAATCAGCATTCTTTGGATATTTCGATAGTGATAAGAATGTAGTTCCGTTGGTGCTGAGTAATTTATATCAACTAGATAAGTTAGGTTTGAAAAGTATGGATGAGAATGGAAAATTGGTGTTTCTTACAGCTCCTGGTGCTCATTTAGATTTAAATGAAATTTGGTTTGTAGAAAATATTTTGCTATATTTGAGGAATTGATGAATAAAGTTTGAAGAATTTTAAAAAAAATGCTGTTGGCTGTTTGTTGTCAATTTTGTATTTGATGGTCATGTGCATGATACGAGTCCTTGCTATATCAACGTAACAGCTATCAATGCATTGAGAGATTAGCTTTTGATGGGAATCAAATCTTAGTCCTCACAAAAGAAGGTTACAAATAACTGACTTATTCTTTAGCCTATATAGGCTTATTACCCCAGTTTCTATCTGCTTAAACCTAACAATCTTAACTCTCATCAAATAATCCTTCTTATTTTCTAATCTTAATCATCATTTTTAAATTTATAACAATTGGAAATTACAGCAATCACAGAAACAATTCTTCAAGATTATGAAAATTGCTGAAATAATGTCAAAAATAAAGAATTCAATCAAAGGTAAGGCTTCCCTTAATCATTCTCCACCATCTGCCTTATAAACTTTATCGTAGGTAATAAAAATCTCAAGAAGTCAACTCCAAATTTGCTGGCAATACCAAATTATGTTTGCTTTAAGAATTATGAAGAAGGTCAGGTCTACAAGGAACACATTCAAATTGTCAATAAGGATGTTGTAAGTATTTTTATATCAATGTTACATTCAGCTGCTTTAACGGTTTTAAATCCTCAGAAATCATTCCACATCTCTATCAAATTCGACAATCCAGATGAAATCAAGCTCTCAACTCTAAGTCAAAATCGACATACTATCCTCGAAAGTGACGATGATATGCTTTTAGAAATCGAATTCCGTCCAAATTTATCATTTAACAAAGAATCAGTTGATAGACGCTATGAAATTTCCATAAATATCGACAACTCCAATACTAAACTTCTCATTCCAGTTGTCATTTTATCACCAAATCCATCAATAAATTTCCCAAGAGAAATTCAACTTCCGGACACAGCAATTGATACGCCTGCATACACAAATATTTGCGTATTAAATTATTCAAATCTTCCGTATAAATTTTCAATTGACACAAAATGTAAAGTCAAAATTATTCCAGAATGTAAAGTGAAAGCAATGAAGCCAGGAGATGGAATAACATTTTTGGTCGAATTCATTCCAAGAACGTTAAGTGACTTCCGTGAGAAGATTTACATATGTTTGGATAATGACAAGAGGATGTCAATTTTACTAAAATGCAATGTACTTCCAGTGAATGTTTTCATGAGTAAGTTACAAAATTTTAATTGAATTCTGAATTTATATTTTACATCACATTCATTTCAGTCGAAGACTATATTGAATTTCTACCTACATTAATTGGAATGGGGGATATGAAATCCATTCAAATTGTGAACAATAGTGCGACTGCAACACTCTTTGAATGGATGCCTATTGAAAATCACTGTGCGAATGAAAATAATGAAGAGCATCCGTCATTAAAATTTCTTGAAATATATCCGATGGTAAAAATATAAAATATTTTCTTGTCATATTGATTTTTAACTTGATTATTTACACAACCGTTAGGGGTTTGATTTGATTTTTTATAGAGGTTGATGAACTGAGTTGTTGTTAGGGCTTCTGGGAATTTTCATCGTAATCTGTTACAGTGATTATGAAGTGCTTGTTGAGGATAGATTGCGATTTAATTTAGTTATTGTAAATTTGTATAATAGGAAGTAAAGTTTGGGGTCATTCATTGGTAACCATAGATTAAAATCAGTTGAGTTTGAGTGATGGAATGGGTGGTGGAATGATTTAGTACTTCAGTATCTATTTAATGCAAAACAGACACAGCGATCATGGGGTCGAGACTTGGCATGGGAAATTGTTTGCTTGTCCTTTTTCGGACCATATGTACTGGAAATAAAACTCACAGCCTTACGTTGTAGGCTACAGTCAGCAATGTTATCAAAAGATCCAACTTTAAACTGTAGGTCTAGGTTTGAGTTTAGTGGTTTGGTGCGTTCTCAGCTCCCATTAGCTGGCATACCCGAACATACAATGATGGCAATCATTCCTACCATCACTCAAACGAGTGAAGCTATACTCACTCACATACATTAAGTGAGTACGCTACTTTACCCATCTGATTGCCATCACGTGATGGTAATCATGATGGTCATCAGTGATGACTTAACTTGCATAAAAACTTGCATCCAAGTTAAGCCATCACTGATGATCATTATAACTGCCATCACATGATGACCATCAATTAAAGCATGTTGAGTACGCTTCTTTACCTTTGTGATTACCATCACATGATGGTAATCATGATGGTAATCAGTGAAGGCTATCATGATGACAATCACTGACTACTCAAAAAATAAAAGAAAAAATTATTTTTTATATTATAACTTAATTAATTTTTAACTTTTTGGCTTAGAGGATTTTTTATAAGCTGAAATTTTGTAGAATTATTATTTCCTTAATTTTTATATCATTAGTATTGAGATTAGATTAAAATTTTACTTGAAAAATTACCGTTTTTGCTGAGATTCGAACTCACACCTTCTAGATCACTCTTCATTGCAGAATCCTTTCACTTGTCCTCTAAGCCATTACCTGTTAAAAAAAATTTTTTTTCGGCAATTTGACATATTTAAATGTCCTATTTTTTTAAAAAAATAAACTTGCATATTTCTTCGATGTTTATGCACTATTTCATGAAATTATTAATTAATTTAACTAATATTTTATCATATGTACTCAGTGAATACAATCATGATTATCATCACCGACTACCATCAGTGATTACAATCCTATTACACACAGTTTATTTCACAATAAAATTTAACCAAAATTGAAGAATTTATAAATTAGATTTTGACCATTCTTGGTCATTCTAATCAGTTACACGCCTTCATGATTGCAATCACATTTAAAAAGGAAGGGTATCAAATGTTGGTCATCAATGAGTGTAGTCGTGATTGCCTTTATGATTGCCATCACATTTTATAATTTAGGGAATTAAATTATGGTCATCAATGAGTGTAGTCGTGATTGCCTTTATGATTGCCATCACATTTTATAATTTAGGGAATCAAATGATTGTCATCAATGAGTGTAGTCGTGATTGCCATCTTGATTGTAATTACGAAAAAAATCTGACATTCGAAAAAAAATTCTGTCATTCAAAAAGTTTAAGTTTTAGTGAGTACAGTAATGATGACCATAGTGATGATAGTCAATGTGGTACTCACAGTGATGGCAGTCAATGAGTTCCAGGTTGATTATCATCACTATGGTCATCATAGTGATGGCAATCAGTGAGTTCCAGAGTGATTACCATCACTATGATCATCACTCCCAGTGATCGCCATCGTTGTATGTTCGGGATAGACACCTCTGAATTAGTATTGATTTGAATAGGCAAAGATATTTTTGAGTTATACAAGTCGATTCGATTTGAAACCTTAAAACTTTTCCAATATTTTTCCTCATTTCACAAAAATATACAATTCTGTCTTTAATCCATATCTAGAACGGCGAGCTCCCACCACAATCAACAACAAAAATTGACCTAATTTTCAAGCCCGAGGACACAAACGATGACGAGGATGATTTTGAAATTCAAAAGGAACTAATCACCACTCTTGCCCTAAAACTCTCAATTTGTCACAATTATAATCCATCCATCATTGTCAAAGGAAAAGTTGTCGGTCCATCATTTCAATTAGATCATAAAATTATAAACATTAATGATATTTTTGTGGGTGAGTCGAGGAACATTGATGTGAATTTAAAGAATTCGGGTGGCATTAGTGGAAAAGTGTTCTTTCATAAAATTCAATCGGTAAATGATGGGATTATTAAGGCATCCTCAAAGATTGAAATTTTAAAGGCTGGAGAAGTGAAAAGATTCAGAATTCAATTTTTGGCAAAAAAAATTGGAAAGTTCGTCGATCAGGCAATATTTAAAGTTAAAAATGGCGAGAAGCTTTCACTGTCAATCCAAGGATTCATCAAGCCACTCAATATCACCATAGATCAAACTTCCATTCGATTCCAAACATCAGCAATTTGCATTCCACAAATGAAATTCTTTAAAATGACAAATGAGAATCCATTTGATGTGGACATAAGACTAGAAATTGAGAGTAATGGACATGATGATCCACTGGAATTCCTCGAATTTTACGGAAGTCGTTCAACAAGCACTGACTCAATTAGCAAGTCATCATCACTTGAGTCTATGAATAATAATCATCATAATATTACAACTGAATCATGTTCATCACTCTTGACACGAACATCAATCAAGAATTTTATGGAGCGTAGTGGTGAAATGGAACAATTGCGTGATACAATAACAACGACTCGAGATGAGGTTGTTGAGATTTTCAATAAGGTTGATGAGTATTTAGAACGTAAGGAAATTATGAGTGAAATCGTTGCGATTTTTTTTAATGATAAATTATGTAATGAAGTTGAGAAGCGCCAAATTGTTCAAACTATCGTTGAGCTTTTGATTGAAAATCTTACTGATTCTGATGATCTCAAGTTTTATGAGAAAAATTGGCAACTTCCTGAACATCCTCGACAAATTGAATGCAACAAAAACTTTATTAAGATTAAATCGAATAGTTTTGAGGAAGTGAAAATTTTCATTGTTCCAAATTACATTGGAAAATTCATAAGGAACTTAAAACTTTTTATATCGATGTCAAATTTGATCTATCAACCTCCAATCGATGAAACTATCGTCAATATTCCAATAGTAATTGACTGTCAGACAGCGGATATTAAAATTCATAATCAAACAAATGAAATAACTGGATATGCCGAAAGTGAAATAACTTTAAACATTCATATTGAAAATCTATCAAGCATCAATGGATTCTTTACTTTACAACACTTTTACGATACTGAAATGGAAGTGAAATGTGCGGAAGAAAAGTTTCACATAAGCGGAAAGTCAAAGAAAATCCTTAATTTAATTATCGTTCCACTCATATCCGGTAAAATTATGAAATATGTGAACATGATAGCACTTGGAAGCAACAGAAAATATCCCATTACAATTGAATGCAAGTCACTTCCACCCGATATCGTTATAAACCCTAAGAAAATATTTGTTAACGATTTGGAAGTATTAAAGAAGGATGATACGCGAATTTTCATTGAAAATCGTAGCACAACCAAAGCACGATTCTTCATAAAATTGGAGCATGACAATCAATGTTTTACTATTAATCCTCGTGGTGGCATTTTGTCAAGCAAACAATGTACTGTGGTCATGTTAGAGAAATTTTTTCATGATCCCGGAGATTATTGTGATATATTGATTGTTGAAATTGTCAATAGTAAAGTTATTGTAAGTTATTTGAGCTAATCTTGTTGCTCTATTGACTCTTTTGTTGTTTGGATTTTGAGAAATAGTGCATTTTTGGCGTCAGATTGGCAATATTGAACTTTAGATCTTCTTAGGTTTCGATTGTGCCATTTTTTTCTTTAAGATTTCATTGAGCTCCTGTCAACAACAGGTCTAACAGGAATGATATAAGCAAAACAAAATTTTAAGAGGGCTTAAAAATCAAAATGGCGGTTGCAAATTTTTTAAATCAATTAAAGGCGTTATTATTAGTCTTTGCAAATTAATAGTAACCAATTATAATCTCTGCTACTTTTTTCTACAGAACTTAATGAGTTTTCAATCATAAGAGCTACCACTTTGAGTTAAATTTGCATTTAAAAATTTGAAGTGAACGATAAAACAAAATGGCGCTCAATAAAATTTGATAATTCCATAATAATCAAAACTTCTATCGAAACACAAAAATGCACTTTATTCTCAATGTCAAGCAATTTCTCTCAAACTTAACATCTTCCTTCCTTTTTAAAAACTACATTTCTTCATTGCAAACAGAAAATCCCGATAAGATGCACAGTAAAGAAACTTCCAATTACCATTGAACCATCGTTTTGCAGCATAATTGACTTTGGCACACTCTTTACATCGAAAAGCTCGTACTATCTTGACTATAAATTTACAAATTGTGGTAAAATATCGTACATGATTTTTATCATCCTCAAAAATGGGAAAAATCGTAGTGAAATTCGTTACACAATTGAACCAAATCGTTTTGAATTGTCGCCAAATTGTAGTCGAGTGGTGAAATTCTCTCTTAATGCACTGAATGCATTGAGCTGTATGGATGAATTTACAATCGAGGGATGCTCAATTCATTTTCCGATACGTGAGCTCATTTGGGAATCAAAATTGAAAGCGAATGTCATCAAACCGACGATAAATTTTTCAACCAATGAACTGATTTTCAATTGCTTTTATGGTCAGGAAGATGACTTAATGGGTAAGCTGTGACATTATCTTTTTTATTAAGCATGTATGAAGGGATTTGCTAGGAGATGTGAACTAGTTTTTCATGACATGATGCCATAGAGCTTCGAGAGGATAATGTGATACTTTTTAGGTTGATGAATTGTGGGTTAAATTTAATGGTGTTTAAACTGTCGTCCATTGATTGTAGGTCAGGGATGATGTGCACGTGAAAAAGCTAGCAAAATATTAAATTCAGTTTACAAAGAATTACAAATTGGCGGATATTTGAAATTTAAATTATTTTCATCTTTTTGCTCTCAAATTTCACATTTAAGATAACCGTTAAATTAATAAAATTTTCTTTCAGTTACAAAATCCTTCGAAATAACCAACAACTCATCACTTCCACTAACTGTTGCACTTAAAGTTGAAGGGGAATTCAGCATTTATGTGAATGAACTCAACTCATTCGAGCATAAAGTCAAATTTGATCTAAAAGTCAAAGAAAGTCACAAAATTTTCATAAATTTCAATTCAAATCATCTGAAAAATTACAGCAAGTCTCGTACGTTTGAAGGCACTATAAAAGCATATTCTTTGGGCCAATTTCAATCGACATTAAAGCTTATTGCACATTTAATATATCCTGAAATCGAATTATCGACAAATGACGTGAACATCATAGCCAATCCAAAGCAGTCATGTACATCAAATTTCATTATTAGAAATCCGAGTGATAAGTTAACAGCTTCATTTGAACTAAAGTTCAAGGATAATTCAACTATAATCACATCAATTCATGAGAAACGACAAGAAAATCTTCTCAAAATCGTTCAATGCTTAATGAAACAGAAACGGAATTTAAAGGACGATTCGAGTAATTTAAAAATATTTTATGACGATTGTGAAATTAGCGATTTGAATAATGTCACTAATGACAAACTCGAGGGTTCAAACAATGATTCTCAAACATTAAATACTCTTAAAACTATTGAAGTCGCAGCCAAAGAAATTGTTCATTATTATGATTCACTGTCAAGAGAAACGCCAGAAATTAAAATTATTCAAGAATCAGAAGCAGAGTCGCTAACGACATCAAAAGATGAACAGGATGAATGTTTTTTGATGTTAAGTCAAATGAAAGGAATTTTGAAGCCAAACGAAAGTCGTTTAATTTATATTCAATTTTCTGGAAGTAATAAAGGTAGGCGTTTATGTTTCTTTGCTGTTGATTTGAAATTTTGAGCGCGTTTTTGGGTAAAATTTTGTATGAATTAAGCTTAGGTGTCAAAGATTGGGGATGAGGAAATTTTTGATTTTATATTTTGATTATTTAGGTTTATTATGTCTGATTGTCAATCGATTGACTCATCCGATCCTTAAAAATGCGCTTTAAACCCATCGTTCTAAACTTCTCCCAAACCTTCATCACAACTTCTTCACTTCTCATTACATAAATCATTTGTTTTATTTTTAGAATTCCATTTTTCATCTCTAATCGGTTGTCAAGTCGTGGGTGGCAGTTGTTATGACATTCATATCAAAATAACAAATTGTAACCCTAATGTGCTAATTACGAAAACTTATTATGAGATAGCAAAATCATGGCAGGAGATTTCGATAAATAGCTCGTGTATATCAAATATCAATCCACTCATGAATGTTATTAAAGTCATAGCACCGAAAAATGAGAGCGAGATGGCTAAGTTGATTGAAGGATACGTGAAATTAAGCACGAGAACTCCTACAGAATTTATTATGGATGATGAAAAAAATATTTTTTGTGAATTAAAATTTTTAATCTTTCCCGGATGCATGCCAATTTTTGAGACTGAATTTAGCATTCAAATTAATAACAAGTCACCAATTCCGATAAGTTTCTTCAGTAAGAACTGCATGCCCATGGCAACATTACTTGACATCGACCGAAAGTCATTATATGATTTGCATAAAATATTTGAATATGATTGTTTACGTGAAATGTTTAAGTATGTTGATCGCATACGCGTGCAAGAGGAAACAATTAATTTTGAGGATGTCTTAAAAGCCAAACAAAAATTTCAAGAACTGCACGTGGAACGAGAAAAGAAAGTTCGAAAAAAGTCAACCAAGAAGCGCAAAACAAACACAAAAGTATCAACAATGGAACCAGAATCAATTGATAGTCTCTCTGCAGGCGATAGTTGTGACTTAATGTCAATAGAACTTCGACTATTTTATGGTGAAAATGGAATAGCTTTAATGTGTGAAAATCCACACCGAATGTTTAGTGGTAAAATGCTTCAAATGGTCGATGAAGATGTCGAGAATGGAGATTTTTTGGCACTAGACTATCCCAATGAGTATCCACAGTCGCATGAAATTATCAGCTTTATTGGTCAATATGGATTTGCTAAATCGCTCGAAGCCAATGAAATTTTCGATGCATACAAAAGTATTTATGATCGCTATGTGCTGGAGAAATTCAGGCATTCAAAAAAGTCGAGTGGATGTCGAGAACAATGCTGCAATAATTCTGTTGTCGTTCCATTGCCGCTGGTTTTGGTTGAATATTCATTGGATTTTGGGGATGTAAAAATTGACGACGTTTGTGAGAAAATTATCAAATTGTATTTACATGATGACTTTACATCAGCTGCTATAAGGAGTGAAGCTTTGATTCCTGATTTTTTGGTTGAGTTCTTGCCTTATTCTGAATTTATCAAAGTCAATTCCTACAAAAATGAAGAAAATTATCAAAAATACCTAAATCGACAAGGAAGACAACAAGAACTTCCCTTTTCAGTCAGACGATGTCACTCATTTGACTTTATAGAAGGTAAAGTTCACTCCAGAATCATTTCAAAGGATAAACAAGATTTAGATAAAATCAATCAGACATACAATGAGAAAATGAGTCCAAAAGTTAAGTTTGATGACCGAAGTCCTTTCACATTGACAGAAATGTTCCAAAAGGCAGAGTTCAACGAGAAAGACTCGAGAGTCATCGAGTTCAAGATTACTTTTTGTCCGAAAATTGACAATTATGATGAGGTCAAGATTTTTGATGAGATCCTTTATCTAGATGTAAGTGGTTTATTTTTGAATTTTTGGGGTTGTTCATAAATGATGTCTGTTGAAAATTGAATTCTTTGACAATCTTAACTTTAAAATGAAGGAATGGATCTGATAAAAATGATTGAATTTGATATAAATGATCAAAATGTGATTGATCACTTCCCGAATGGTACAAGTCGGTGAATCGATGAAAAATCTGGTTTGACTCTGGCATGGTGCTGGATTTAAATCGAAGCCAGCAATATGCTAGAATCATACCGGCTTATCGCCAGATTTATATTCAATTAAACGGCTTGTGTCATTTGAGGTTCCACATTTTTTATCTGTAGATACCTATTAGAGCTTTAAAGCTATCTTGCTGTTTATAAGCTTTCAAATGGCCTTCATAATTTCATCAATCAGATTTCTCAATTTTCAAATTAATCATAATCAAATCTTCAAATTAACTTCATTGCAGCTTCATCTCGGACCACAAATTCCCCTCCACATCATAGCAAATATCATTCAACCAGATTCAGAACCATTTTTCAAATAAAAACTCCAATTATTTAGTTTATCAAAAACCAAAAAAACTTTTATTCACATTTTTAATTTCATTCAATAATCGTCAATAATTCATTAATACAATCACGATCAGTTTTGGTTGGTTACATTAATTTCAATTATTATTTTTTTTTTTTGAGAAGTTTTTATGGGACTCTTTTGCTTTTGTGTTTATTAATCAGATATAGTTAATGATGAATTGTTATCAGGATTATATACAGGCATGATCAAGGCAAGATATGGTTTGTAAAGGGAAAAGATTTTGTAGTTTTAGATATTTGAAAATCATTAATTGATTTAAGATCTTATTCAGTAATAGGTCAAAGGATTCAGTTTTTAATGATGGACAAATCCCTTTTGTTGGTTTTGAGGACAAGTTGAAACTTTATCTAAATGGGCATTTCAAAAACTGTTTTCTTGAGTAAACCCTAACCATATTTACTAAGATGATTTAAGTTTACACAAATTCTAATAAGTTTGATAACATTTTGATTTTGCAGGATTTAATGAGTTAAAAGTCGAACCAAATTTGTCTTTACTCAACTTCGACTGTTAACACAAATGCAAAAACAAAATCACCGGAATCTTTGCAAATTAAGATCGAGATTGAAGGATTGAGCTGTGCTTTAATAAATTAGAAAGGGTTCGCATCCCATATAATAAGGTTTGTTGAAAATTCGTTTTAAAGATTGTTTTTTTTTTGTCAAATTGAATGTTCAAAGTTTAATTTGTAATTAATTTTGACCACGCCTGCACATATCTGACGCAAAACATCACTATTATCATTATTATTGAATTTTTATTATCATTATTATTTTTTTCTCATCATATTTTCTAATAAAAATAGTATTTTTTTTTACTTTCGATTCTTGATTATCAATTGTGATGCTTGCATTTAACTCCAAGAAGAAAAAAACTTAAATTGAGCTAATCAAGTGATAAAACACAAACATTTAATATTATTCATTTTTTTTATTGAAAACAAGAAATTTAAATTCGAGTTTGTAGAGTAAATAAAAAGTTATTTTCTAATATCGAGAACATCCTCTGTTGCACATAAAAATTGAAGCTAAATAAACAATTTTAAACTTTTTTTTTGATTTTCTTTAAAAGTAACTTTAGTGATATTCAAAAAACATCTCAATTGGATCAGGTCATAATCACATTCTTTGCATTATTAAATTGTTATATAGTGGCATAAATTGTTATTTTACATTCTATACTTGATAGTATTTATTTTTATCTTAGGAATGACTAAATCAAGCAAAATTACAAAAAGAATTGCGTTTTTAAAATTTTTTTAAGAAGTTTCCTGTGCTTTGATCTCGTCCAAATTGATCAAATCTAATTCAACGACACCTTTACCAGCAAATTCTGCAAACTTAGCATCATCTGTCATTGACATGATTGATCTTTTATAAACTCCACCAACAAATGGCTCTAATTTATAGATATGCATCCTGCTGCAAACAGATCTAATCTTTTCTGAGACATATTCATCATCACTATCCAATTCTGGTGTAACGACGCGCATTTTCTTACGAAGAATGTTTGTGTCTGGATAATAATATCCAGTTTGCATTTTAATGATGACATCCAACATTGATTTGGGTGGCAAAGTTGTTGTGTAGTCGAGTGGATAAATAAAGCATCGCTTTGCATCCTCATCAACAATTGTTGTTTGATTATTCTTATAATCATGAATGAATCGTCCACGACGTCCTTCTCTGAAATCTGGAATCTTAATATCAGAGTAGCTTTCCTTTTCATCATCCTTAATTTCAAATTCCTCCTTAAAGAATTTATTACGGATCATATTGTCATCAAATTGTGGAAACATTGATTCCATACGTCTAATGTCTCTTGTTGGATCTTCCATGTCGCGATTCAACTGTGTCATAATTTGTCTAAAGAAATTCTGGAGACTTTTAAAGTCGTCTTCGTCATCATCACTAGAATTACAAATAAATATGAGTTAATGTGGTTGAAATTGGATTATACATAGTAAGCAAGAATGCAAAGTTCACATTTAAAGTGAGTCATGGTATGCATGAATTGTTTTTCAATCTGATCGGTGCTTTTATAAATGACGTCCATTAAAGATTGTACTTTTTAAGCTCTTCAACTAATTTGTGTTGATTTTACAAGCCATTACACCCCTTCCAAAATTTTGGGACATCAAAAGCAAATGATCCCTACCCCTGACATAATTATTCATTAAAAAAATCTCATTACTCATTATCATTATCACTGTCATTGTCGTGAGTCTTGAATGAATCAGCATATGTTGGTCCATCTCTAAAGCGTGAATTCAAAAGAACATTATCGTTGCTGTTAAGATCTTGTTGATCATATGGCATGTATAAATTCAATCTTTGGACTCTTTCGCGCAAATATTGACGATAGAAACAAACGCCAGCAAGAACACCTGTCAAAAGAACCAAAATTCCTAACAAGCAAACAAGAAGTGTTGCTGTTCTTGCACGATGACGTGCGTATGCGACGGCTGCTTCGGTATCATGAGTTGATGATGGTGTTGTTGGTGCCTGAAATAAAATTTTAAGACATGCAGTGAATTAGTAGAAATTAACACAATTGAATAATCTTTGAGCATTTCTAATTAAACTGTATCGTCGATTTACATTGAATGGATGTTAGAAAACAGTTGGATTTACTGTTGTTGCAATAAAAATTGTTCAGAAAGTCGTGCGAAAGCTTAATGAATTTATACGTTGTGATGTTTATAAACATTTAACAAGTGAATGAGTTCATGTTCATTCGAAAGCAAAACAAAATGAATTTTTTTTAGATTCTTCAAGAAAATTTTGATATCCTTGATGTTTTATAAAATATTTAAATGCAGTTATGTTAATGATAGATATATTGCATGGCTTCCGGGTATTATACACAATATGTTTAAAGAAAGAAACCAATGAAGTTATTATTCTGATAATAACAAGTTGAGGATTCGTTCTGGAAGTTAAAAACTTGTAAAGATCCATAAATTGGAAAGATTTTTGATTTAAAACTTGAGTTTGGAAATTGATATTGTTAGATGGTAACTAGCAAAAGAGCTAAATGTGTTGATAAACCTTTTCGGTTTAGCACAAATAAAGCCCTGTTTGGCAAGCGAAGTAACAAATTAATTGAAGAAAATATCTAGAATACTTTAAGAATCTTCATCGTTGAATAAATTAAATTAGATTAAATCAAGTTCATAACTACGCACATTAAAATGCTATGTAGTCGTTCCCAGAAGTCAGCAACTTAGTTCCATAACATAAAATGCAATAAAGTTATTTTCTGAAAGTCAGGATCAATTGACATTGATATGCGAATAGAATATAGAACTTTGAAATTGAATTGTCTATTTACATCGATAGTTAACAACTCCTACATGCTTAAACTAACGAACATGTAACAAGTCAACATGATATGACAGTACAAAATGCAAATTTAATTAGGAATGTGCCAAAATTCCCTCAACCAAGCACAAAACACGTCATACAAAATTTAAAACTTGCTAAACTGGATATAACTTAATTATGAAATGTCTATCTTTTGTTTAAGATAACAAGACGTTATATCTGTTAACAATACATAGATAACTGACTAATTTTGGATGAAAAGTGCGATAATAAAGCAGATACATTCCAAAACAAACAAAAGATATTCGTAATGTAATTTAAATGTGTTGATTATACTCGTTATATGTTTTATAAAATTGCAGATAAGACTTGCTTAGCACAATAGAATTAAGTGATGTCACCAGCACAATTTTGTAATATGATAAAATGCACTGACATTAATCATGAATTTGAAGATGCACAACTCATCATGCTCTAGTAAATTAATCAAAACTTTTTTTAAATGATAAAAAACTTTTTTTTTTCGAAAGTTTTAAAATCTTAAATTACTAAATTGCAATCAAAAATAATTGCCTCTCATGTATAATAATGGAAATTTCACATTTAAACGAACTAGTTATGATAAGATCAGCTCGTTATATCAAAATTTTCCGTTTTATGATTAAAATTTTTGTTTTTGTTTTTATTTTGTCTCAAAAATGGACGAAGAAAATTTTTTAAATCGCAAAAAACATATTTACTTACAGCTAAAGGAGCTGATGGAATTGGCAACAGCTTCTTCTTATCAGTTGTTTTCGTTATGATAGTCATAATTGGTTTGAAATTATAACTTTTTTATGATTTGAATGACAAAAATATACTATAATTTTGTTTTTAAATCTCTTTCACTTCTAGACTTTACGAATACTGTGTTGCCTTAGTTGATTTTTCAATAATTTATAGATTATTGCCCTGGATTTGAATTTTTTAAAAACCGTTAATTTTTTCACTTTTTTTGAATTTATCTTTTGACGAGGTTAACTTTAAATTTTGAAAATTTTGATAATTTTATGAAAGTTTTAACTTTTCTCGAGTCAAATCATCAAAAAATTTAGTCAAAAAATACAAAAACACCCGATCAGTTCAAAAATCAAGAAACAACAAGACAAGCAATAATTAACTGACATTTTAGATTAAAATTTCGACGAATACAAATACAGCAACTTTGCTGAATTAAAAAGTATAAAAACCAAAAGAAGTAAAAAATAATAATTTAAAGATTTTTTTTTTGTGGATAATCGAGGAACCAGCTGAAATTAAAATCTTATCAGTAATAGCATTAGCCACATGAGCAGCTTAGCAATGATAAAATAGTAAATTAAAAGTGAGTGTAATGAGTGTAAAATAAGAGATCAAAAGTCGCGAAATTAAGATTCTTCAATATTTTTTTATTTCTTCAATTAAATCAAGTAAATTCAAAGAATTTTGTGACTAAAAGCAGTAAATATGAAAGAAAATCGATAAAAATTAACATTTACAAAAGAATATTTGGTATTTTGGCGGTACTTAAAGACATAATTTAAGGAATAAAATTTTATCGTTGCCAAGTCTTCTTCTCGGTGATTTTTCACAAAATGTCACATTTTCTCTAAGATTTTCGCAATTTTCTATGTAACTTAAAGTGACAATAATGTGTCGAGACTTTACACTCAACACTATATTCGTAAAATAACAGATCTTACGCATCACATCTAGTGAATTTCTTATCAAAATTTCTGTCTCAAAAAACACCGAAAAAAGGGTGGAAGTAGCGCCCAACAACAAACAAACATTTATCGATTTTTCCTTTTTTTTCCCTACTACCATATCTCTCTCTCTTCATGTACCTCTTACTCTCTCCCCTCGTGTGCTTCGCTTTGGGAAAATTTTATACTAAAACTTCAATGACCTTTTTTTCTTCAATCCATGCTGCTTAACTGCGCTTAGTATTTTTTGTGCATAAATCTCATTGTGTATATTTATTTATTTTGTGTACTACAGGTTCTCATGCGGTGTATTTTGATGGAACCAATTGTATATTTTTAATGATTTTAAATTGATTTTAAACGAACGTGGACGAGTGTCTAAAAGTGCATAAAACAATAAAATAAAAAAAAATAAATTTGTATGATTCACTGATAAAAAAAAGACAAGTTTAATAAGAAGGAGATAAAGGACTGTGAAAGATATTAAAGCAGCAAAAAAAAGCGATTAAAATTTTTTCGATTCGAAAGAATTCTCAAATGGCAGGAACAGGAAACATGAGACAAGGTAAACAACTTTTACTATGAATTGCTTATAAATCACATATCAGTCTATAAATTTTAATATTTCTTCTTTTCTTCATTGTCGTCGTTGTCTCTATAAATGGAAAATCTAAACTGACTGATGATGAATGCTCAAAAACTAATTAGAAGACACAGCAACATACGTAGTCGCAAAATACGATTATTCCGCACAAGGTGCACAAGAGCTAGATTTAAGAAAAAATGAACGATATTTATTGGTAGATGACAGTAAACATTGGTGGCGTGTGCAAGATGCAAGAAATCAATCTGGCTATGTGCCGAGTAATTATGTTAAAAAAGAGAAAAAGTCAGTATCACTATTCGATAGCTTCAAAAAGAAGGTGAAAAAAGGCTCAAACTCAACGAGGACACTTCCAAATTCATCACCGTCTCGTCAGGTTGACTCACCAACACCGACCATGGGACGAAAACTTCCTCCTGATCCGTCAGAAGCAATTGGAACGGCCATAGTAAAATATAATTATCAAGCACAACAAGCTGATGAAATGTCATTAACGAAAGGCATAAGGATTTTGATACTTGAGAAAAGCAATGATGGTAAGTACTGCTTGACATTTTAAGGTGTTTAGTATGGACTAGCATGTGGTTTAATTTTTCAAAATTACCAGCTTGTCCTTAATTGCAGGCTTCTTGAGTCATTATTTCCTAGAACTCTGAGTTTGATGCATAGCACAATAATATTGAAGTCAAACCCACAAGTTGATTCAATATTGTGTCATTCTATAGCTCGAAAGAGTCACTCAGATCATTCAATTCTTTATTAATAATAAACTTTTTTAATTAAATTCCTTAGGGTGGTGGAGAGGACAAAACGGTAATCAGACAGGATGGTTTCCAAGTAATTACACAACAGAAGAGAGCGATAATGATGAACTTCATACTTATGCCATGGCTGAGAACGTCCTTGACATTGTTGTCGCTCTTTACTCATTTAATTCTAATAATGACACGGAGTTGACGTTCGACAAAGGCGATAGACTAGAAATTATTGATAGACCACCCTCAGATCCCGAATGGTTTAAGGCACGCAATCAGAAAGGTCAAATTGGACTCGTACCGAGAAATTATCTGCAAGAATTACAAGAATATCTTAACAATACTCCATATCGAGGCGGTCCTGATTCCATAGACAGGAGAAATGATGTTGTCCATAGCAGCGCAACATTACAAAGTACTCATGGAAACGGTACAAGTCAGCCAGAAAGACCTATTCTAAGCGGTAAAAGTTGGTATTATGGAGCCATAACAAGAAATCAATGTGACACTGTGCTAAATTCTCATGGTCATGACGGAGATTTTCTCATTCGTGATTCCGAAACAAATGTAAGTGAATTGTACTTAATTATGTCTCATTTCGGTAAAACTTTAAAATTGTGCCAAACTGTTTTTTTTTCAGTCCGGCGACTTTTCTGTATCACTAAAAGCTCCGGGACGTAATAAGCATTTTCGAGTACATGTTGAGGGTAACATGTACTGCATAGGTCAAAGAAAGTTTCATACACTTGATCAGCTTGTAGATCATTACCAAAGAGCACCGATTTATACGAATAAGCAAGGTGAGAAATTGTATCTTGTGCGACCTTTGCCGAAGGCCAATGGCACTTAAAATTATTATGCCTAGAAAGATAAGTTTTTCTTAAAAAAAAGTAAATGATATCGTAAACAGTAAATAAGTAAGCGAAAAAAAACTACTTCCCATTGAACGAGACAGAGATATCAGCATAAAAAAGAGATATTAATAAGAAAGGCAAAATCCGGCCAAATATAAAGTTTCCTCATCATGCGACTACATACTCGAATCATATTAAATCATAAACAACAAAATAACAATGATGGAAGTAAAGCAGTTTTTTCTTTTTTTCTTCTTAAATCAATTGATTGTTTCCCATGAAAGCGCGTTAAATAAGTTTTTTTAAAGCGTGAAAACAAACATCGCAAACCACTTCAATGAATCAACATAAGTCGTGAATCAAGTTAGATGGGTTTTTAAGCTGATTGTTTGTGATTGTTAAGCGCTTTAAACTGGATAACATCATTTTTGATATTCTTTCTTGATTAATCAATAGATCTATTTCTGGTAGGAACTGAACCCACGTCTTTATAAAAATTACGGTTTTAAGCTTCAGGATCATTGTTGATTACAACCACGAAGCTAAGTCTATAAAAACATGCCATTTTACCTATTGTAACCTGATTAAACCAAGCTCTATAAAATTGAGATTTGAACCAACACATTCATAAAGAAAGACCTTAGATTCCTAATATGGTATCTCAACGATTTAATCATCTGACTTCTTAACTAGCTTAACTCATCGAACTATCATTCAAATCATTACTTTTGGTGTACAAAGACAATCTGAGAAGATCAACAGCACTTAAAATCACAAAAAAAGCTAAGAAAATGTCTTTAAAAATCACGATTGTTTGTTGAGCTCAAGAAGTATTTTTGGGAAGTAAAAAAGCAACTTAAAATCGTAAAGTTAAAATAATAAACAAGAAAAAAATTTACAAAGCATAACTTTATATACAATTCGGTATCCATTGAAAGGCACTAAGTCGTAAATTGATATGCATAAAATAATATTAATAAATAAAATAAAAAAAAAATTAATATATAAAAAAATCATTTTTAAGAAATGAATAGAAATTATGAAAATTTAAAAAAAAATAACAAATAAGCGGTTAATGTAAATTTAATGAGAATGAAAAACTTTTTCACAATTGAATCATATTTGTAACGATTTTTTTTTCCGTGTCGTGTATAATAAATAATAAATTAATAGAAGACAAAAATGAAAAAAAAATAACGTTAAAAAAGGTGAATCTTTTTCATTTAACATTCCATGTGCTTCAAAACTCTAAAATCCAATTTTTCTCTCTACCTAAATTCATTTAAAAGAAATCCGCACATGGAAAACCGATTGTTGTTGTTCGAAACTTTATGTCTGCATCAGTTCATATTACAATATCTCGTTTATTGTTTCACATCTCTCGATGAAAAATCAACATAAAACTTTATATAGTTCACACACAGTTCATAAACTCTATTAAATTACAATTATTTCACGTATTATATGAATTAAATTAAAAGTAATGTAAATGAAAATCATTGATATGCTGTGAATATCTGAATTGAAGAAATAATGAATCGCCATCAATTTATGATGTGTCTATAATAAAAAATATTTGCTTTTTTATATAATGAGATAAATTTATAAATATTCAGGCAGCTTATTTCAATAAAATGGATTGATCTGATGGATTTTTTGGGGAGATTTAAGGATTATTTCTTGAGAGTTTGGTTTGATTCTTTCGATTTCTGGAAATTTTGGTCCAGATTCTTACAAATTTTAATAATTTTAATCCAGATTGAGTTTTCTGATTCAAGCTGGACTAAAATTATACTCGAATGTGAAGAGGAAGGTTTCCCGGAATTTAAATAAAAAATCAAATATTTTCTGAAGGAATTTTATCAGAATTTTATAATTTTAAAGTGGGTGTTCAAGAGCTCTTGACATCATTCTAGGAAAAAGAAAATATTCCAATGAATCTAATATAAACTAGTAATTCAACACAGTAATGCGACTTTATGCAGCAAAATGTGTAATCTTAGTCAGGATTTATCAAGATTTATTATAGATTAAAGTTTGAATTAATTATATGCCAATGTTAGCAAAGAGAACAGAGTCCGTTACAAACAAAAAAATTTAAAAATTTTCGTGCGGTATTTTTTTAAAATTTCAAAATAAGAAAGTCCGTTACTTTTTATTTTTTTTAAACTAGCTGTTTTTTAAAGCATAAACATTTAAGGAATGCAATTTCATCACAGTGATTATCTTAATCATAAAAACTAGTAGGAATGTTCACTAAAATTACAAATTACTTGAAAAATAATAATTCACAGCGAATTATTTTAAAAATAAGAACTTCGAAGATTCGATTTTCGACAAATAAGAACCTTAAAAATTCGAAGTTCGAATAATAAGAACTCAAAAATTTCTGTTTGCTAGCATTGGATTATATGATTATCAGTATCCAGATTATCTCTAGAATTTGTTCAAATATGAAAAACCATAAAAATTTCGTTATTAAAATGAAATTAACAATAGGCTATAAAAAACAAATACCTCTAAATTTAATCTTCTTTAGAAGTTTACAAATTTAAAATCCTTTAATAAATTAAAAGTTGTGTATTGAATTTTTTTTTTAAAAGCTTACGGGTTGAAAAGTTAAATTGTTTCATTTAAATCCTAGATGTTATCCAGCAATAAATGTAAATTCTAAATTTGACAAGAACAAAATTTGGCGGGAAAATTATAAAAAAAAAAATAAAATTTGATGATAAAAAGAAGATTTTCTTCAATTTTTAAGGTTTGAAACATGAAACAATATCAAAAATTACTGAACAGATTAATTCCAACATTAAATTTCAATCATCCAATTCAAATCAAGTTCTAGTTCATATGCCTGACTCAGAAATCTCCAACCAGATTAATTTCAATAAATTAAAATTCTGTTAATTAAATAACAGGAAATATCACTGAAATATTCTTACAAAGTCATTCAAAAATGATTCATCGAACCTGCAATTGGCCTTCAATCTCCCAGAAACTCTAACAAGAAAATCACCTTTCTCAAAACAGATGATTCATTTTATTGAAACAGGTTGTGATCGCCGCGACAACATAATCCATTTATATATTATAGCGAAACAACATTTATACCTTTTTAAATGCAATTAAACAAAGTGGAAATAGAAAAAGAAGGAAAAACTATTTAGATAATACATAAAATATTGTGACATTCTATAATTATGTAGCATAAATTTGCTATCCAAAAAGCATTTGTTTTAATTTCAACAGTTCATGATATCGTTAAAGCATACACCCATAAAACCCATGATGAGAAACAAACAAAAAAATATGAAAAAAAAATAAAATAACAATTTCGGATGACTTCATTAAATGTGTAATTTGATGTAGATTTGAGCTATATTATATATCTCCTCTTCTTATCGCATTCAAAGTTATCGTTTTCATTTTGTATTTGCCATATGAATAATTCTCTAATTGTACGACAAAATATTTAAAAACATACCCAGACGAAAAAAAAAACTTTCCCTTAATGACCGTGAAGAATGATAAAATGTGGATTAGAAATTTTTTTACTGAAAAAAAAAAATAATGCGAATAAAGTCGAGTAAAAATTGTGATAATAAAAAAATAATATCTTAAGCAACTTTTTTTCGATGGGAAATTGAAGGATCGAAATCTTTTTCATTTTTGATATCTTTTGATTTTTAAATGGTAGGACAAAAAAATAAATAATTGACGATGGAACTGGAGTGCAGCGTGTGTTTTTTCAATGATAAAAACTACGCCATAAATCTTTTTTGGAAATGATATTAGGAGAAAACAAAATAATAATAATATTGATAAGTGTTGTTCCTCTAGTGATTTATGAAGCATCATGGGGTAGATAGTTTATTGATCAGATATGATGATGATGTGGATATCAATGATTTAAATCCGAATTTTTTGTCGATTAATGGACTCTGAAATAGAGTTTTGTGGAAGATATAAGATACTTTCAATTAATTCAGTATCAGTCAATTGGGCAGTGATGTTTAATAAATATTAAAACCTCTAACAACGCTGTCAGAAGAAAACTGATTATTGCCTTAGGAAAATTTACTGCCTGAGATTTGGTTTTGAATCGATCAATCCTAAATCTATATTAAATTTAAAATGTATTAAAAGGAAATCCCAGAAGACAAATTGCGCTGAGAAGACAAGTGACTTTGTGAAACTCAAAAATTTTGAAATTGATTTTTATTCATTGAACTTGAAGGTTCTGAAAAACATGGATTCCTCGAATAGCACAAATTGGATAAAAAAATAGTAATCCAGCACCAAGAAGGTGTCGTTTTATCTTGGTGCTGGACTTAAATCGAATCCAGCACCATGCCAGAGTGTGCCGGATTTCTATTCGATTAACCGACTTGTGCAATTCGGATTAGACTCAGGAATAGTTTCACTATTTTAGCAAAAAGTTTTGGTTAAGTTCTTGGGTCAATAAGAAGTTTTTTAGATCTTAAAACGAGACAGAAAAAGAAGAAGCTGTAAATTTTAGAACATTTTAAAGGACATGGATTTAATTTGACTTCTAAAACTATTTCTAGACAAAAACTTCTTTTAAAGTGAGTCTTTTTACACTGAATTTTAATATAAACGGTAGCTAAGTCCTGATTTCTAAGTCACTAACCCAACAAATGCTAATTTTTAATTCAAAATTTTAAGCTTCTTAAATCAGAACACCAAAAAAATCTACTAAATTATAAGAAAGCGTTGTGTGAATATTTTATACGATAGGATATCCATCTACTAGAATAAGGGTGATGCACTAGAGGAACAACATATCCTTCGGTAAAGGAGTATGAAATTGTAGAACGTATGTGTGTAGAAAACGACAAGCGATGATATTTTGTAGTGTAAATTATTAATAATTTTTGATTTGCTCTACTAGCTATAATTCTGACAATGATTTTTGATACGATTTTTTTATATAATGAGATTTTTATACTTTACATTGTGCTCTTTTTTCAAGATTTTTTTTTAAACAGGTCTTTACGACAATTGAACTTTTTTTAATATTTATACGAAGGAAATAATTCACGCAGAAACTTATCGCATTTAATTAAGTTGAGCGCTTTTTATATAGAAAAATAAAATGTTTTTTGATATTCAAATGAGAGAGAGAAAAAACTAAAAATAAATTTTATTTTGTAGTCACAGTTTTCTGTACTTTTTTAACTATGACAATTTTTTTCTTTTTTCCGCCCAGAAATGAAAATGGAAATACTTTTTAATACAGTAATATAATTAATAGCAAAAAAGTTCTTTTAATCATTATGGAAATAAAGACATTTTTACTTACCATTTATTTCTTTACACTTTACTTACTTACTACCTTATGAAGTTATGCTCTTGATTAAGTAAATAAAAAGAGTTATTTTAATTGTATCTAACCTGAATTATCTCAAGAATATTCAATGCTATGACGTTTTGGTATTCTAAGAATGTAATAATTGGGAAGCTAATGATCTGTTATGATTTCATGCATAATCAAATAGAAAATGAATAAAGTTGGAATAAAATTTAAATTCTCTGAACTTCCTTCTATGAAAATTATTACACAACGACGTATTATTTTACGTAATTTGAAGATTCCATAATTGAGGGAAATTGATTTTTGAAGATAATTGAAATCTTTAACTTTGGAAGAGGTTTTATGAGTTTTAATTTAATTGAAACTGAACTTACACCCTGAGAGGTATGCAAATAAGGATGATTTTCCTTAAAATTACACAAAACTGGTTCTAAACTTACCAAAATTCAATTTAACAAACATAGAACCAGATTTGAGCTGGAAATTTGAAAAATCCTCAATCTCAGATCTAAATCTTTGAGAATTAGAATTATTTTAACTTAAGCAACTTCAAAAACTAATTCATTTGAATTTATGAACCTTAAGTTCTCAACTATTGCATCATGTTACTAAGGTCAGTTTCGAAATCTTACGGGCCTTATAGTAACCATTAAATACTATGAAAATCACAAATATTACAGATGCATTTTGAAACTACCATGAAAGACAAGTGCTAATTTAATATCTGTTAAACTTTTTGTGTTCCGTAGTCATTTTTTGGGGCACATATGAATATTGTTCAGATTTTCTCAAATTATGAAATTCTCACGTTACACCTGAAATTAAGTCGCACGTAGTGTGTGTCACGTCATAAATTCAAACATTTATTGCGATAATTGATTATGAAAACATGATTCTCAAAAAAAATCATTATGAATACCAAAATGTCATAGCATTGAAGCCCTACTAAGCTGAAAATACTTTATGCTTTAAACATAAACATTTTAACAAAGTAAAAAAAAGGAAAATTTATAATGAAAAAATTACACAGAAAAATAATCGTTAGTAAATGAAAACCGTTGTGGAATATAAATTGAACTTATTACATTTTGATGATTAACGAATCTTGAGCACTTCCACTGAAGAATAAGAAAGAAAAAAAATATAAAACTTATTAACATGAATGAAAGGAAATAGAGATGAAAACTGAAAAGGAAATTGTTTAGAAAATTTTTGGCACAACATGAAGAATCATAAAGACGAGAGAGTAAATGAAGAAGTTTTGTCTATAATATTGAGTCGTAGAATATGGTAAATCAATCCATTAATTTATACGTTTTTAAAAAATGAAATGAAAGAAAAAAAGTGAAATAAATTAAGTGAGAAAAAAATAATTTTGACAAGTCGTTGTTTGATTTTATGGTGAATTTAATTTTGGATTATTCTAATTTATTGCACAGGATATCATACAGATAATTTATAATTTCAGATTTCATATTATTATTGACTAGATAATTTCAATCTTGATTGTTTCATAAAAGGGATATTTTGCTGATATTTAAATTTTATGTGAGAATTTTAATAGCACATTTTACTAATTGGAATAGATCAAGGGTGTGCAACTATTCAAAAATGATTATTTATCTGACATCGAATATTAATTGAATAGTTCCAATCCCTTGGAATAGATTTTTCGTCGTTCGCTTAAGTTTCTTTTAACTTTAGCTTTTCTTAGGTTGTTCATAGTGTAAATAAATATGATTTATATAAGGTTGAGGTCATTTTAATTGACTCCGATGGATCAATACCAAGAATTGATATAGTTTGACTACTTTTGATAGTTTAAAAGCATCCAATACATTTAAGAATTCACATTTCTAAGGCATTCCTGTCTATTTCTTCATATAAAATTACAAACGTTACATTTCACATTTCAGGAACTTAGAACATCGATAAATGGCTAAAACGATGATTCTTAAGTTTTCTACCACATAACTACACAGGTTTCCTACTTATCGTGTAATATAGCCTCAATGTTAATCAATTTAAGTTAAATATGCTCAGTTATAGTCTAGCATGGACTATTTTAAATTGGTTTATAACCGATAATGTCCTATGTAGATTTATATGTTCTGAAATGACTGTTTGATCGTATTTGAGTAGCTATGACCAAATTTAATAAGATATGTTGAATTACGAACACTACAAGTTGTCAACGATCAACCATAGTCATCCTTAACCTCAACAATCTTAGCATGATCTAATAAAGCTATTCTTCAACCATATATAATGACAAATAATCTGGCATACAGTCACATCTAGTCTAACAAAATTATATAGTCACATCTATTCTTTTATCACTTTTTTCTCTAAAATATCCTATCATTAATTACTTTACTGCTAGTAAGCTAACAATTTCTCAAATATCATTGTGAAATCTATAGCTTTATAAATCCAATCATCAACAGATTCCTCATTTCTCATACGTTTTAAAAAATAATGTTTCATATTAAAATGTAATAATTTATAAACTTAAAAATTGTCATGGATGAAAATATATTGAATAAGTATGTCCATTTTAAACGTTTATTCGTCTTCTGGATCCATAATTGTATCCTGTCTGAATGTTTCCACGTCAGCTTGCGAGTCTTGGACAACGAGCTTTCCTTTGATGGTCGGTTTAGGGAACATTAAGACGAATGGAAGTTCAGCTGTCAATTCACCACCCAAAGCACCGAGGAAGAGTTTGACTTTTACAGCATATGATACAATTATACCGAATGCATCTCGTTGGTCTGGTGAGGCGAGTCTGTGGTTAAATAAAGATGAAATATATTAATATTCAAGGCAGATGAATAAATTGGATGTGACATAATGTTGGAAAGAGGGTCAAGGAACATTAGAATAAAACTTTAGAAAATTAGACAAGGATGTTGCTAGAATTTTAAATGAATGTGCTGAATATTCTATAAAGTCAAAACAACCTTCACAACATAAATTCCAGAAACCTCAATGCCACAATTAAAAATTCACTTTACATTCCCAAAACAGTCACAACCACTGAGAATATTCGAATAAATAAAAAAAAAAGTCCTTACAAAGTCGTTGATGCCAAATTGGTATCATTATGCTTCAACTGTCCATCCAATGCAATTCCTCTCTTACTTTCCACACATGCCAATAACGGGTGAAGATAAATGACTTTTTGCAATGAGCTGCCTGGTTGCAATGGACAACCTTCTGCAGTCTCAATCGATGCAATCGTATTCCTATATTGCCCATTTTGGAACAAGACAACATCAACACCTTGTTGGACCATTGCTTTGATTTTCTTGACAACCTTATTTGAGTGATTTCTTATGCATAAATTAACAGAGATCTTCTCGCCATGATGATAGAGTTGTTTATCCAAAGTTACTTCCATTTCCAATTCGCCTGGTGACAACATGAAATCTTTACGTACAACAGTACATGGTTGATTGCCTTGCTTACTTGGAGCATACTGAACTTTTCTTATTTGCAATGATACAGTCGAACGACGATGAGATCTATCAGTTTCCGATTCGCCAGCGAATATTTTTACGTAATATTGAACACCGCATGGCTCACCAGATTCACTCTTAGATTGCTGTAATGTAATCGATGCTGGAGCCGATGGAGGAATGGTGAATGTAAATGGGAATGCATTTGGTCCCAATTTTTTCATCAAACGTTCTTGAAGTTTTGACATTTGAGGCTTTAATGGATCACATTTTTCAGATTTTGGATAGACTTGTTCCGATGCTAAGAACAATTCCTTTTGGAAATTTAATCCCATCACTTCATCCTCTTCACGTCCATAACGGAAGCTACAAATTAATTGACCGAAAATCTTACGACGATCATGCATATATTCCTCATCTAAAACAATAACTCCATCAACTGGTTCCACTGCTGAAATATGGTCGACAAAATCACGCTTTCCCATATACAAATGAACTTTGTTGTTTGGGGAACTCTTCTTATAAACTTTAAAGTTAACGACCATCTTGATTGATTTTAATTTATTTCAATTAATGCAGAACAAATTATTTTTTTTTTATTGTAGAATTTTTCACTTGACTATTTTTTTTTTCAATTCCGAATGTTACACTTAAGCGAACAATTATCGACTGAAGATGTTCATCGAATAGCGTATTTATTTTATATGGCATTTTTTTCTTTTCTTTTTTCCATTCAATACTCTTCGATTGTAACCAATCGTGCTTTATCCAATTTGTGTATTACCTATCTATATGACCTAGTACTAAGTGTAATAGAATTTGTATATATTTTATTTTGTACTGTATAGAAATGAAGATAATACAATTAGGGAAAATGTCAAAATATAATTGTGCGTAATTCTTGTGCCTTCATTATCTTCCAATTCCTCACTGGCAATTAATTTTGTGAAGATATACTGTCGCTTGTGAAAGATGTGGTTAGCTGGATTTTAAAGAATGGATGGATATTGGATAAAGTGCTGGCTGAGTGAGCGATTGTTTTGGGGATGATGAGGTACTTTTATTGATCTTGATATTGTTTTGATGTTTATCAAGCATAATGATTTAAATCAATGAGATTAGAATAAAAGACAAAGTTGATTTAAGGATAACAATAGGTGTGGAACCAAAAACTTAGTTTGATAAGTTTCTCTTCCTAGAACATCATTTCTCAAGCTTTGCTGATTCCTTTTCTATATTAGAAATCTCGGGTGCATTTCTAATAAGGACATTGCCTGAAAAGTCAGTTTTATTTCAATCATCCACTCAACTCAGGCTTCCACCCTGCTTACCATGATTTCACAATTCTTTCACAAGAACCTTTTGTTACCAAGGAACAACAAAATATTTTCATCAGCAGATTTGAGTTACTTTTTTTTTGAGCGGCATGATTTGTAAAAAAGTTGATACAATTATCAATAAAGTGCGAAACTACGAAAAATCATGAGCTAAAAATTATGACATTTAATGATTAGCAAATTAACTCAATGTGATTCACTTTAAAGAGTTTTCCCGGCTTTTTAACATGATTTTTGTGAATTAGTCAGATTTAAAGATGAAAGTGGTAGCTCCTAAACTAGTTTGAATTATGACCTGAATGACAAACGGCTTAGGCAGGCGTAAGTTCAGCAGAGCCAATTTTATTGAATGTGAATTTAAAAGGTGGAAATACAAACATTGAAAATTTGGCGCCAAAATGTTTGATTTCTTTTGCTACCTTTTTCTTTGCTTAGTATCTCTAGCTCAGACTTGAGCCAAAATTGTTTTGACTTAACATCCATGCTTTTGTGTGGATGATGAAAAGTTTACTATTCTAATTTATTGCTGTCCATGTCACCTGACTTGAACAAATTATCACAGCCTGGTTCTGACCATATCCTAAATTTCCATATACCTTGAAGCTTTATGCTAAGCTTAAAAATCTACAATATGTATCTCCATGCAGTATGTTCTTTTAACAAGTGTAGGCAAGAATGTCATTGATTAAATTCTATTTTAACTCTTTGTTATGTTTAATCATGTGGGAGGAAGTAAGCTCATCACAAAACATATTCCTTACATTCCTGGAATTCAATTCATCATTAAAAGCGCTTCCAATCATTAATATTCTCTACTTCTCTCACTTCGTCCTTAAATATCCCTGAGTACTTAAAAAAATAAATTTATTATGACTAAATGGAAAAGAGTATGTGTAAGTACAGCACGTTGTATGGATTATTGACTTGCTATCATAATAAAAATGTCAACACAAAATTTTCTCGGGCTTCGCAAAACATGTGGAATTTTTTATTAAGCAAGGTCGTTACGTTGCTTTATGCAATTAACAGTTTTAAAAATATTTTTTCCATAATTCTGACGCTGTTCTACATGCAAGAGTGTCTTTAGTAGCTTTGAATAAGTTTACAATAATTTAAGGTTAGAATTTATTACATTTGCATCAGATTTTGAATAAAATGTCGTCAAGTCTAAGAAGCATTGTCTAGAATAATAAAAATGCTTTATCATCAATGTTTGCACAAGATCAATTCATCTCCCGAATTACTGTGAATTCAGCAATATGATTACGTCAAACTTTCTTCTCATTGTTCAAGATTTTCTTTATAAAAATGAGCACACAGATTCCAATGCATACGTAATAGAATATGAAGTCCATAAAAATGTAGAATATAGGACATTGTCCTAATATATCATTCAAATGTCATTTACAAAATTCCTGCTAATTTTCCAAATGATTCTGTGTAGAAATCGTAAAAATCGAAGATCTTTCATGAACATGAGTAATTGCACGTCACATAGTAAATCCACGTTTTTTTCTTCATTGATGACTATTCAATAGTGATAATTTGATTTGAAATAATTTTAAATACGAAATCATAGCATAGTTAGCAACCATACCTTCCAATGTATTACGATCGATAGATAATTTCCGTGAAACGACAGTGCTGAGTTTGTTGAACATTGTACCGAGCGGTAAATTGGTGTGAAAAGGTATTTCGTCAGATTTTAAGGGTATATGGATGTAGGGTGACCATCTGCGTAGTTATACAACGGACAGTCCTGTATTTCAAAACCCTGTCCTGTATAAATTTGAAAACTTTGTTCCAGGTCCTGTATTTTTTTCAAGAAAATTTCCGTTAATTTTCGAATTTTACTCTATGTCGTATATTTTTCGAAAAAATTTACCAAAAGTCCTGTATTTTCATGAAAATTAGATGGTAAGCCTATATATGGATGTGGATTGGCTATTTTGACATATGATTATCTAACATTGTTGAAGTTTGGCTACTGAAGTGGTTTAGTTTAAGTAGAAATGGATCAAGAGTCATATCAAGTCTTATATATTCATATCCAAGAGTATGGCGCTCTGGGCCTAACCTTGACTTAATTAGTGTCAAATTTTGGTCGGGTTTCTAGAAATAAATGGGAAAATAAGTTATCTCTACCTCATAATAACTGTGTCAGTGTCGGTTTCTAGGGCTACCTAATGTAAAACTTTAGAATAGCATTCAACAATATTCAAAAAGGTACAAAAAACTTAAAAAGACATCAAACCTAGTTAAAATTACGAAATTAAGTCACATTTGATTAAGTTTCTTAGGTTGGGCACCTAAATTTGACAAAAATCCATGTTTCTTACCGCTCGGGTTCAATCTACATGTGATACATGAATGAATCACACTCTTCTTGTTACTAATTCCATTCACTTTCATTTTAACCCATAATGGAAGTCTATTTTTAAAACACTGCTAATTGATCTGAAACAAGACTTTTATTTAAACCTTTATGTCTAATTATAAAAACGTGTCCTTTATTCATTTACAATATTATTAAAATAAAAAAAAAATCTCTCACAATTTGTGTACAATAATAAACAATATCTGTAGGTATCAGGAAAAATGTGATTACATTCCTCAATGGCAAGATCACAATAATATTTTGAATTCACAACAAAAGATGTGTCCAACAACAAGCATTTTAAAAAAACATTCTGTAAATTATTTTCGTCAATAGGAAAAAAAACTTGTGGAAAGCATAAACAAATTAGAGCTTAACATAAAATGCTATTAGTATTCATATTATAATCATAAATATTTGATAGTCATTGGCACTTGTTATTTGGTGTCATTAAAATTAAAAACGCAAATAAAAATACATTTTAAGGGTTGCTAAATTTTGTGAAATTCAGTCGAATAGTTGTGAAAGACGTAAGTTTGAAAAAATGTGATTGTCCGAGCTACGCACTTAATATTGCTTTTTATATAATGTTAAGTATCAGAGAACTATTGACTCGACTCGATTAATTTGCAAAATTTTGATCAACATTGAAAGACGTCAATTGAGGTAGACGTGCATGACTACAATTAAAATGATTTGTATCCATAGATTAAGCACGAAAGCGTTGTATCATCAAAAACATTGAATTTCACAAAATTCCGTCCCTTGTTTAAAAATAAAAAACAATAAAAAGGAGTAAAAATTGGTGTAGCTATGATTATCACACTATGAATGCACAATCCCAAAACTTATTCATCCAAAATCGGAACATCTTGTCCATCCTCTTCATCTTCACTGTTCCTCCATCGGAATATATAGCAATTTAGTGCTGAAGTTGCAATTAATAAACCTAATCCCAATAAACCATATCCAATCCAAACTCCAAGTGATGGAACCATAACAGCTAATTTCGCTTGATCAGCTAGTTCTGGTGTTAAGTCAGCTTTCTGCTTGAACCAAAGTGTTGGAACAAAAAGTTCTGGAACGTTATCAAATGCAAAGATTCCGCTCCAAGGCTTAATAAGGATGTTAATCTGTAGTGCAGCATTGATTGAGAGTGGAATTCCAGTTTGTGGTTCCAAAGCTATTGAAAATGTATGTAAAGTTTTATTGGGTTTTAATCCAGTAATGTCAGCGAGGTATGTCTTGTCAGCAAGATAAAAGTGAGGGAAGCTTATAAATGCAGGTGAGCTATATTTACAACTAGATGCATTGAAGACACCAGGTGCAAGATCTGGACATAGTTTTTCATCTGCTGAACAGTAACATTTCATTTCAGGGTATTTGACTCCATTATCAAATACTGAGTCATCAGCAATCCATTTGTACCCGTTAATGCCAAGTTTGGAAAAATCTGAGTCATATTTAAGGTCGATTGTTCTGCAAATGTCTGGAGCAAAAATTGAAATTCCTGGCTTTTCATGATTCTCAATTGGTGGCCACAGCTCGCCAGAAGTTCCTCTCACAACTGAGCAGCTATTGGTATGTAATCCAGTCGTTGTATTTCCATTCCACATTTCAATATTTCCTAATTTTGTAATCTCGTCAGTTCCAGTAAACATTCTGAACTTTCCGTCGTAAGTTTCTGAATTGTTTCGTTCAACAAACCATCCCATTTTCTCGAATGGGATACTTGGGAACTTTGGATCATGATTAGCTTTAAGAACGTGCAATAACTCATCATCATATCCATCAAAAAGAAGCTCGCGAGCTTTCTTTGTCTTAAATAAAGGTGCTAAATCATCGATGAATAGCGTATTTACCATCAGTCTTGTTAGTGAATCTAGATTACGTGATGCATATCCAACTGCCTATAAAGAATATAATAGCGTCAATTAGTATTGGATGGGAAATTTTCGTAATAATTAAGGATTGTTCAATCTCAATGCGATGAAATGTTAAAGTTGCATTTGGGGATTTTACATAGGGTTTGTTTAAAATGACGTCATAAGTAAATGACCTTAGAGTAATTACTCAATTTTAAAGTTCATAGATCCCTTTATCTTAGTCACGAAATTTTTACAGGAAAATGATGTACTTAAGGTTTGAATCATGACTGAAGCCAAATGTTGAAGACTTAAGTCACTTTAATAAGTTTCTAAAAAGCCATCATTGAAGTCACGAAACAACCGAATACCTCAAAATGTAAACACCCTTAATCCATGCATTAATGACTGACTGAGAGTCGTTTGAACAATACCCATAACCATTATACTTACGGCAACAAGAGGATTTATATTTGTGATCTCATCATCTAAACTTCCATTTGATAATTCAGGCTTAAAGTGCCAAACTCGTTTTTGGTAAAAGTCAACAGTTGTAGAGTCATCGCTCCACGATATATTCGTTCGTATGTGCTTTTCATGGAATACATAAGGACCCATTTCAACAAAATTAGGCTTTACAGATCTATTATGTATTTCATCTGAATTGGTCCAATTGAAAAGGTAAATTTCTAAATACATCGGAATTGGAGTCTCCTTCCAATTATCATAATTAAGTGTACCATTAGTAAGTTTCAACTTTGGATATACTAAGTATTTTAATGATAATGTAGGCCACAATAAGGCTATCACCAGGGCTAATAAAAGTATAACTGTGCATGATCCAACCATCCAAAACTTTTGGGCTGTTACACTGCAAACGCCCATTTTTATAAATTTCAAATATTAAAGTGAAGAATAAAAAAAAAATGTATGATCTTATGTTACTGGCAAGAACGTTTAATCTGGAATGAAAAAGAAAATAATTTTGTAATTAAATTACGCTCTATGAGTCAGCACTGCTTATTAGATTATTGACAAATCGGCCTATGTTTGCTCCTAATTCATAGATTCTCGAATTTTGTTTACTCATTGTGATAAGAATTGAAATATTCAGTCAAACTTGTGTATCTATCATGCAATTTTTAATGTATGATTAAGACTGATATCGTCATGCAATATAAATTATTGAGGATTTTCCTATGAGTTTTATAACGAGGAATTAATGATATGGAATTTATAAGATAAGTGATTTGTAATTTATTTTAATTTTTTAAATAAAAAGTTTCTTTATTGGTCTTATGAAGTAGCAGGTGTGTATTCGGGGGGCCCATTGGCAATTATATGGATGCATTTCATGATAGAAGATTTATTATTATTATTATTTTGATTATTATTAGATTAGAAGATTTTAAACTAGCTAGGAGTGTGTCTAAACAATAATACTTCATTTCAACAATCCGAAAAAAGGTTTTGCTATACCCTTAATGTGGGATAAGTAGGCTGACCATCTGCTTGGTTTTTCAGGGGACAGTCATCTACTTTTTCCGTTATCCAAAAATAAAATAGTCTTGTTATGTTCTAATTCGTCCAGAATACGAATAAAATTAGGAGACTCGTGGGATGTCCTCTATTTTTTGTCTAGTCCTCCATTTTTTTTGCAAAAAATATCTAGACATAAGTCTAACTCTCGAACGATTAGAGTGTCAAAAGTCAATGACCCTTTAAATGATAATTGTGAATCATTGCTGCTTATGTTTGTAGACTGTTGCAGATCATATTCGGCAAATACTTTTGATTTTAGAGCTAACAACATCCAGTCAGTTTCAGGCAGGCAGACTTGTTTGAATTGTTATAGAATTGATCAATTTTAAAAGCGATTGTTGACAAACTTAACTTCAACATACCTTAATTTAAAAGGAGTGTTTGCTTAACTTTAACAATTATCGATTATCACCTCTTTAGAATTTGAATAAATTCATATATTCAGCAGAGTGTTTAAGACCATGTATAAATCATAATATGTATATTGTAAGTAAACACCAAAATCACCTTTGTCTTAAAAACAGACGAGGGTCATACATATTATCTACTATAAAAATCGAAGGTAATTGTTAAACTATTTTAATTGATTTTCAGTCTTTAGAACACCTTTAGACTTTGTCTAGATAGTGTAGACTTTAAATCAAATTTTAATTCATTTAGCTTTATTTATTCAGTACATAAACTAGTTTTGTCGATCGAATCTATTAAACTGCAGCAATCAAAGTGCTCTGATTTAAAGAAAATTCACTAGTTTTAACCAAGTAAATTCCTAATTTTATAGATTGCATCAATGTTTGGATCAAAGTGTTTTTGTCAAAAAATCGTGATTTTTGATCATTTTTTGACCAGTTTAACATCAAAGCTAATTTGTGTGCAATATCAAAAGCAAATTGCGCAACCCCAAAAAGGTAAATCAATTAAATATAGAGAAAGTATAGCAAAAAAAACTTCAGAACTAAGCCCTTAATTCCGTCACCAAACGGCACATTAGTCATAAATTAGATTAGATTTGAATGTTTGTTTGTAAGCCCCCAGAATTCAAAAATCTAATCTCTTTTGCTCGTAATATTTTATTGGAACGCAAAAGTAAGTCTGATAAGTTGTGTAAAAAGTTATTTATTCAGCAGATGTTACAACATTCCAAACCTTGAGTCAGCGATCTTAATGACTTTTGAAACATAAATTTTGCAGTTCCCGTCATGTCACAATTCAAGATATCATTTTAGATAACAACTTTTGCTGTCACGCATACTCAGCAATATTTTTAATTTCACATACGCGATAAATTACTACTATTACCGTACTATAGCCAAAATTAGAATATAATTAGCATTTTTATCACTAGAATGATTACCAACTTTACTTCTAAATCAGCTGCGAAAAATAATCTTGTATCATATTCAGAACGTGCTTAAGCGCGAACGGTTGTGACTAAAATAAGAGAATAATAAGAAACAAAAAAAGTTGTTTGAGCATTAAAAGCTGACCTTAACCTTGTCGAAAAACGAAACAGAAGAAGCAGATTGGAAACAGTCGGTGTTCTGCATTCTCGTTTCTCTCAAAAAATTATATTTTTGTGAGTCTTGGATGGGAGTCGTTTTTAAGTGACGTGGAAGGGAATTAACTCTGGTTTGGATATAGCCAAAGACATTGGATACAGTGTTTTCTGAGATATGATAAACTGGGTAATTTGGATTAAATCATTTTGAGTAGGTATGATCAGCCATGCTCAACTTATCCCTGTCAATCTACCAATTCAAGACCAATTCCAAACCCCTAAAACATTGTACGTAATTTCCGAACGACCCCCAAAAAGTCAATTTGCTTAGTTGCTTTTCTGTATTGCTCTTCTTTCTCTCATCGTCAGTCTACAGCTACACAATTCCAAGACGAGTAAATTTGAGATATTTGCGGTGGAATTAAAACTTGCTAAAGTTCTATAAAAAATTATTTTTTCTGTCTCTTTGAGTTCACCACAATTAGAGAGCGCCGAACATTCGCTGTTTTCGGTTCATAAAATTATATTTTCATTAGTCTTTTATGTAAAATACGTAAAAGACAGATACAACGCATGTTCTAAAAAAAATTAATTTTGTAAATATTTTGATAGGAAAACAAGTGAAATGAAAAAGCTATTGTTGATGTGATTAAAGATTGTTTATGCTGATAATAACAGTGCTTTATAAATAAGTACTTTCTGTGAATCGTTATGCAATAAATATCGTGAAAAAATTCCACAATTACAATTGAAAATTGACTTGATGACATTGATGATAATAATTGAATTATTTCGAGCATTCATGTTAGAACAGACGCTTTTAGTAGTGAGTGTTGCTCGAATAGGTGCGGAACTACCGTTTATTTTGCACATTACGGAACAAATAAAAGTGGAATTAAATACTTTGTAAATTAAACGTAAAAAAATTGACAATCCTTATCAACTAAGCATTAAATATAGCTGATTGACATAGGACTAGCTGCGACTCAATTAAAAGTAAAAATTTATGAGTCAAAAGCCATATCAGTTCCGAAAAAACATGTTAAACATTTTGTGATTGATGATTTCAATTTTCTCGTCTGCGAAAAAGCCCTAAGGAATAATTTATCAGCAACAGAATTCAGTCATAAAGTTCACTCCATTGAAGTCGAATCGTCTGTGCTAGCAAAATAAGTAATAATCATTATGGAAACGATAGAGAATATAACATTGGACTGTGAGAACGGAGTTCCAAATGTCTTTGAATTCTTCACTGGACTAAACTTTATTCACAAATGGATCTTAGTGATGCCAACTGGATTTTATTTAATGACAATAACTCTGTTCATTCTTAATTTGTGTACAATTATTAAGTATGGACAAAAGGAGACAAAGTCAAATGTGCTCATACTAGTTACTCTTTACCCGGTAAGTCATAATCTATTTAACTGAAGTGTTAAGCAGGGGGAGATCAACTGCATAAAAAATATCAGAGATCGAAGCCGATTTTTTCGACTTAACTCAATTTTTGATTTTTTTGATAGAAAAAAGCCATTTGACACCCATTTCAAGTATTTAAATTGAACTTTAAATGCTTTACTATGATTCTGTGTAATATTTTGTCAGCATGTAGCTATAGGAAGCTCAGAATTTCAAGTTAAAGAATGTTAAGCCGAAATTTAAGCCGATCGGCTTAAAATCGACTAAATTGAAATTCTGAGCTTACTATAGCTTCATGCTGACAAAAAATTACACAGAATCATAGTAAAGCATGTAAAGTTCAATTTAAATACTTGAAATGGGTGTCAAATGGCTTTTTTCTATCAAAAAAATCAAAAATTGAGTTAAGCCGAAAAAATCGGCTTCGATCTCTGAAAAATATTAAACAAGAGAAATTATACATAAATTTTGCCACCAAAAAAAAGGTGCAAAACCGGTGCAAAGTCAATGAAAAAATAATGTTTTATAGACAGTTGTTTTCCCCCTATTGAATTTTGACTTCCAAAAGAGATTTTGAGAGAATCTGAATTGCTGATCGCGGTATTGAAATTTGAGATCAATGTCTTTTTGTGTTTTTGCACATGAAATATTTTTCGTTCGAGTCATTAAATGGATTTTTTAAGGACAGTTAGATTTTAAAGCTCGAAATTTGTTGGTCATTGGCATTTGGAGATTATTTGTTGATTTTGCAATGGGATGATCTTTGGCATTCCAGAATATGATAATTTGTGACTTTTGACATTTTAAAATGCATGACTTTGTGATATTTACAGTCAAATTAAGCTTTAAAGCAGATTTTTTTTAAAGATTTGCAATATTGATTTTCTAATATGAAACGATTCTTAGAGCACTAGAAATATTATCAAAATTAATCTATAATCTTATCGTACAAAGTCTTAACAATCAATTAAGTTGTATTTTACGGTGATTTAGCTTGAAGCGACATTAGTATGGCACATTTATTTTGAGGAACCAATCTTTTTTTGTTTGTAAATAATGAAAAATTTCCAAGTTTTATTGTCAACAATAATAAAATCACACTAAATGTGTCCAAAGTGTCCATAAATAGCTTCAAAATGATATAATTATCACCTTTATGTCAATTTTATCATTAGCTTTCAATTATAATGTCTTGTTATCTTTATTGACGATCGAAAACAACACCCACGTAACCAAAGTATTCCACACATTTTCCATTGACATAGATGGAATATTTATGTACTTTCCCTAAAACAGTACACTATGTATCATTTATGTATTACATACATGGAATATCCATGTATAGTCCATGAGTAATACATCTATGTAGCATTTTAAAACTCTGGTCATTCAAACAATTAAAAACATTTTTTGCTGCATTTTAGTTTTTGAAGTTATATGTTTACAATGTGAAAAATGTGTTTTAAAAATTGTTGTGGAGTGAAAATTAAATGTACAATTTAAATGCGTGAATTAAAAGGAGCAAGAAATATTGTCTGGTGAGTAATTATAGGGAATATAGTAAAACATCGATTAATAAGGTAAGAAAAAAATATTAATTTTTAAAGTGCAAAATCTCTACGATGTTTTAAACATCTAATATATTAATCATTCTTTCTTGTTTCTTTTCTGTCTATTTTTAGGAATAATTTTGTAAAGATTTTTTAGGAAATTAATTATTTTTTGAGTTACAGTGATAAGTTTTTTGTATGTGTAAATCGGCTTTTTTTAATGTTGTAAGTTTAAAATTATGTTAATTTTTAATAAATAAAGAGTTTGACATAAATCAGTTAAACTTTAATCATGAATATGTGCATTAATTAATAAAAATCCAGCATTTTTTATTTCAGGCGTTTCAATCCATTCATAGTACACAAAATAGTACAAATGTACTACATCAATGTACTGAACATGTATAGTACACAAAATCGCACAAATGTATTACATCAATGTACTATACATGGAACGTCCCCAAAATCGTCCATTATATCATCCATCTTCTTAGGACAATATCGTTCCATGTATCATCCATGGATGATACGCATGGACTATACATGGAATATTTTCGCGTAATACATGTATCATCCATCTATGGGATTTTGGTTACGTGGGCAATGTGTAATTTTATTGATGACATTTGCTAGATTTATTTGATCTATTTTAGGTCAATTGACTGTCTAAAATTGAATTGAATTTACTTTAAATGTCGAAGTTATTGAAAAATTTGGAATTGAACTTCAAGATTTGATTTGAGCATCTAATATATTCAAAGCTGATGAAAGGTTTTAAAAACAAACTCTAGGAAATGTTTGTTCTCAAATAATTGTTTATAGAATCAGAACTAGGACTAAGATCGTCGCACTCAGAGCATAGATTTAGATCATCTTTTAAAGATTTAATAAAAGTTAAAGGACAAGTTCAAAAGATTTGCTCAAATCTACTGCAAGCTTAGAACCTCAAAACTTATTGATGATTCCATTTATTCCCATCACATCCAGTAAAGCAAATAATGAGCGTTAAATTAGTTACGACAAAGTTCTGGGATTCTCCAAACAACATAAACGGGGAAGTACACAATAGATCATTTCAATACATTTATTCTACTATGTATTTTATGGTACATAGATCAAGTTCTTATTATGTCATAATTTATGATTTATGAGTTTCAAGTCTTCAATCAGTGCTTCTTCTTGCTGCTTTATAAAATTATTCATTACTCAGCAAAGTCTAAGTGAACTAGCAATTAATTATTCTAGTGCATTAATTAAGATCATCGTTCATTATCTGCTCAAGTATCAGCATGAGGAATTTCAATTAATTTGACGTCACTGCCGATTTTGTGAGAAATGAATATACACGTTTCGAGTTGTGCGTGGAATTGAAAGAATATTTTGCTTTGGGGTCATTCATAAATAACGTCTAGCATATGAAGCTGATATTGAGGCTCTATTTGAATGCTTATAAAACGCATAAACTTCATGTGATCAGCAATAGTAGCTCTAATAATTTAAATTGTCGTTAAACGTCATTTATGAATGATCCCCTACCTCAAAATCCGCAAGTCATTAAATATAATTTAAAATTCCTTTAAAGCTATTTTAATCCAAATCTGTACTTTCTCACAGATAGTGGCAACTACCTCAATGGTCTCAATATTCATGCCAAGAACATATTTCTTTTGTGATACGATCGCACACATAGTCTTCGTGATCACGTCATATCAGTTCTATCGGTACTGCATCAACTGTATTGAGGGCGAAAGTAAGTTTATCGCTGTATCAAAAGGTGAATCATTTACGCTTAAAGCGCCACCTTGTTGCTGTTGCTGTTTATGCCTTAAAACTTCATCGATAACGAAGTGAGTGATATCATTATTTGAACTGATAAAATTTAATTGGTTTTCTTTGTTTGGCTATTTTTTAGGGAGAAATTTTTATGGCTAAGAATTTTAGTGCTTCAAATGGCTATCGTCCATGTGATAATATTTTCCTTCATAAACATCCTGAACGTAGAAAATCCAAGTGTTGTTGAGGAGATTATGCTGTACTGCACACCATTTTTGGTCGTTACGATTCTCTTAGCTGTCTGGGGCTTCCAAATCACTATTCGACTACTTGTGCCTTACTATTCGAATTTAAATCTTCTCAAAAAGTTTTTAGCCTTTCAACTGGTCCTCGTCTTTTGCAAATTTCAGCCAGTGTTACTTAATTTAATTATGAAGCAATTTGAATGGAGCTGCGAGGGTTCAGCGACCGTTATTATTAAAATTCGAAGTAAGTATTAAGTGTTGATGTTCAAATTTGGTTGTTCAATACGTAATGCAGCATTTCGTAAGATGCACTGCCTAATTCATAATAATTTGGGTGTTGACATTTTAAGATGATTGCTTAACTTGACAAATGAATAACTAGATGTTTACTTGACTCCTTTGTTTGGCTGATCACATGATAAATTATAAAACTGTCTCTGATCTATTTTACATTTTACATCCTTTAAACCGGCTTAAACTCCCCAAAACCAAACAATCACATTCTGAACAGCACTGGAACTGACAACATTGACAACTGTATGAATAATATGCACTTTATCTATTTACAGCAATAACACAAATAATAATTCAGCTCGAGATGTTGCTGTTATCGCTATGGGCACATTTTCTTTATACAAACAATAACTGTAGAACTACAGTCAGTAAATAAGTAGCTGATTTACAAATCACTTCCGATCATTTCGAATGTACATACATAAAAAAATCTCATAAAAATTATGCAGACACAGAAAACAAAAAAGTTTAAGTACGGTACATGAAGAGTAACAACAACCAATTGACCTTGGAATGTTTATAGAAATTGGCTAGCCAACGCAATTGAGCAGGTTTGGATTACTCAATGTGTAATTGAAAGAGAAAGTACGACGAACTGCACAAAATGTGTCTTTAAATCCACTATTTTATAACAGATAAGCCAAGAACAAAGCTAAATACTTATAGAATTTATGTCTGTGAATTATTTATTTATATGACTGTGTTAATAAAAATTTACTATAGGATCAATGATAATTGTCTCTGTATATTTCAAGCCTTTGTTTACGGTATGAAAATGACGATAATAGTGATCGCAAACTTATAAGCGCTCAATGACATAATTCCAAATTATTTAGCAGCTTCTCCTTAATCGAATATGAACGACATAAATAAAGATACTCACTGCTAATATACATTTTCACAGACTTATATCGATAGTGACTGCTTTATTCAACTGCTGTTTCTTTACTGTAATTTAATAGGCTGTTTAAAATTGATTGAAGTTTACATTCTATACACAAAAGTTTTCTATCTGAATAAGCTGCTTGTATCTTTGTTTTGTTTATGCATTTTCATTGTTGTCGGGTATGGAAAACTATGTGCTACCTGAATTAGATGGATGTTTATAATGTTGTTCATAAAGGTTTTAATTATGGTTTCGATGTTAAAAGTTGGGGAGGGGGGGTGGGTGTCAAGAAGTATGTAACGTTTTAACTGTCGTCTGTCTTTTAAAAAAAATTCACGAATAATATTTGTTTACAAATTCACAACAAAAACATTTTTTTAAAATTTTTCACTTTTCTAACATAGGGGGGGGGGTGTGAGTTGTAAAAAGAAAATCGGTCTATTTCTGTTTTTCTATGGAATCTTAAAAATATTCTTTTGATGACCGAAAGAATATACAAAAGTCTACCAATCTCTGATCGAAAGCATCCAATTATTGATTATTCCCGCCAATTTCCTCACTAATTTGCTACAAGGGTTGATTAAATTCTTTTAACGGTTCTTAATAATTTAAATTTAACTCCAACCCTTGATTTTTTCACAGGCTAGTCTATCTCACATTTTCTCGCCAAATTTTAGCGAATAATCATTTTATTTAAGTTTTCTGAATAGTAAAGGCTAAATCTTGTAAGTATCATTAATTATTATCTATTAAGTAAATGAGAATCAAAGTGCAATGAAAATATCATAGAAAAGTAATTTAATTAAGGAAAAATCTTATCACATAATAGAGTAGAAAATTTTTATGTAATCGGAAGGATATGCTTGATTTTTAACACTTATTCAGACTATTTATAGACTAAAATTAGGTTTCATTAGCATTTTATGTCAACTGGATATACATTTATGTCAAATTTCGTGAATGTAAGGAAAGGTTGCATCACCAATTAAAACGTGCCATTTTCTCCAGTTCCATTTATAAGATCCAGTAGAACTAGTCTGGATAAAAACAGTTGACTTTTGTTCAAAACAATCTAGATAGTCAACAAATAAGATCTTAAAGATCCAGAATAGATAAGCAAATTCTCAGAAATTTTACGTTACGTAACATTCATAAGTCTCTTCTATGGACTTTGAAATTCAATAATATATTCTGTCTAGTCAGCAACAATAAGTTTAGTATAATTAAGGAAATTAAGAAAATAAATTAAAAACGTGGAGAAGAAATCCAGCCACAAAATTATTAAACACGTGATAAGACGCTTTCGTCATAAAAGCTTTGTATGTGTAAGTTAAGAATGTATGTCGAGAGCTTATAAATAAGCAAGATTCAAGGTCATTAAACGGTATTCATTGCACTTTATCACTTCTTTATAATGATGACAAATTAGGGACACTTGATGGTTATAAATCATATGATTAAAACAAACTATTTAAGCAGACTGAATAAATATCCAGCAATTAATAGCTTAATACTCATAGATTAGTCAATAATCCACTAATGTATTACTTCCATTTGTAGATAAACATGGGAGTTCCAGCTGGTGATGTTGAAAAGGGCAAGAAAGTCTTCGTCCAAAGATGCGCACAATGCCACACAGTCGAAGCTGGTGGCAAGAACAAAGTTGGTCCAAATTTGCACGGATTCTGGGGCCGTAAGACAGGTCAAGGCGAGGGATTCTCCTATACCGATGCTAACAAGTCAAAAGGTATTATCTGGGGTGAAGACACATTATTCGAATATCTCGAAAACCCAAAGAAATACATCCCTGGAACTAAGATGGTCTTTGCTGGAATCAAGAAGGTGCAAGAGCGTGCTGACTTGATCGCTTACCTTAAGGACGCAACAAAGTAAATCAAGCGAAACTTGATTAAGATAATATAAACGTATATGAATCCAGTTCAGCTTGATATTTCCGATACAAAAACAACAAAATGACATTTAATTATGGATGCATTTCATTTCTATACCTTAACTTTATATTTTTTTTCTCTGGTATATTATATGTGTGTGTATATCCATCCATCCCTTCTTATTACATAGATTCCTTTTTGTAACTAAAACACTACGTGTACAGATCAACATCCTTATTATTTTTTATAAATATACATTACAAAGTCAGGAGAAACTAATCATTGCCGCATTTTCGAAACAGTTTTTATTACTGTGTATTAAGAGATGGATTTATATATATGATAAAATATAGATTCAATTTATCATTTTGATGGAAACAAAAAAAAACCATTTTATTTATTCTATGAATTGTAAATATAAGCTGAACTCAACAAAATTAATAAATATATTAGACAAAGTTAATTGTGAGAAGTAAGGAATTAAAATTTGTGTTTTATTCGAGCTTTTCAGGTCATTTTATGCTTGCAAATTTTCTCTTTTAATTTTTTGATGTCGACATTCTTATTAAGAAAGTTTTTGATGACATGCTGTTGACTTTCAACTGTCACGACTGATTGGATTAAGGAACAACATAAAGACAGTTTGAGAAATACTGCTAAGGCTTTAAAATTGACCAAAATGATCAACTATTACTTCTAAATGACTCAAGTTGCCATTCTGACATCCAGGGCTTTTAATTTGAATACTTCCTATGGCAAATACTGAGTTTATGCTTCAATGTTAAGCTCTACTAGATTAACATACCATTCCACAGCTACATCTAGTTTCGAGTCTAATTTCATGTCTCATCATTTGATCACCAGCGTATTATCTAAGCCATTGAGAAGCACTGTCCTAATCCTAGGTTCTGAACTAATTAAATCATGTGATTAATCAGCTTCGTACCCTTGACCAAGACTTAAACCTTGAATCTTCTCAATCAACCTTGTCATTTCTCCTTTTCAAGGCAGCTTATTTTTAAACAAATAATTGTCAAAGGAACGCTGTCATAGAACTAAAACAGTTGTTTTACTTTACTTATTTGTTATCAGTTCTTTAAGTGATCTACGAGGAAAATAATAAAATATGTGACGTAAACCGTGTCAAGCCACGCTGCTGATATTAATGACGAATTTTGTTGTTGTTTGCTGCTTTTGTGGCATGAGATAAATTCAAAGGAGCAGCAAAATAAGATAGATTGTGATGAAGATGAGTCTCAAATAAAGACAGGAATAATAAACTAATACACAGCCCAAGTATAGCTACCTGTAATCTAATGATAATATTCCCAATTTACCTGAAAATATATTTATTGATCTACCTGAAGCTTTGGCAGGTAAAGTTGTGAAGATATTTAAGTTTTTATGTGATGTGATGGATTTGTCATAGCTTCTTAACTTCTATGAATATTTAGGAGGCCTGTAAAGTCTAATTGTAAAAAAAATCTATTAAAATTCAATTTCTGTAAACTCTTGTGAAGTATATAATTTAACTTTTTTCAAAAAATTACAATGAGCTGCAATAAAAATCATGTTCCCATCCATAAGCAATCAAAGATAAGTTAAGTTCGAATTGATTAATTAAAGCGCATTTAAAATAAGATGGAAAAAAGAATTTTTTTCAAATTTTTAATAGCCGTTAAATTTTTAAAGTTTTTTGAAAATAAATGTTTTTCGAATACAACAAAAATCACATATAAGCAAACTCAAATACAATAATAACAATTCATGTAATTTTTTTTATACTGATCGGTCGAGACAAAAAGATACATTTCGTCTACTCAATGGACCGTGAATTCACTTTTCTCATGATTTTTTTTATTAGTAATGATCTGCTTCAATATATTTTTTAATGTGCTTCATATGTTTGTTTTTTAATTTCGCACATGTCGGCGTATAGTAATTTCTTTATCAGGTTTATATTTAATAATTATAAGGATATATATAATCTTCTTTTGAAAGGATAGTAAACAAGTAGTGATTAATAAAATTTATTGTAAGAAAAAAATCATCTTGATTCGAATATTTTGCATGTTAAAGCCTATCGGTTCCAATAAAGTTGACAATACTAGCAATGCTGAATGAATTTTAAAAAGCCGTTAGAATTCAAATTCTACAAAACCTCTAAAATTTAAAATCTTACAAAGTCGTTAAAATTCAAATTCTACAAAACCTCTAAAATTTCAAATCTTACAAAGTCGTTAAAATTCAAATTCTACAAAACCTCTAAAATTTTAAATCTTACAAAGTCGTTAAAATTTAAATTCTACAAAACCTCTAAAATTTCAAATCTTACAAAGTCGTTAAAATTTAAATTCTACAAAACCTTTAAAATTTCAAATCTTACAAAGTCGTTAAAATTTAAATTCTACAATACCTAAAATTTCAAATCTTACAGTCATTAAAATTTAAATTCTACAAAACCTCTAAAATTTCAAATCTTACAAAGTCGTTAAAATTTAAATTCTACAAAACCTTTAAAATTTCAAATCTTACAAAGTCGTTAAAATTTAAATTCTACAAAACCTAAAATTTCAAATCTTACAAAGCAGTTAAAGTTCAAATTTTTCAAAGCCGTTAAAATTTAAAAAGTCGTTTAAATCATAAACTTTACTTGAACCGACAGAACATGCTTTTCATAATTTTTCCACGTTGTCATTCAGCATAACAACTCATTTTCAATGATTCTCTCATATTATTTGTTTTTTTTTTATATAAAAAATAGCAATAAAATATTCTTCCTGCATTTTCTTGCCGGCAATTCGATTATTTACATCAATTTAATATTATTAAACGTTTTTTTTTTCTTTCTGAAATAATTTAAAAACGATTGGTCTTACATCATTGCAACAGATACAACTTTTGGACTCAAAGATTTGTGGTTCGTTTTGAGAGCAAATTGGAAGTGAATTTAATTGATTTTTTGAGCCTTTATCATTAGGAATCAATATTGTGTTCTAATATCATGTCTTAAAGTGGAATCAATCATGATTAACTTGAAAAAATCTTAATGTCATTTAACCTTAATTTAATTAATTTAAAAAAAATGTTTTTATATAAATTGAGTTTAGTTTCATGAATTCACTTTCATTTTCATCAGAATTATGTAAAGAAATCTTTATTCGGGTATATTTAAGTCATTAAGATTGCAACTGAATTTTAACGGTTTTGTAAAATTCAATTCAAGAATCTAACCTAGTCATAGTTTAAATTCTACAAAACCGTTAAAGTTCAAATTAAAAAAAACGTTAAAATTCATTTTTTACCCCCTCAAAAAACCACAAACTTTATGATTTTTTAGCATTTTTTGGCAACAATCATACTTATTATTCGAGGCAACATACAGTAATGTACTTTAGTTAAATTTTATAATAGCATAATAACATTCTAATTCATCGCAATCTTTAAATACTTTTCATATTCATTCCACTTTTTAAAAAATTGTAGCTATTTAATGATTTATAATCCATTCGATTAAATCTTGAGATTAATAGTATTTTTGTTGCTTTTTTCATAGCAAGGAGCTGCCTAAAAAATTACTTTATATCATCTTTCATGTGTGTTTTATTTAATTAATTTAATATGTTGTTTATGTTTATTTAAGGATGCTATTAGGTTAATGCCGTCTGAACTATTTGCAATGATACTCAGGTGCGCCACAAAGTCAAATAGTCCAATCGACACTGTTATTAGGTAGGTAAGGTAGTTAAATTTCAAAGCAAATATATTTCATATAATTGTTACGCATTTTTCATACTTTTTCTTGTTTATCGTCGCAATGACTAGTGACTATTTTTGATGATTATCAAGTTTCCCTTTTATCTCTTCCCTCTTTTTTTGCATAACTAGCAATTCATCACTTAAATCATTACATAAACGAATGAGAAGGGAATTTTGCTCTTTTAAATATTTTAATAATTCTTGCGAGTTTTGATCATTTGCATTTCTCGGAAATTTTACTTGCTTTAAATTCTCACTGATCATATGCACCTGCTTCTCATAATCTTGTGTCTTTATCGTTTCATTTGGTTGAACTGGCGGCGATTGAGAACTACGAGATTTTGATGGCTTCCTGTACACCTCAAAAGCACTTGTTCGTTGCGATCCATTTGATGTTGATGGCCCAATTATAGAAGTTGTTGTTTGTAAACGAGGTTGTGGAACTGGTGGATTATCTAATCGAATTGTTGTTACATATTCGCCCGGCTTTTGTTGCTGCTAAAATTAGAAAATTGAGAATTCAATAATTATTAATCGAGTCATTCCAAACAATGTTTTCTAATTTTAATTTGACGTCAGAATGGATGAAAAGAATCAGATTGGGTCTTTACGTCAATTGAAACTTTTCAGAAATGTTGTTGCTGCTTTTATAACTTGTTGGAAATTAAGAATATTTTTAATGGAATTTTCAAATTCATATTTTAGCGGTCCATGTAAATTCAAACTTTGAAGTTCAAAAAATTTACCAGTTTTTGAGAATTCAAATTTTTAAGTTCAAAAATTTAAATCTCAAAAAGTCGCTTAAAACAAATTTGGTACTCATCAATTTCCTCAAGCCCAAACTGAATTTTCAATTTGACTTAATCATGCCAAACAAGTGAATTTCATCAATTGCACGCTACAAATGACTTTCTGACATTGTTTCAGCCTTACATCACAATCCGTGACTCATTAAAATACATTTATCTAATTTTAAATCCACCAGAAGTGACAATTTAAGCCACAATAGTACTTACTTTCGAACCCGCACCAGGAAATTGTGTAAAATCAGCAAAAGATTCCTCATTTTTCTTCACTGGAGGCTCAATATAAGTATCAACAGAGGGCATTTTAAAGCTTTTATCCGAAATTCGAGGAGGTGGAAGTTCTGGCGGCTGCGATGAGACATTTACTTCCTTATCTTGCGATGCATTATTATTCGATAATTTAATTCTTTGAAGATCTAAACTTGAACTTCTTGCGTGACGATGTGGCCTTTAATTAAATTGAACAAGAATAGAAATTAATTGTTTATGTCGCTCAAAGTTGACGATGAACGGACGAAGATAGACATTAATTAAATGAATAAAATTAAGTTACCTTGGAGGAGGCAAAGGCGGAATTTCCTTTTTATTGGTAAGCAATATTGACGTTCCACTCGCTCCAGAAATAGTCACTTGATTTGCTGACGACTCTATTGGTGGCATTGGAATTTGTCCAATATTTTTAGAAGCTGGCTTTTTCGGATGTGGTCGTTGAATTGCTCTCAAGTCATTCGGTAGTGAATCACGCTGATAATGTGACTGCTTCTTACTAAATTGCTGATGCTTTGGACTTCCGTCATCACGATCAAGCTTCACGACACCACTTTCATAAACTAGCGAGTCTGCTTTACGGAATGTTTTTAATGCCTCCTCATCGACGACTTCTGAAGCCGTTATGGGAGTCATTCTTAATGGAACTGGATGTATAACATTCAGTGGATCACTAACAATTGATTGTGTTACATTAACAGGCTTCGGTCCAGGACTTGATACATTTGATGTTGGCGACTCGGTAAATTTTGTCCATTCCTTATTATTCGGATTTGTTCCATCGACAACAGTTGATCCGTCCGTTTGTTGTATTGGCGAATTTGAACTGGATCGATTTACTGTAGTTATCACATTTTTATTCATTTGTTGCTTATTATTGTTGCTGGATAGATTTAAATTTAAATTATTTGTATTGTTGCTTACAACATTAGACGCTGATCCATCACCTTCGCCACGATGCTGCGACGAAAAATGATTTTTTGGCAACGTTGATGATTTATTCATGATTGTTTGCGAGGATTTTCCACTCGATAATGTACGATAATCATCATATGTCGATGAAATCATTCTCTGATATTCATTCTTATTTACAACATTACTACGCTGTGTGATATTACTACGATGACTGTCTTGATTGTCGTTGTCACTTTCTAAATTTAACAAATCGACTTCTGCTGCTGATGGCTCCTTGTGAGACAAACCGAGGGTTTTATATAAAATGTGAGGTTGTAGACACAACGGTAAGACTGATGGTATTGGAATATTATTTCGTCGTAACACAACGAGATGCATTGCGGCTGTGAATTCGGCTACGTCTAATGCACCGTCACGTGTAACATCACATAATTGCCAAATGTGTCGTAGCTCTTCAACAGGAATGCGTGATTTCTCAAAAAATACTCTAAAAATAGACAAAACAAAAAGTAAACGATTGAGATTTGTCAATGATCTATAATCGATAATTTTTGCGCACTTTTATTTCTGCGGAACAGATGTGCGAAAATCGTCTTGCACGATTTACTCGCTTAAACAGGCTTAAACTAATTAGCTATTGTTTGAAATTCAAATTTTAACGGTAGCTTAAAATTCAAATTTTTAATAAAGTTCAAAATTAGGTTCAAAAATTCAAATGAAAAATATCCGTTAAAATTCAAAGTTATAAAATACGTTACTCACTTTGCAACAACGCCAGACAATAAGCCACCGATATCAGGTTGGACAGTACGAAATTGCTTTAAATAATACTCTTTTTGTTCGGATGTTATCTGATATAAAGCCTCAAGATCTAAATCATCGTCGTCCTCATCGCTGCTGTGCTTATCAGATGACTCTTCTTCAGTTCCAAGCAATTGCCGCTGTTCCTCACACAAAAGTCCTTGCCAACTTTGTGAATTTGATGCCCACGGTCGTTCTGCAACGGAATTATGAGTAGAATTTGTTGGAGTCGGACTATCACTAGCCGTCGACCAATTAGGCGAACCGCCAGCACTTCTCTTCGTCTTTCCACTTTGCTTATTACTTGATAATGAATTAATACCTAAACGTTTTCGTGAACTGATCGAATTATCTCGCTCATTATCAGTCTGCTCCATTTCTGAATCCGTTGACGGTATATCTGAATTGACATTTCTATCGACCGCGAGTTGATGATGATGGTGATGATGATGAGATTCTTTTGATGCTGCTAATAATTCTATTAAGTCAGGACTTCGTTTAGATGATGTTGATGCTAAGAGACCATTCTGTTGATTTGGTTTATTTAATAGATTCGACGGATGATCAAGTATGACTTCTGGCGGTGGCTCTAATTCCAACTTCCAACTAAATTTCGGCAATCCTATCTGTATCGTACTGGATGTTAGAATTTCTTTACGTAACGGTATCGTCTTTGACTGATAAGCACCAATTAGTCTTAAGCACGAAAAGAATTGAGTGCGATTGAGATACAGGAAACTCGGTATGACACCAGCTAACTGATTTATCTATCGGGTGAATAGACATCATTAATATATATTTATAAATTACGACAATTAAAAGAGATAGAGAGAGAATCAAAATGTGTGTATATATGAATACTGGAATGATTGTATAGATGGAGGAGAAAAAGAAAGAAACTACATAGTATGTATGCATATATAAAATTATAATGAAAAGATCTGGATCTCGCGAATGAAAAAAAAATCATGTTGACCTTCCAGAGAAAAAAAAATAATCAAATTATATTTGCACACTTGAACAAGAGATAACCCTCGTTGTTTTAGACAAGATCTTGACAAGACAATGTACGGTATTTAACTAATAAAACACATTACAGGAACTTACTTCTAGTAAAATTTCATTATCTATATTTTCTGCTGTCCGAAAAAACTCTTCTGCCTTCAATTTGGGAACTTTACTAATCTTCTCGACATCGCACAGATTAAATAGATCATTGTAGTATTTTTTCTCGGCATCCGTTAATTCTATATCCATAATTAAGATTAATTAATGTAACTATTATATTAAAATACACTAAATTGAAACAAAATTTTTGCAAAACTAATTCTTCGTTCATTCACTGCTCTAAGTCAGAGAAAAATGCTCAAAATTTATGTCTGTTCGATGTCACTGATTGTGTTGGCATTAAAAAATTTGTCACTTGCTGTCTTGTTCCTACTTTAATTTAATTAAATAGATTTTTACAATTTATACACTTTTTTTGTTTACAAGTTTTTACATTTACAAAATTTAAATTCTTGAAATACGTTAAAATTTCAAAAATTGATTTTCTAATCTATTGAAGCCTTTACAATAAAGCTTAACAATAGTTTATGTTTCTAAGTGCCTTACATGCTGCATCAGCTCATCAATTACCATAATGAAGCGAGAATTTGTCATTTTATTCTGAACATTCTGCTTACTGATTTGATTTTGCAAAAGTTTTCACTAATTCTCATGAAACCTACTGTAGACGTTACTTCAAAACTATAGGGTATACCATGAAATACCTTCCTATTAACATCCAGTAACAAAAACAAACCCAAAAAAAGCAAAAACTTAAAATTTTGCAACCAAATCTAAAACCTAATTTTCCATATCATAGCATGGGTTGTAAGACATGAAATATAAACAATTAGCTAGCTTCTTAAGTATACTTTATGTAATTATAATCGATAGAAAGTGTAAGCTAAGTTATGTTTATTTTTGATTAAACATTTTTTTCGATCGCAGATCATTTTATCGTCTTTCACAATTTCAAAAAAATTCTTTTGGGTCGACGTCTTTAATATTTTCAAATCTTTTTAAACTGTTATTTTCTTTAATACCTTTATTGTCATTTTTTTCAGTCTTATCGCCAAATATATTCTTATCAGCTAATCAATCAATAAGAGACTAGTTTACGCTTTCAATAGACATCAAACAACTAAGAGTTGATCGTTAAAATCATTGAAAATTTTAAATTCCAGTGAACGTGTTTTTAAAATTCAAACAAAGAAAAAACTTTCAACAGCAAACTATCGTGAAGTATTTTTTCAATCATCAAATTTCATAATTATATAAAATAAACTGTAATTAAGGTATTTATACTCACATCGTTAGCTTAACATAGTCAATAAGCCTTCGTACTTTAGGAAAAACGTCAAGAACGATAAACGCATGTCGCCTATTTCGATAAACGAAGAAAAATCTGCAACGAGTTCAGAATTGAATGTTGAAGCAAAGGAATTTTATCCATTAAGCACCAATAATCACGAATCTGGTGAATCCAGTAATGCAGGAGTGAATTCGAAAGGCTCAGGTGCTGTTCCAAAAAAGTTTTATGAAAAAAGGAACAATCAACCTCGTTCAAAGAAATTTTATCCAGACAACCAGAGGAACTGGCGAAATAATGAGAACCGAGCTAGCTATGGAAGTAATGAGCATAGAAATTATGGAAGTAATGAGCATAGAAATTATGGAAGAAGCAACAGAAGAAATGATGCAGAACACAAAAATAATGAAGAGGGTAGAGAAATAAAAAAAAATAACGAAGAAAAGCAAGAGAGAAAGTTTTTTAAGAATAACCAGCACAGCTATGATCGTAGAGGTGGAAATAATGGTTATACGAGCAAGTTTAAAATCACAATTAAGCCTGACAATAATAAGAAACCAGAGCAGTCTGATAATGGAAGTAAAATAGAATCCACTAGCAAATCTGAGGAGATCCCATCAACATCTAATGAAGGACCAAACATCCAGCACAAACCGAAATACAATAATGATTACAAAAATCATAGAAAACGTCCACAGACAAAAAGGCCTGTTAATAAAATTTCAATTTCACAACGTGAGCAATTGATAAAAGAAATAGAAAGGAACACATTGGAATGCATGATTTGTTGCGAGAAAATTAAGGCTTATAATCCAATTTGGAGTTGCTTGGTCTGTTATCATATCTTACATCTTAATTGTATCAAAACATGGATGAAGAAGTCAATTGAATCAAGTGAAGATGGATTTAGATGTCCAGCATGTAATCAAATAGCTAAAATTAAGCCAGGAGAATATTTGTGTTTCTGTGGAAAGCTAAAGAATCCTCCACTTAATCGCAACGATCTTCCTCATTCCTGTGGAAATATGTGCCTAAATACATCAAACTGTGACCATCCTTGTAATTTAATTTGTCATCCAGGAGCTCACGAAAAGTGCTATGCTGTTGTCAACAAGTTCTGCGGATGCGGACGTACGTCAAAGAACTATCAATGTAGCATGAAAGCAACTTTTGAATGTGATTCAATTTGTGAGAAAGTTTTAAATTGTGGAGTCCATAAGTGCCCTAAAGTATGTCATCAAGGCGATTGCGAAGATTGCTCAGAAGAACTAGAATGTAACTGCTATTGTGGAACTGAAAGTAAGAAGATACTCTGTACAGTCGAAAACATTGACAAGACTAAATATTCATGCGATAATGTATGTGGAAAGACTTTAAATTGTGGCAATCATAAATGTGCTGAAAAGTGTCATGACGGTGCTTGTAAATCATGTAAATTAATGCCTCAATATGTCAAAACATGTCCATGTAGCAGAATGTCAATCAAAAGTGAAACTCGAAAGACATGCTTAGATCCAGTTCCATTATGTGATTCAGTTTGTAAAAAAGCACTCAAATGTGGTCCTTTATCATCTCCTCATCTCTGTGCCTCACAATGTCATTTAAACGAATGTCCACCGTGTGGACAGACAAGCAACATCAAGTGTCGTTGCGGACGAAAAGAGGAAAAAGTTCCATGCAAAGATTTATTAAATACAGACATGAGATGCAAAAAAAAATGTAATAAATTTAAGAGTTGTGGACGTCATAAGTGTAATAATGTATGCTGTATAGACATAGATCATACGTGCATGCAAAACTGTAATCGAATGTTGGACTGTCAATTGCACAAGTGTCAAAGAACTTGTCATATTGGAAATTGTGCTCCATGTCATCGTGTCTCTTTTGATGAATTAAGCTGTGAATGTGGACAAACAATTGTGTACCCACCGGTTCATTGTGGAACTGTGATTAAAGACTGCTCAAATAAATGCACTCGTAGACATAAATGTGGTCATCCTGTTGGACATAATTGTCATTCCGGTAAGAATAATTTGAGTGTTATTATTTTAAACCTGCTAAGGATCGTTTAAAATTTGAATTGATCAAAACCATACAAATGTTTTAAGGATTATGTTGCATAGACCGGGAAAATAATTCTGCAGAATTCTGGTAAAAAATTCTGATCAATTATTCTAGCAGAATATTAAAACAGAATTTCCAGAATTCTGAAAGCTTATTCTGATTAGAGATTTCAATCCCGGGATTACGGGATCAAGATATTCTTAGAATTTCTCACAAATCTTGTTAATTTTAAAGAGTAAAATAATAATAACCAGTAAGTTTTTACCAGATAATTTAAGAATTCTTTTTAACTTACAGTTTTCTTTTCAAAATTTTTTAAAATGTTAGAAATAAATGTTGTCAAATGCCCATTAAAATTTCCAAATTTTTTAAAAAAATTGAATTTTAAATAGAGTTTATGATCATTCGAATGCATCTCTAATAAAGCTGCGATAAAATCTATTATTTGAATTAAAAATTAAAGCTATTGATTTTTTTAAAGCAAAAGTTTTAAAAGTTTTGACAAAAAATCATAATGGCTTGACAAAAAAAAATCAAATTTTTACAATTTTTAAAATTTTAAATAATTTTTGATATGTAAAGTTAAAAGATAATCTTTGTAAAAACAAAAGCTTGATTGAAATTTTGGGCCGGTATTGAAATCCCTAATTCTGATGACAATTTTTTTCCATTTGCGAAAATAAATTTTTAAGAATTCTGATTCAAGCAGAATTTTTTTGTCAGAATTCTGATAATTCTAAAATCTACTTTTTTAAAAAATGTATATCAAGAATGAAATTTTTTAAAGGTTTTATTTAAAAAAAACTTTATTCATAGTTTATATATAAAATGAGTGTGTTGCATAGGATAGACAGAATAATTTTGCAGAATTCTGCTCAACAGTTGCGCAATAATTCTGCAGAATAATTCTGATGACAACAGAATAATTCTGAAGATTGTTTCTGATGAATGTTGCGTGACATGGATGTAACAAAAAAAAATCAACTAGAATAATTCTGAAGAACTTGTTTTTACTCTGTAGAATTATTCTGTTGAATTTTTTTTTCAGAATTTAATTTCCAAATTCTGCATAATTAAAAGTTTTGATGAATTACTTTATGAGAATGTGATTAAAGACTTAGTTTGAGTTTCACTAAGTTTGAAACAGAATATATATAAAATATGTATTCTGCAGAATTATTCTGTCTATCCTATGCAACACACTCATTTTATATATAAACTATGAATAAAGTTTTTTTTAATAAAAACTTTAAAAAATTTCATTCTTGATATACATTTTTTAAAAAAGTAGATTTTAGAATTATCAGAATTCTGACAAAAAAAATTCTGCTTGAATCAGAATTCTTCAAAATTTATTTTTGTAAATGGAAAAAAATTGTCATCAGAATCATCAGAATAAGTAGGGATTGGGGAACTTGTTAACAGAAAACAGAAAACAGCTGTTTTTCGACAAAAAACTGTTAACAGAAAACAGGTCTCAAAAACAGATCTGTTTTCAGTTTTTCGTTTTTACATATAATTTTCAGATAAAAAAATTCTTAATTTTTTGAAGAACCTAATAGGGTAAACCATGTTGAAATTTGTGCAATGTTGAAATTTGTGCGATCAAATGAAATGTAAATCATCTAAACTAAACCATTTATAGAAAAAATTTGTATGCAGTTCTTTGTAAAGCAGTTATTAAAACTTTTCTACTTCATTTTGGATTGTGTCGAAGGTTCTTATAGCTTTAAATTTCAATTATTCAAAATCCTATACAAAATGAAAGTTTAATTATTTGGACTCAACTAATGATTCTTCTTACCCCTTCAGAGTTGAAAAACAAATTTTCTTTATTGCTTTTTCGATTAAAAAAGTTTCTGGGTACGAAAAGTCATTGGAAGTCCTTCAAAAATTGATTTTAAAATGAGTTGTTTTCAAATGTTGAAATTTGTGCGAAATTTTTTGACAAATTTTGAAATTTGTGTGTTTTTTGTCGTAGAAAGCAATGTCACATTTTGTCAACAAAAATAATTATTTACAATCAAAATCGGGTTTTTAAAGGCATGAATCAAGATTAAGACAAAAATAAGATGAAGAAGACATGAACTGAGAGTAATGAAAAATGATTTCGACTCAAATATTCATACAGAATCAAGAAATTTCAAAAATACAACCAACTTCTCGTCATACTCAGTCAACATAAATGATATACATATCATTATGTAAATCTTGAAAAAAGTTCATTAATGCAGCAGTGTCCTTTAAAATTGAAATGGAAATTATTTGGAATTGTTTCTTAAAAGCAATCACCATTCAAAACCCTCGAAAATGCGTAAAAATATTGTTTGTTTACATTTCTGAATTGAAATGTGTCATTGCTTGCTGTCAAAAAAACGCACAAATTTCAACATTTTTTTGCACAAATTTTAAAATTTTCCGCACAAATTTCAACATTTGACCAAAAATATCAAATTTCTCTTCCTATAAGCAGCATAACCATCAATGAGTATAAAAAAATGAAAATTTCAACAATTTGTGATAATTTAAGACCAACAGTAATTTTTTACAGTAGGGCATTGAAAAGTTATAAGCAAATGAAATCTTCAAGTGCAAAAACACACAAATTTCAACATGGTTTACCCTATATTTTTCTAGCATTCCAAATTGAAATGCATTTACTATTTTAATATTTTTTGGATGTTTAATAGGTTTGAAATCATTATCAAATTTATGGTTAATCATTATTAATTTTGCAATCGAAATTTTAAATTTTTTGAACCTTTTGTAGCATTTACTAAAGTTCAAAAATATAATCAACAATTTTACAAGATATTTTTTTATTCAGAAAGATTTTTTGAATATTTAGTATTAGAGTTATGGACTTTTACAATGCAACAATGCAATGTCACTTAAAAGTATAAATTTTTTTGGATTTTTTTTGCATTTTTATGTTTCATTATATTTTTTGGAGTTAATTAACAAAAAAATTAAGAAATAATAATGCTTAGCTCTAAAATGTATGCTTAACTGCTTATAATCACCAAAAAGTTTCATTATCTTTGAGAAACACTTAGAATAACTCCGTTTTTCTTTAATTCTAGAAAAACAGGAAAACAGCTGTTTTTAAAAATCAAAAACCGAAAACAGACTGTTTTTCAAAAACAGCTGTTTTCCACAAACCCTAAGAATAAGCTTTCAGAATTCTGGAAATTCTGTTTTAATATTCTGCTAGAATAATTGATCAGAATTTTTTACCAAAATTCTGCAGAATTATTTTCCTGGTCTATGCAACACTCCCGTTTTGAGCTAACAGTTGCATGGTTCTCATTTTGAATCTAAAACACCCGTTGAAAAATAATCTTTTCTAAGACTTGATAAATCTGAAGTTTCACGACTAATCAAATTTCAACATCTTTTTAGAACCCGAATGTCCACCATGTGTCTTTTTAACAGCAAAATTTTGCCATGGAAAGCATGAAGAACGTAAGACAATCCCATGTAATCAAGATTCATTCTGTTGCGGAATGCCTTGTGGTAAAATGTTAAAATGTGTCCGTCATTATTGTATCAAGACATGTCATCAAGGAGATTGCGAGAAAAATGATGAAATATGTGCTCAAAAGTGCACAAAAAAGCGTATGGAATGTGAACATAGCTGTGCTGCAAAATGTCACGACGGTGAATGTCCTGACAATATCCCGTGTCGTGAGAGAATTCAAGTAACTTGTCAATGTGGAAATTTAAAATCGATTAAAACTTGCGAGCAAGTTGAATATGAGAATAGAAAATTGCAACGAGTTAGACTTACAGCACAGCAAAATGATGAGGCATCGACGTTGACCGAAATGCTTGGAGATTTTAAAAAGACTACGAAAATATTGGATTGTAACGATGAATGCAAGACAATTGAACGTAATCGTCGACTTGATATCGCCTTTAAGGTACAAAATCCGACTTTGGCAACAACACCAAAATTTGTGCCTGCATATAGTGAACATGTCCGTAATTTTTACAAGAAAGACTCAAATTTTGTCAATATGGTTCATGATAAATTAACAGAATTAGTTAAATTAGCTAAAGAGACTAAAAATGCAGCCTATCGCTGTTACTCATTTCCATCAATGAATCGAGATAAGCGTCATGTAATTCACGATGTGGGCGAAATGTTTGGTGTCGAGACAAAAGCTTTTGATGCTGAACCGAATCGTAATATTGTTGCAACTGCTGTTCGTGAATATTGCTGGCTCCCATCGATGAGTGTTGCTGAAGTTATTCAACGTGAAAATGGTGCTCGACGTCCTCCGATGAATCAGCTATTCAAGTAATGTTTTTTGTTATTATCACCTTTGATATTTTTTACTTTTTAGTAAAATCTTTTCAATAAAATCATTGTTGAGAGTTGTCAACTTTTTTGACCACTAAAACGCAGATTTTGATTTGTTTGAAAATAAATTACTAAAGTAATAAATCAAATCAACAGCTGTAAATTACAGCTGTAATTTAATTTTTAAGTAACGACGTAAGCTTATTTGTAATCTACAGCTGTAATTTTATTACAGCTAAAATTTGATGCTAAGTAGTATAGGGTCCAGTTTGAACTTAAAAATCAAATCAATAATTTTTGAATTTTGAACTTCCGTTATTTTGTGTAAAATTTGAATTTTCAATTGTCATTTATTAATTAAGTTTTTTAAGAGGTTTTATTAGTATCTAGAAGTTCAGAAAGTGAAGTTATAGCCTCAAGTTCATGATTTAATTGAAATCAATAAAATGTCAACGATAAATGACTAGCACTTCCTCATAAACAGCTCATCAATCTGAAATCTTGAATAATTAAATAACGAGCATTAAAAATAGGAACAAGGAGAAATATTTTGTTACTTAACATTTAATTTCTTTATTTTGTATGTGGATGTGATAGCAGTTACGTTTTATTATATAGTATAATTAACTTTTTCTCCTCCTTCCTTGCATCTAAACAAATATCAGAAGAAATATCTTTTTCAAACTAGGTTTGAGTAGTACAGTTGATAAAACATGACAAGATCTTAGGACATATTTAAGCATTTGTTAATGCAGCAACACCTGGTAAAGTCTTTCCCTCGAGCAATTCCAAACTAGCTCCACCGCCAGTTGAAACGTGTGAAACTTTGCTTTCTGTTCCCCATTTAGCACAGCAACTAGCTGTGTCACCGCCTCCAATAATAGTAACTGCTCCTTTGGCTGTAACATCTACAACTGCGTCCATTAATGCCTTAGTTCCTTTAGCGAAATTGGCGAATTCAAAGACACCACATGGTCCATTCCAGACGATTACCTTTGCACGAGCAACTGGTGCAGCAAAAAGATCACGAGTTTTTGGACCAACATCTAATCCCATCCAGCCACTTGGAACTCCACTTTCGATTGATGCCTCTCCAACTTCAGCATCCTCACCAAATTTAGATCCTGTGACAAAATCGACTGGTAAATGAAGTTGAACATTGTTCTTCTTTGCCTTTTCGACGAGATTCTTCACAATCTTTGAACCTTCTTCATCAAAAAGTGATCCACCAATTTCCATATTGTTGAGGACCTTTAAGAATGTGAAAGCCATTCCACCGCCAATAATCATCTCATTAACTTTGTCCAAGAGATTATCAATCAACTGGATTTTATCAGCAACTTTAGCGCCACCCAAAATAGCCAAGAATGGACGTGCTGGATTATCGAGAGCCTTTGCGAAGTATGTCAATTCCTTGTTCATCAACAAACCAGCAGCTCTCTTTTCGAAGCCCTCGCCCATCATTGAAGAATGAGCACGATGAGCAGTTCCAAATGCATCATTAACATAAACATCACCAAGTTTTGCAAGACTAGCACGGAATTCCTTGACTTTTTCTGCTGAAGCCTTAACTTTTGCGCCATTTGCATCGACTCCCTTACCCTCTTCTTCAACGTAGAATCGGAGATTCTCTAATAAGATGATTGAGCCTGGTTTTGGATCAGCACATGCTGCTTCAACCTCAGCACCGACACAGTCATTAAGGAAGGTGACATCCTTTCCAAGTAAAGTTTTTAATTCACCAGCAACTGGAGCCATTGTGAATTTTGGATTCTTGTTACCATCGGGACGTCCTAAATGTGACATCAAGACCTGATAAACAGAGATAAGAAGAATAAGAAGATATTTTATTGACCTTCAAATTTTGACTTTCCCTTCAGACACAAAAATATCGCGTGTGTACTATAAAAATAAGTAGTAAGGAACTCAATTGATGGTATAGAGTGAATAGCGCATACTCTTTAGGTGGCAATGAACTTTGGGATAAGAGTATGAGCGAGATATTCAATATGACTGAAAATGCACTCTTAACTGAACGATTTAGATATATTGCAACTTAATCTGTCATTTGACATTTTTGACACCTATACCTTAATCAATAAGAACAAACTTGAAACATCTAGATAGTGCTTGTAAATACAACAAGGCCAGAAAGAAATCAAAATACGTGGCAAAAATGACTTATTGATCACTGTTACTTATATAGATCCAGACGCATAGACAAAAGAGAAGCAATTTAAAAGAAAATACATTCTGGATGTATGGGAAAATTGCAACATAAATCGATTTTTCATATTGCATAAGAATTAATTATACTTACAACAGACTTGGCTCCTTTTTCCAATGCATATTTAACTGATTCCAAAGCAGCAACAATACGTTGGTTACTGGTGATCTTTCCTTCTTTAATTGGGACGTTAAAATCGACACTAAATTTCGTTATAGAGGATGAAAATTGATTTTATTGTTGTGAAAAGATCCAGAAACCGGAAAAGTGAAAACTCACCGCATTAATACACGCTTTCCAGCGAGATCCAAGTTCTCGATGCTTAATTTATTGAGAGCCATTGTTAATGTGTTGATTTTGCGACTGATAGGTGCTAAATTGTTAATAAAATTAATATTTTGTGTTCAGCACAAAACTTCTGTGACCTTTTCAAAGTCAATTGACTTTCTTTCCTGTCCCTTGCTGTTAAAGGCGTGGAAAAAAAATTCAAATTTTTAAAATCTGTTAAAACAGCAAAGATACATTCCTTCTTTTAGACAATCTTTAAAGGGAACTTTAAGGTATGGAGTATGGAGATTAAATCTTAGGTTACAACATATCTGAACAATTTTATTCCCTATTTTTTTATGTACGGTATTGAAATAAAATATTTAAGTTTTTTTTCATCATTTTAGTCCCGGGTAATAATTAAGGCTTTTTTAAAATGCGCAAAAAATTTGTCAATCAATAAAAGCAATTTTAGCAAAAAAGTTATAAAAAGTCAACAGCACATAGCGTTCCCAAGCGGTCACCCATCTAAGTACTAACTATGCTCGACGTTGCTTAACTTCGGTGTTCGGACGAGAACCGGTGGTTTCAACGTGATATGGTCGTTGACAAAGGCTTTTGTTGCTAGTTCTTCTTTTAAAATAATGAAATTTCTCATTTTTTTGACCCCAACATTAGCTATGTTTAACTTTTAATCAAGCAAGTTATCATTCTGTATTCCAAAAAATATTTCAACGTAACGATAAAATCCACTTATTCGTAACTTGATTCACTTCGATTACTGGTTTTGAACAGTTTGATTTAGATTTTATGTTCGCAAATAGTCAATTAAATTCTTTTAAATTGTGTGCATGATAAATAAAACGCTTTTTAGAACTGACCATACTCAACATTGTAAATCGAGCCTGTTAGATATGCTGAGAGAAATAGAATTTTTCAGCAATGATTGAAATTTTAAAGCCAATTAAGGAAACATGCAAACAGTGAACCGAACAAGATCAGACCAGATTAAAGTAAAGTATTGGAAATGGCTTACGTCAAACCACCCCTCTAGCTCGATTTATATTGCTATTTAGTGTATACTGTAATCAAGAGTTTATAATCGATGTACCGTAAACCGTGAATTAGGTACGTAACATCTAGAAATCGACTTCAATAGTGTTGGGGTGGGAGGAGCTTAATCCATACAACGTAATTTTGTGAATGGTTCTAAAGTACTTTTAACATTTTCCAATCTATAGTAGAATTGCCATGTAACTGCTGCAAACTGCTATTAACTGCTGTCTCCTTTTAAAATTTCAAATTTAAAAAGTCTGTTATTACAACAACAAAATTAATTTCCTACCCCTTAGACCACCCTAGAAGTTCGTTTCTCAATAAATTTTCAGTTTTCGTGAATTTTAATTAGTTTAAGTCGTTTTTATGTGCGTGATTATATCATAAAGACTAATCTTGATGGAAACAAGTTTGAAGGACCACACAGCACAACGAATTTCAATGGATAAGAGAAGAATTTTATAATTTTAAGGATTCATTTGCTGCGCATTGTGTTTATGAGTTAAATTTTCTATAAATATATCTAAAAATCATCTCCCAATATGAGGTAAGGGATGCATATATAGGCATGCAATTCACATTGTAATATATTGAATTTTTCAGGTACACAATTGTTCTTTTCATTTCTCTCTTCACATTTATGGACGTAAATTGCCATCAGAATCCATCAATATACTCAGAGAATCTAGAAGCAGCTGCACGCATAACACTCGAATTAATTAATGGAACAAATAATTTTCGTATGCATGGAAAGAAGGCAAAAGATGAGAGATGGGTATGGAATGATGGAAAAGAAGGTCGCTACATCTATTGTGTACGAGAAGCTAAAAATCCATGCCAAAAACTCGAAACAGACACTTGCTTCGGACAAAATATCCCATATAAGAATACAAATCAAGACATGACAAATTTCTTCAGTCAAGATGTTGCACTGGAGTTTCTTCATAGTTATCAAGCACTTAAGCATATACCAAAATGTTGGGCAGTCATTCAGCCATTCTTATGTGCTGTTCTGTTCCCTAAATGTGAAAAAATTAATAATATGGACATGATTTACTTACCGTCATTAGAAATGTGTAAAATAACGATGGAACCTTGTAAGATCCTCTACAATACAAGCTATTTCCCTGAATTCCTCAAATGTAATGAATCAGTTTTTCCATCAAAATGCAACAATGATGTGAGGGAAATGAAATTTAATATTAGTGGACAGTGCTTACATCCATTAACTCCAACAATTGATCCATCAAACAGCTATAAAGATATTGAAGGATGTGGATTAGAATGTAAAGATCCACTTTATACAGAAGATGAACATCGACAAATAAGAAAGTTAATTGGATGGTGTGCAAGTGTCTCATTGATTCTTCATCTTTTTGCCATCTTTACATTCACAATTGACTGGCATAATGGAAATAAATATCCAGCCTTAATAATCTTTTATGTAAATTTATGCTACATGATATCATGTATTGGATGGTTGGCTCAGTTCTTTCCTGGAGCGAAGCAGGATATTGTCTGTAGATTTGATAATACATTAAAGCAAGGCGAACCGAGTGGAGGAGAGAATCTATCATGCATTTTAGTGTTTATATTAGTTTATTACTTTTTAATGGCAGCTATGTGCTGGTTTGTAATATTCACATATGCTTGGCACATGAGCTTTAGAGCAATCGGAAAGATACAGGAGAGAATTGACAAGAAAGCGTCTTATTTCCATGTTATAGCTTGGAGTATTCCACTTGTTCTTACTATAACAATTTTGGCAATTTCTGAAGTCGATGCTAATAGCACTGTTGGAATCTGTTTTGTTGGATATGTTAATCATCCAATTCGTGGGGGCTTTGTGCTTGGTCCAGTTATATGCAGCTTGCTAATTGGTGGATACTTTCTTATAAGAGGCATCGTTATACTTATCAATTTGAAGATATCAAGCAAACAAATCATATCGACGCGTGCTAATCAGAAAATTAGGCAGTCAATTGTGAGAATGGGAATATGCTCATTGTTGATGTTTATTTTTATCATTACTACAATCTTGTGCCATATCTATGAATTTAAAAATTCTGGGAAATGGGCGATGAGCTTAAGGGAGTCGATTATGTAAGTGAATTTAAATTTATTTTTTTTGTAACGCACTTTTCAAATTTGAAAAATGTATATTTTTGAACTTTAACTCAAATTTGAATTTAAAAAACCGTTATTATTTTGAACTTTGAAAAGTTAAATCTTCTATTTCCGTTAATATTCAAATTTCAAAAGTTCGTTATACGAAACAAAAACAATTTGTTTGTAATTGATTAACATCAGACGCTACGCGTTAATTGTACTCAATAAAAATAACTTATTAATCAACAAAAATATTACTCAATTCACAGATGCAGAATAACAACGATGTATTCAGAAGAGGATGCGTCATCGTGTCGAATGACTTCTAGGCCATCAATTTCTCTCCTTCAGCTGCATTTAATGTCATTATTCTTATCAGGAATGGTTATGGCTTCATTTGTATTTACACCTTCATCTTTAGATATTTGGTCTAGGTACTTTCGACGGAAAATTTCCGGAAAGGTCGACGAACCGTTGAAACTTCAAAAGCATAAAGTCATTGCTCAAGCATTTGCAAAAAGAAAAGTCTTCCAGAATCAAGGACGTTTATCTATAAGCTTCCATAATTCGCACACTGATCCATGTAATTTAAAATTTGATATAAGTGACATGAATTCTGCTGTTGGATCGCATGATTTTAGCTCAACATGGGCTAATAACTTGCCACGATTTGTAAATCGGAGATATGCACTGACTGGATGTCCATCATCTTCCAGATCATCACATGGACACAGAAGAAACTCAATTGACTCAGAAATAAGCTTTTCCGTTCGTCACGTATCAGTTGAGTCGCGTAGAAATTCTAATGACTCACAAGTTTCTGTAAAAATTGCAGAAATGAAAACAAAAGTTGCAAGTCGGTCACGTGGATCCAAATCAAAGTCACGATCATCAAGACATCAACGACGAGACTTTACATCCAAAAGATATAGCCGAAAAGAAAGCAGCACATCAATGGAATCACAAATTCTTCAAATTGCTCAAAGACAGGGTGCTCATCATTCAGCAATAGAACCAAATAACGAAATGGCATTGGTTCCAATGTCACATCATCGTCGACGGTCTGGATTAATTGCTGATTTGAGTCCAGAACAAATTAATGAATTAATTGCAAAGAATCGATTTCTTTTGCCATACTTAACTACTTCTGAGGACGAAAAGTCTTCAGTTGGCTCATTTAACATCCAAGACTCCAAATTGGATGCAATTTTAAAGCAAATTGGACTCTCAGAACATAAAATAATAGAAAATAAGTTAAATAGTGATCATCACGATGGAGATTCAGGTGAAATTAAGATAAGAAAATCAATTAATGACTACTCAGACTTGAGTAGTAAAGAAAATATTGCTACGTTGGGTAGTCGTGCTATAAAATCCAGCAACAGAAGTATAAACAGCAAAAAGGGACTTAAAATGCCAAATAGAGCAAGAAAAGGAAGAAAATCATCACGAACAATCACTCGAAATGCAAATCCTTTGATATCAGGCTCGGGCAAGATGAAAATTGATAAGAAGGAAATGAGGAAATCCAAGGATAAAGAAAACTTGAAAAAATCTCAAGAAGAATCCTTTAATTCACTTGGTATTGAGCTTACGTCAATGAATCTTCATGGCTCATATTCTGGTCGCAGTGATATTGGAATTCAAACTGAATTGGCTCATGAATCGTCCACAGAATTTATTGATAATTTTACGACACGAGAAATGGACGATCAAGATGATGATGATGATGAAATCACTGAGGATTATAAGCTACTGAATAAGAGAACTTCCATAAGCCATTCGAAACGTCGAGGCACAAATGACATTACACTGACCGAGTCAGAGAAGTTGAAACTCCTTTTATTACCGTCGAAATAATCACAAAGTTTTATGTAAGGGTAGCAGAGTTGTTGAAATGGATTGGTTTTGGATGTGTGAACGGGTCTGATGAGGAAAAATTTGACTTAACGAGCAAATTTAAAGGAACATTTTTAAAAATCTAAGTTTTTCCAAATAATACTATTGCAACGCAAGTAGTTGTCAATAGGAATCCAACCCATATTTCATAATTTTGACTGTAATTTTCTACCATTTATCGCACAATTTTTCAAACCCCCCCTCCCTCCTAAAATGCGAACGTAATAAGTGAACGGCCCCTATCATGGCTTGCAGAAAAGGATGACAATACTTTGATAGAATTGGCAAGTGAATTTTTTTAAACGTATATCAGTTGGTAGTTGATCTGTAGCTTCCGTACATTCAATTTTCCTTCTATATAAAGAACCTTTATTTTATTACTTAATATTTTTTAAACGTCCTCCTTTAGAAAACCTTATAGCTATCCAAATTTCCTGACTCATTCCAAATCAATCAACATCATCGACTCTATATTTGACAAAGTATTAATTACTTAGCTTTATTGTTTAAGCATTAATTTAAGCCGCCTTAGCTATTAAGAGAGTGCCTTTAAAAAACCATTGAAACGAATTAATCAAAGTTTTTTGAATCGAATTATTTTTTAACAAGTTTAAATGACAAGAAACATATTTTGTGTTGATAACAAAATACTCGAATGAAAAATTATCTAATGCATTTAAAATACTTTTTTATAACAAATTTGACTGATTATTGTAGAGATTTTATAATAAAGCTTTATGCCGACAATAAAAATTAAATATTTTACAAGAAAAATAGTTTTGTAACTGGAATAATTTCTTGCTGTATGAAACAATTGTAAGCTGAAGTTTATAGGTGGTTTACATATTCAAACTTAATCATGTCAGGTTCAGGATTTCATTAGAAACTTTAAATTAAATTGTCATACAACTTGTATAATGAGTTGTTATTTAGTTTGAGTAAAATGTTTGTGGTATGTATCCGTGCCTATCACAAGGCAACGTCACACTAAAGAGGATAGGGGAAACAGAAAGAGGCAGTTTATTATCATCATTCAAGAAATATACATCGAATTTATTTTGTTAATCTATAATTAAACATTAATGGCATTAAATAAATTGCAATAGTACATATTTAGTTCATATATAGTATATATACATTTATTGTTTATTTAGATTAAAAGCATAGCTAAAGGTGCTGAAATTGGCACTAAAATTGAAGAATAAATAAAGACCACATGAGTTTTCAGACACATGATCTTTTTCATAGACATTCCACATATTTAGAACTAGACATTAGAAGAATTTCGTGTGATAACCCTAGAATAGTGCAGTCATTGTCGGTTTATAGAGTTTTTGATTCATCTGTGAATAGCTTTCGACCTATTGTGATTCCATTAGTTCAAATTTTCGACCCATATAAAGAGCTAGACTTTCATTCAGAACAACCAAGAGTTATAAATCCAGTTCCAATTACACCATTTTCCTTTATTGAACCCCAACACCGCTACAGGTATAAGGTCATTTTTCAGCGCTGTTTAAATTTTTGATATGTCCCAGAGCTGCAAAAAAGATCCATTTTGTTCTTAATGAATTTATTTGACCGCTTTTGTCTACTTCAGATGAGAAAATTGTTCAAGACGACCTCGGTAGTTAAATTTTCAAACATTCAACACCAGCTGTATATATCTCCAACTGACAGCAAAAAATGTAAACACGAACGACCTTGAAAGCAACAAAAAACTGAATGATTTGAAGCAAGAAGAAGAAGATTCGCATGGATATGAACAGCAATAAACAAGCGCAAGAAGTCTCAACATTTCTGGTTTAACGACTTTAAACTGCTCTGACGCAATCAAATGGGGAATTCTTTATTTTTTTAACGAAGAACTTGATTAATTCTATTTTGTTAATTAAAGTTTAATCCTAAGTTATTGTTTTCCGAATGTTTTCTTAAGTTTCTGGATAAAGACATCATTATAATTTTAAGCCAGGCTACTTGCAGAACAGTTTACAGGACCAAAAACACTGCAATATTAAATGTTTAAATTTTAAAACCACAGAAGTTACAATAACAAGACAATTTGATCATTTTATTGCTTTTAAGTTGTGAAGTTTTTCAAGCTCATACACCAATTTTTAAGATTTTTTCTTAAGCACTTTTCCCTGCCTTAGCTTTCTTCTTCTTCGATGTTGTCTCCTCCTTAGTCTTTGATCCCCAAACCAAATTATTGATAAATTGTCCTAAGAAGTACAAGGTTATTGGTATAGACAGCGAGAATGCAAAGAATCCAATCCTTTCTGGCCAGCTGAGTACGGAAAGAACATTGTACACCCATCGGTCTGTATTAGCTTTAATGCAGAATATCCATCCTAAATAAATTGCTTGTATAATAACCATTCCAGCCATTGCTGACTTAATGCATGGATATTTTCTTGGTGTGATGAACAATTCGATTGCCATGAAAATCATGACATTCGTGTGGACGAGGTGGTTCAACCAGAATGGGAAAAATCTGATAAAAAGAGGGAAAATAAAAATTGAACAATTTATGGCTATAAAAAGGGTCAGTCTGTCTCATACTCATCCACTTCTTTCGGCATGACAAGGTTGCGATCGATAATCATTAAAACATGGAACATAAGTCCAACGTTAAATGCGAATGGAAACGCAAATGTTGCGAAAAGATAATCACGAATTTTTCTAATCAACGGCTTATTTTTTGGCACCGGTTCATTACTTCCAATTAAGTCGTTGAGCAGAGCAACGGTGAAGTAAATACATTGAAAGACCTACAAAAGAGATGAGAACTGTAAACACAAATATTTTCATCTATCAATCTGTTCGTATATGTGTGAAATGAGTTGTGATGCTTGAATTAATTAAAGGGCTCTAGCGCGTTTTTCTCGAAAAAGTTTGAGGGAACAATAAAAAGTTTCTAATCTTTTTATATAAAGTCAAAGACACGTAGATCACTAATATGAACAGTGTTAGATGCCTGTTTTTCACAATAATGCTAGACATACTGCTTGTTCTCGGCTTACCTTAATCTATACCTAATTGATTGTGCTAGAAAATAGAATTCTCTTTGAAACTTGACTAAATCATAATAATATTGAATAATTATTCCAAAAATAGACCTCAATAGCCGGCGGATATAAAGCATTACTGAAATCAGTGTTAGCAAGTGTAATTATTCTAATGAACCACAACCGCAATTGATATAGGAAGAGCTCCTATTCAATATTTATTTACGAGGAATAAGAAGAATAGGGGCTTGTCGCGACACCGCAAACAAGAATTGTACTGAATGCATAAAGTGAGTGTCAACAATTATGTCTCATTTCTATGAGAAGCGCGTGTCTGACTTTTGATATTTTGTGAACAATCAGATACCTTTAATTCCACTAATTGATCACCGACCAAAGTGCAAAAGAACATCAATAATCTTAATAGAAATACGCGCTAAATGATACTCAGATTGATACACTACAAGATTAAGATAACACAACTCATTTGATACACTCGAAATATTTTCCATAATACTTGAATTCTTGATTATCAATTACCAAGTTCCATATCGTAAGATAAACTGTAAAGAACACGACACAAAAAAATATTTCACGTTACTTAATTTAATTAAATATTGATCAAATAAAAGTCATGACTACACTCACTAAATCTTCCACCGAATTCGAATTTCCTGAACTTTTGATCAGGCTCGGTTATGTATTTTTGATCGTAATAGAATCCAAAGTAAAAATGAACGACAGCAACTAAATGAAATAACGTAACGATTCCCATTTTGTTGTGAATATTCTTTTAAATCTGTAGAATCCGAAAAAAAGGTCAAAGTCTCGCACACTTTCTTTCTTCTGCTTGCTTGCTAGCTATACCGTTAAAAGTTGAATACAAACTGATATTAGTCGCATGCGGAGAGTAAATCTAATGCTGATTGTGGATGTTCACTATGATGTTTTATCATTGTTGACTGCTTTGTTTACCATCTGTTGTAATGCTATAGTAATTAGATGTCTCTTGGACATAAAGATGTAAGTAAAGAGAAAGTTGAGTTGACGATTTGATGGAAATTTTTTTGGAGATTGTTTTTTTAACTGCTCAATTAGAGAGTAATTTGTGGTTTAATTAAATAACCTGGTTTGCTACAAATTTAAGCTTTTTACTTGTTTTCTGTCCAACATTGTCAAGCAAGAACACACTTTTGACTATTTTTTCACAAAGATACTCTTTACAGAGCTAAAAGAGTGATGTCTAGAGTAAGATCCAAAATAATTTTAACAAATTTAAGATTTTAATTGTTCTCTTTTCATCTTGACTATGTTTGGTTTAGATCAGACCTGATCTTAATTGATTCATGATTCAGATGGAACTGAAAAAGTGGCTTCTGACACCTAACATAAATTAACAACGCAAAGTACTAGGTTCATAATTATTTCTGACTTTATCGACTTGGTTCAAACCGATCAAATGTAAATGAAACTTTAACACATAATTTTCAAAACATCCAATTCCTAAAAAACATCAAAATACTCCAATATATTGTAAATTTTTGTCCTAATATCCAAAGATAAGATAAGAATCGATTCTGAAAATAAATCAACAAAGTTCAAAATAACTTAAACCTCAAAATGTAATTGTAATGATTTTTAAATTTAAATTTATTTGAGAATTTTCGATTTTTAGCTTAATTATACTATATGCAATAAGAACATGCAGATAGATGATGATTTTCATTTAGTATAAAATTGTTTTCATATTAATTTAAATATGTTCTTTCAATAAAAGCAGAATTGTAGTTGTTTCATGCACCATCAAATTGTGTAACTTGTGAATTTTTTTTATATATTCTTTGGTGCTTTTTTTCTTTTTATTATTTTAATTTAATAAGAGAATTTCATTTTTATCATGATTTTGGTTATAATTTCATTGATTTTACTGGTGCATAATAATCATTTCTAGTTAAATACTGCAACATAAATCTCAACATAAATATAGATATACTTTTTCTTTTTGTGAAGAAGGAAACAATTAAATTGTTTGCATAAGCGATTTGCTAATAGACATAAATTATAGGCAAGGAAGTAGTATCGGATAGAATCGATCATTAAATTGCGCAAAGTGACAATTTTGAGTTCTTAAATATGATTGTTGAATTGATCAAAGTTCAAAACATGGTCGATTAGCTAAGATTGATTCAAAACATCGATCTTATATCAAGGTTTAAGAATCAAGAACAAGATCTTGCTGCACAACTAGTTGTCATCAATTTTAGACTGAAGTTGTCCCTTAAACATCATTTAAAAGTTATGAATTGGTTTATAATAAGTCAATGTATGGGCGTAATAATCTATGGCTTTTCTAGTTTATGCATCCATCCGATACTAATTGATTGTTGCATATATAGAACATAAGCAGTCAGTAGTCTAGTTGCCACTAATAAAAACACTTAATTTGAATCCACAAACTCTCCATAATCCCTTCTATTCACAAGTGATCACTACAGCTTCCCACTTATGCTCTCATATATCGCACACTTTGGATTATTATAGTTAGAACTAATCAAACTGTCTCTAATGGAAACATAACATTTATGCTTTGCTTCTGTTTCATAAACATCAAATACATGTAAATTTACGATAAATTGGTTTTCTTCTTATATCCAAAAGTTTCAGATTTGTCTGAAATCTTTTAATATCATCATCGAAAAAATGTAATGTGTAAAGTTCTATTCGTGAATTATAGTTTTTTTCAACGAAGGAATTTCCTTCAATTTTCTAATACATGCAAAATTTTCCTTTATTATGTTTTTTTGTAAATTTGGTTTTTACGGTTTTTACTCAAAAAATTGTTTTTTTTTTTTTTTGTCAAAAAGAGGAAAGTTTGCATTTTTTCAAGTCTCTCAAATTTAGTGAGCTTTCTTCGATTCATGCTTCGTTGCCTGTTTAATTTCCTTAACCCAAATTTGTTCATTAAAGAACTCACCAAAAATGTAAAGTCCAATTGAAAAGACGAGCGATAATGCAAAGAATACTAATCGTTGAGGCAAATTGAGAACCTCAAGAATTGGATATACCCAAATATTTGACTTGTATTTGATTACGTGGAGCCAACCGAGATAAGCTGCCATAAAGATTGATAGTCCTGCTAATCCAGCCTTTCGACTTGGATATAAACGGAATGATGTGAAAAGCTCGAGAACAATGAAGATCATGATGTTTGTGTGCATGATGTGGTTCAGCCAGCTACAATGAAGAAGTCAGGATAAGCTTTATGAATTTATTGGTAAGCTATGTAAGAACTTACTTTGGGAAGAATGCATCAATTGCTTTTGGGAACACCAATTCACGATCGACAGCATAAAGTCCCCAGAATGTGATTCCCCTGTAAAGAAAGCCAAAGATTCGGGAGTCAACACACTGAACAAAATCAATAACAATCCAATACTTACACATTAAATGCCACTGGAAATGCAAATGCCGCAAAGAAGTAATCCTTAAATTTACGGATTAATGGAACTTTTGATGACTTCAAAACAACCTCATTTGTTCCGGCAACATCATTAAGAAGAGCAATGATGAAGTAAGTTGCTTGAATGATCTATAAAAGAGGAAGAAAAAGAAGGAAAATTTGATGTTTTAGAAACTGTTGAGCTACAATTTTTCTGCGACTGTTATTGCTTAATTTTATGAATGGGGAATAAGAGAACTAAGAATACACGATACAATTTTTGTTAATTATTTGCGAATATTTTTGAGCAGTTCCAATGGAGTAGCGCTGATAATTATGGGTATGTAAGTCTGATGACATGACCTTTGTTAACACTGCATGTCATTATATAATGTAGCGATAATTGGGCATTAAACCTTGATTTTATTTTTGGGATTTCACAAATCTAGACAGGCTGTAATAAAACTCAAGGCAAACTTATAATTCAATATTAAGTAATGCAAAGAGAAGCTGTACTTCATCATCTTCAGATATACTCAATTATGCATTAATTTAAAAAAAAAAAACAGACTTAAAACAAGTTTGTCACTACCTCAGATAGATTGTTATGCGTGAACGTTGCATTGCTTCCTAATCGATCAATACAATGCTGCATGCTTGTTTTTTGTAATTAGAAAACTTTGTTCGAATATTTCCAATTTTACAGCTTTTTTGATAATTTTAATCACGGGCAAAATTATAATTCCTTTGATAACACAATTCACAAGTCTAAATGCACAGTTCTTATCAAAAGTCAATTCTTACCGCATCCAAAAAAGTCAAATATTTGAACTTTCCACCGAAAGTTGTGCGATTGTGTTTTATTGCTTTTTCAGGTACATAAACATAAGTCCAGTCATAAAATATAGAATAAATAAACTGAACTGCAGCTATGAAATGAAATAGTTTCACTAAAGCTAAGAATATTCCTCTATTCCAAGTATTTGTTGCCTTTTTTGACATTTTCACTGTTTATAGCTTGAATTGTTCGAAATGACTGAGATTTTCAATGTTGACAAAAATGAGGAAAACAGTGACAATCAGATAACATTCGGAACAAAACATTTAAATATTCAATAAAAACATTGAAGTTTGGGAAACTTAAAATTCTATCTAGGCAAGCAAAAGTGTTAATGGATGTAAATTGTACGTTGGAAGTTGTTTTTTTTTTTTTTCAAATGATTTTTTTGCGTCATTTTAAAGTGATGCGAAATGTTTTGCATCATCTTCAAGTGATGCGAAATGTTTTGCATCATCTTCAAGTGATGCGAAATGTCTTGCATCATATTTAAGTGATGCGAAATGTTTTGCGTCTTTTCTGATACAAAAAGTTGTTAATTAGACTAGGTTTGCATATTTTAATTAGATTAACGCTTTGCATTGCTTTAAATCCCTAAATATCATCATATTCTGCCCAAATAGTCACAAATAATCGCAATTCTACATGCACTAAATCGTACAATCAAGACTTGAACTTGACTCTACACATACTTCACATCCACAGAATATACAAATACAAAGTAAACAGTTTGACATTACGTGTGACTAGACTCGTTAAGGTGTACAACACGAAAGATAACAAGTCCAAACTTTACAGCTTCAGATTGATTAAAAATTGATAATAAATGCATAAATTCTCTTATCGCTTCCTCTTATCAGTCACAACTGACTTGTTTACATTATTTGCACATCAAAATGCTCTTCAGTATCCTAAATATAGCTTCATATAAATCAAAATATCCCTCGACCCATTTTCGTATTAAACGGATACACCTGGCAAGTTTGATGCTATTAATGTTACAATAACAATTGAGACCTTTTACATAAATTTTACGAGAGATTATTCAGTGGGAAACAGATTTCTTCTTACTCGTGTATATTATGGATTGATGGGATGTATTATATCACAATGTACACACTTCATTACGTGAATTGTCTTGTTTATTTTTAGAGTAACGTGTTCGGAAATCAATAACTTTCATAATATTGTATCTCTTTAAAGAAATGTGGACAGCTTGGGTAAATAATAAATGCAATTATCATCCATTTTTATGAAATGTGAAGTTTATAAAGTAACCAAAATGTTCCATATAATCTTCCTTCGACGTCGATGGAAGATCAAATGTATCATTATTTTTATACCGAGCCCACTTAGGCTCAAATCCTACGAAAAATCATCAAAAAAATATTTTTTTGAAGGAAAATAATATTTGTTATTAATTTGGCATTTGTCATATACTTCACAAGTGCTCGCAGAAATCACTATTATAAGTTCTCTCTAAATTTGTATGGGGCTTTCAATTAATTATTTATCTTCCTCAGGTTTGTATGCGAGTCTTGAGCGTTCGTCAGTATGCGACTTAATTAAATTAAGTCCTTTTGTTCTTTTTTGTAGTGTTAGTGTACTTTAATTAAGTACACACTAATACTTTTACGATAATTTACACAAATAAATAAAAAATACAAAAGAACACGTGGAATTTAGCACGTGTATTTATCCAAAAAAAAGTAATTCATTTGTTTTCCATTTGTATTCCTTTGATGTATTACATTGATTTCTTATTGCATTATCCATTTATCTTCCAATTTCATAGGACATCATCTTCCCATGGATAAAACATGGATAATACATATGTATCATCCATGAAAGATTCTCATGGAATACATTGATCTACCTTTTGGTTACTTGGGTATCGTTGTGAAATTACTTTTATAAGTTATGTTGAGATTTTTACTTTGAATCAGGGCAATAAAAGAACGGCTAGATAGTCATGAATCATTTTGGAGTTTGTTCAATTGTAATATTCACTGATTTTTATAATTTTGATGTCAAATTAGGTCAATAGATCGTGAAAATTTGGTATTTAGATGGCTTCCTCGAATAAAATATACAGTTAAGGAACAATCACTAATGCTATATAGTCGAGTTACTCGAGATTCGTTATTTTTGATCAGTCTAGATAATTAAAGACCTATTTTGTAATGCACCCCACCAGTCAACATCACCAAATTCGGCAAATCTTATTAAATTAATAATTCCCCAGAATTTTACTCTTTATAGATAAAACCATCGATATTTACATGTTCAATTAAACTTATGAAGATCTGATTATAATTCCTAGTTACACCTCAAAATTTAAAATTCTTAGCCATCAATTTGCATTTGTTTTAAGACATATTTTACTTTAAAGTTGTTTATATTTGACTCAGGCATCTGGATAAAGGCACTAATGTGTTAGTCTTTTGGGCTAATAACTTTCACCTTCTTACTGCACAGTTGTATACAACAATTATGTCTGATAAACATTGGGTCTGCAGGTTCTGTTTAGGATTGACGTCATGTGACTTTAGGACAGGGGTGTAGTAAGGGGGTTTCGGAGTCAACCCCTCTTGGATGGGAAAATTATGTCAATATTGCTAGAAAAGAATCTTGAAAAAAGTTCTGACTACATCCTTGCTTTGGAATTTAAACATTATTTTTGACCGAATTGGTACTTTTTGGTATTTGTTCTAGAACTCTCGAGACGGACTTGAATATTTTTGAGGCACACAGCTCGAGAAATTGTACATTATAAGTATGTAGTAACTAGTAGGTGGTAACTGATTAAGCTACTAAAAACCTCTCTAATATTATTCATTTGGTCACTAATAATCAATCAATAATGTACAAAATGTCATTAACTCCATGCAACAGCTGAGTGGCTACAACACATTCAATTATAATCAGCTTTAAAATATGTAAATGCTAGACGTGTAGTAAAGTCATTTGACGATAATAACTAGTCATATCAATAAATATCTTGGTTGAATTATTGATAAAATTTTAATGGATTTTTTCCACAATTCTTTTATTCATGCGTCAACCTGTGCCTTTAAATTATTTCTAAACAAAAAAGTTATTGTCAATATTTTATAGCACCACATCAATTAGTGATATCTTGAAAAAAAATCATCAAAAATTAAACTATATATAATTAAAGTTCCATGTCTACATGACATGATATTGCTTGACTGCATATCACAAAAGAGTAGCGATGTCATTTTCCACAACTTTAATGCAGTTTTGTGTCTAAATAATGGCAACAATAATCTATTCCATAACTTAATTTAATAACGATCGAAAATTACATTGCAAATTATCGACTGTTGAGTAACTCAATTACTAAGCACAAAATAATTTTTAACATGGGGTTTGTTCATAAATGACGTTTCAATAGACATAAGAAGATTTTCACAGAAAACTAATTTATTATTCAGTTGCAGACTGCCAGTGACTTCATAAACAGCTGACGTCATATATGAACAAACCCCAATAGAATATTCAATGACACTCACCAGACACCAGTATGTCAGGAACTTGCTCATTCCACCAAATTCCATTTTTAGCATTTTTGGCACTCCTTTGACATCAGGTATGTTTAAATTCCAATTAAAATGCATGGCATAAAAGAATTGACCTATGGCAAGGATGTGTAAGATTCCCGAAAATAAACGCGACTCGTAAAATTGAAAATTGCTCATTTTTGTAGATTGATTTTTTAAAAACTTCTTTAAGCTCTTCAAATATTACTAGATTTTATTGAAAAAATTTGTTTTTGTGTCTTTTAACGTACGAGAAAATAACTTTTATTGAAAACTGTGCCACAAAGGAAATTTTTATGTCCACATTGTTATTGATTTTTCACTTTCTGTGAAGAAATTTCTTTTTGCTGCTGCTCGTCTTGAGCTTTTTGTGGCTTATTTTATCCAATTATTCTACTTTTATTAATTCAATTTTCTTCAATATCCACACATAAATCATTCAATTTATATCCTTAATTAATAATAAAATCTGATAAAAAAATATCTCGATAACTTTTTCCTTTTCGTGAGACCGTCAAGAACTTAAAATTTCAACTGCGACAACAAAAAATAAATTTTTTCTTCCACAAAAAATTGAATGTTTTCATCGCACACAGTCACAAGAACAGAATCAGAATGTCTGTGTGATGCACTATGGGGCAAAATGAAAAAAAAAGGGACTTTCACTTTGAAAAATGGACTTTTCCGATTTACACTTTTTGGGTGATTTTTTCTTGTAGAGGACATAAAAGTAGATAGAAATGCCAAATTTCAGGTCATTTGGTGCTGATTTCGCGATTCTAGAGCTGTTTGAAGTTGAAAACTAGTGAAAATTCTGGTTTTTTCATACCATGTTTGAACCGGGAAATATCTTAACTGGTTTAAGATATTGCAAAACGGTTTTCAGTTCCTATTAGTAGTATATAAGAGCTTTATTTTGACATATAACAAAGTTTAGGTTCTGAATGTTTTCGTGCCATTATGGTAGAACATATGTGAAAATTTCAGGAAAATTATCTTCAAACAAGCCGCAACTATCATAAATGAAGAGTTTCCAGGCAAGTAAAAACGCAGTTTTGTAGCCCCATATATCTAGTTTTCAAAACTGTATAAACTTTGAAAAAGTAAGCTAACGTAATTGAGTTATGTTGATTTTAGTAGGTCGTTGAGTATTTGGCCAAAAACTAATAATTCTTTTAAAAATACGAAAACATAGTTTTAAAAATAGTTTTTTGGTGTTTTCTTATGAAAAATAACAATTTAAATGATTTTGTGAAGAAAATTTTTCAAAAACTTCAAAATCTTTCGAGATATAGGGGGTATGTGCTCTCCATCGATTTGGCCATTTGTCACCCTACTTAAACCACTATAACTTTTTTTTGAAAAAATATTTTTTAATTCTGTTTTCGGATTATTGTAGCCTAATGTAATACCTATCCAACGATATATAATACTTGCTAGTTAACTTAGTCCTGGTTATTTATAGGGCTGTTGATTGTGACATACGCAGTTTTTGAAATATTCCCAAAAATTGCATTTTCAAAAATACCACTTTTAAGCAATCTCGAGTATTTTTTTAGAACTTTTTTATGTTTATTTATGACATTTATGAGATTATAAAGCCAAAAAATTAAATTTAGAAACTTTTTACTTCCCTAGTTAACAACTTTGTAAAGTACCCTTGGTAGTCACTATCAGGTGTGAAAATCTCAGTTTTGAAACTATTTTATATATATACTCGTGAAATTCTCTCTACACATCATATCAGTTTTGAACTTCATTGAACAAGTCACTTTCAAAAATGAACCAAAATTCAACACTTACGAAGAAAACACTCTGTGAAATTCTTCGCGACAAAACGTTAAATCTTGCAACACAGCACACGTACTGTTTGGCAGTAATAGAAGAAATTCATGGGAGAGAATTAGCGGAATCTCAGAAACCAAGTTTAATTAATAAATTAAACAAGCTGAAGTCAAAGTCAAAAATGTTTTGTAATCAGTCAAATTGGAATAATGCATTAAGAGATCATGCAGATTTCTATGAAGAGGAATTTGAAGTTGACTCACGATACTTCAGCGAATCTAGTGGAGGGATTCTTTTTGAGGAAGAATCTATATATGAAGCAGAAAATGTTACTGACACAGATGAAGATATGGATGAGATTGAATACATCGTCCATGACATAGAGCCTTCATCCAGCAAGGGCATCAAGAGGAAATCATTTGAACAAGCGATAAGCATCGACGTAGAAGAGTGGACGAATTAGATATCAGTTTAAAAGAAGCAAAAGGATCATTGTTATCAGTTCTTCACTTGGCACTTCGCCTTTCTAAAGAAGAAGGAAAAGTAGAAGGAGCTAAAATGTTAAAAGAATTTATTAAGGCGTGCCAAAAAGGAGAGGATCTTCCAGAAAAAACTACATCAAAACCTAAACAACTAGATATACATGTAGCTCTAGGTGTAAAAGCCTTTAACAATTTATCTCGAAATCAGTACAACAATATTCGACAAGTCCTGAAACTGGAATGCGAAAACGTTTTACCGACAGCTAAAAAATTGTTGAGGTTAGAGAAACAATGCTATCCTGATGACATAACGGTCACCGATACAAGAGCCGTTATTCCACTAAAAAATTTGACACAACTCACCACAAAAAGAGTTATTGAAGCACACAATTCAGAAATATACGACAAAATCAAAATATTACCTTCAGAATCAACTCCAAAAGTTATTCATGCAGAAATGATCGTCACATGGGGGATGGACGGAACAACAGGACAGTCACAGTATAACCAAGGAAAAACAAATTCAAGAAATCAAGAACGAGATAGAACACAACCGAATCAAACGACTAATAATGAAATTATAGAAGACAAATCACTATTGACAGTTAGTATGAGTGTTCAGCAACTACGACATGAAGACGAAAACGGAAATTATATCTGCTTATGGGACAACGAAAACAGTCAATCTGTATACTCAGTACGACCAATACAACTTGAACATGCCAAAGAAACCAGAGTAAATGTTAGAAGGATGTATGAAGATATAAAAAATCAAATATCAAAACTTGAACCACAGAGATTCATATGTGAAGACATGCTTTTGGAAATTACGTACAAATTCTACCCCACAATGTTAGATGGAAAAGTTTACACAGACCTTACAGAAACATCAGGATATTGCAGATGTCAGCTTTGTAGATCTGGACCAAACGAGATGAGTGACATAAATAATCTTGATAATGGAAGATTCGAAAAAACACACAGAAAATTTGTTAAAGAACACTTGTATTTCAACACTCAGCCACTTCATACATCAATGAACGTACTCACGACTCTATATGATTTGTCATATAAACAATATGTTCAAAAACACTGGCTGGAGATAACTGAAGAGGAACAGATTGTTTTAGATGTTGAAAAGGCTAGAATAAAGCAAGCAATGTGGGATGCATTTAATGTTCGTGTACTCGAACCAAGACAAGGGGGAGCTGGATCATCAGATACAGGAAACGTTGCAAGAAAAGTTCTTGAAAATCCAGAGCTTCTAGCTAAAACTCTATATCTTAATGAAGAAATAATTAAACGTATATGCTATGTGCTAAACCAAATTCGAAGTTTAGAACCAGTTGATGATCTAGATGAATTTGATAGGTACTGTAAAGAAACATACAGAATGTTTTTGACAACATATAGTTGGTTCAAAATACCAGTAACACTTCACAGAGCACTTGCTCATGCAAAACACTACATGGAAGCCTTACCATTACCTCTAGGAAGAATGAGTGAAGAAGCCGGGGAGTCACAAAACAAATATCTCAGACAAGATAGAGAACTACGTGCCAGAAAAACTTCAAGAATACACAGTTTTACGGATGTTATACATAGAAGACTCTACAGTTCTGATCCAGTAATAATAAAAAAATATATGGATGTAATAAATAAAAGGTTAATGAGAAAAAATGTCCAAGAAGAAGGTGAAACACCTGAGCAACAAACAGAAAATGAGGAAAAAGATGAGGAAGAAATTGAATTGATTGAGCCAGAAGGAGAAGGTTATGACTTTTCCCAAGCAGAAAACTATGATTATTCCGAAGGACAAGACCATGAATATTCTGAAGAAGCAAACAACGAATGAATAAATAAATTTCATTAAATATGATAAAAAAATGTAAATTAAATTTCTTGACAAATAAACAAAATTTCATTAAACTAAAAATTAAACTTTATTAATTTTACCTATTATAGTTGCGTATCAGAGTATTTTTTTTATTACTCTAATGATAATAGCTTTTTTCAGACTTAACATTTCTTAAAAAAGTCCAAAAAATACTCGAGATTGCTTAAAAGTGGTATTTTTGAAAATGCAATTTTTGGGAATATTTCAAAAACTGCGTATGTCACAATCAACAGCCCTATAAATAACCAGGACTAAGTTAACTAGCAAGTATTATATATCGTTGGATAGGTATTACATTAGGCTACAATAATCCGAAAACAGAATTAAAAAATATTTTTTCAAAAAAAAGTTATAGTGGTTTAAGTAGGGTGACAAATGGCCAAATCGATGGAGAGCACATACCCCCTATATCTCGAAAGATTTTGAAGTTTTTGAAAAATTTTCTTCACAAAATCATTTAAATTGTTATTTTTCATAAGAAAACACCAAAAAACTATTTTTAAAACTATGTTTTCGTATTTTTAAAAGAATTATTAGTTTTTGGCCAAATACTCAACGACCTACTAAAATCAACATAACTCAATTACGTTAGCTTACTTTTTCAAAGTTTATACAGTTTTGAAAACTAGATATATGGGGCTACAAAACTGCGTTTTTACTTGCCTGGAAACTCTTCATTTATGATAGTTGCGGCTTGTTTGAAGATAATTTTCCTGAAATTTTCACATATGTTCTACCATAATGGCACGAAAACATTCAGAACCTAAACTTTGTTATATGTCAAAATAAAGCTCTTATATACTACTAATAGGAACTGAAAACCGTTTTGCAATATCTTAAACCAGTTAAGATATTTCCCGGTTCAAACATGGTATGAAAAAACCAGAATTTTCACTAGTTTTCAACTTCAAACAGCTCTAGAATCGCGAAATCAGCACCAAATGACCTGAAATTTGGCATTTCTATCTACTTTTATGTCCTCTACAAGAAAAAATCACCCAAAAAGTGTAAATCGGAAAAGTCCATTTTTCAAAGTGAAAGTCCCTTTTTTTTTCATTTTGCCCCATAGTGTGATGTAAATTTTCCTTCATTTTGACACAGTTTGTGCAACATTGTTTTCCACAGTCAACCCTCAATACAAGTAAAGCTTTCACCTCAAATGGAAAGTTTGTCTATTGTTGAAAGCATTCAAGGGATGGTTGGAAGTAATGTTGAGGGAGGAATGCTCAATGTTTTATTATGTTTATTAAATGAAAAAAATAATCAACAAACTCTACCGAAAATGTTTTTGATAACGTTAAGTGGATTCGAGTTTTTCGGTTCTTGATGTTGCAGCGCATTTTTTCTTATGGCGGATGTAGCATAAGATGTCTAATTCTAAGCGATACTAGGCTCTAGTAAGGAGTGATATGAGCTTTAGTATTCAATTTTATTGATTCTGTAAAGATTCTATTAGATTTCCATTGTGACCTCTTCTTCACTCACGAATACTTAAAAAAGCTATCGCTAAAAAGCTAGTCAGATTCAACAAGTATCATTAGAGCTGTCGTAGGTAAGAAACTTATCGAATTAACTTTGATTTATGCCTAGCTATTTATGAAAGGAGCTTGTCGTTAACCAACCATGGATTCGAAACTAATCAAAATTCTCAGCAATAAAGTGAACGATTAAATCAAATTCTACGACGTTTTAAGATTTATTCATCATACTTTAATACCCAGTCATCCAAAATGACTCAACAAAGCACTCATATTCCATAAAACATCACAAAAAATGGCGATAAAGTTCATTAGCTGCTGTTACACAGTTATTATCACATCTATATCAACAGTCACATAAAAAAGTGACGATTTTGTTGTACAACTTTGTTTACATTTTTAATATTATTTGCGCAAAGATTTATTATCATTTCATGCTGACTTCATTTCAAGTACCTAAAAATCGCCTTTGTTTATAGCTGCAATAGTTCATAATGTTGTCGAGAAACAAAATAATTGGACGAAAATAGTTGAAAACTTATTTGTGACAACAAAAAAAAGGTTTGTAAACAAAAGATAAGATTTCGCTCGACTTACGACGGAGAATAATGCGGATTTTTTGGAGTTCATAAATTTTGAAGAATGAGCTAAATTTAAACTTTGTGGCAGTTCTTATCATCGGTGTATTATCACGTTTTAATGTTTATTTACTTTTATTTTTCACGAGTGTTTAGTATTGGTAAGTTATTGTTGGAGTTTTAAAGAGATTTGATATTTTACTGCGTATCTGAAGTTTTTTAAGTGAATCCATATGCCGATGCAAGATTATTTTAAATCATAAGCTGGACCTTGTGTGGCCAAAAAGCCTTATCTGCGTTAAGATTTCTCTTTTTTAACTTAATACCTACAATTCTCCCAACCTTCAACGACAAACCTTGAAATCTACAATCAAACAAAAAAAGTGTTTCTCAACCTTGAAAATCACCCTTCAAATATTTAACACCAAAATATTGTCAACAACAGAACCTACAAAATTTTAATCACTCAAGTGCAAGTATCAAAATTCTAAAGCTATGTTTGATCAAAAATTTAAATCACATATCAGAACATGCTCGTTTCCTGTTTCAAACAAATTCTCATTTCCCTATCATGTTCATAAAGTCTATAAATTTGTGATCAAATCACGACAAAGTTCTATTTTGTGTTTTAATTTTCATCTGATTTGTTTAAAATTGTGGAAAATAATGAAGTTATTATTCCCGATTTTGCTAGCAGTGCTATTTTTAGTGCAATTTATTTCATATGCTGAAGCTAGGCATCATCATGAGGTTGCAGAGAGAGATTTAACAAATTCAAGTGTCACAGAGCAAAAAGGAATTGATTATAAAGTTTTAAATGATAAAATTGAGAACGCAGATCGAATTGATGAGGATTATCAAAAGTAGCTTTTAAAAATCAGACCTTGACTGCCATAAATTTTACAATTTAAAATAATTGAACTTTTAACTTTTTATTTTAGAAATCGTGGAAATCAAATTAGTTCCTGTCTAGTCACACCATGTCTCTTTCTATTGATAACATTCATCAGCTTGTGGATTAATAATTTATCATAAAATCAAATTTTCTAGTCAATAAGATTCTTAACTCTTTAAAATTGACATGACCTGCTTTTTCAACTTCACCCTCAACTTGATTTAGATACTTAAAATACTTTGAATAAAAATATATCTCCATCCAAAAAAGATGTTTACACATATTGATGCTTTTGTTAAATTACCTATTCAAATTTTGAACTCTTGAACTTGAGAATAATGAGGAATCAGATCGTAAACTATGAAAATATTTTCTTAACATGAAATATGCGTCTGGTTTTCTGTTTATTTTCATTTTTTGAAAATGCAAACAAATTCTTGAAAACAAAGCCAGAGAACAGCTGAAGGCAATTTGCATTTCTGTTCATCAAGATTTGTTTACTTTTGTATGGTTCATCAATGGATTCTTAAAATGAGATTATGGAATGTAAATTGTTGTTTTTAGGGGACGTTCACACAATATGTCACTCAAATAATGGGGATCTTATTAGATATTCACGAGGTTATTACCAAAAAACTTGAATTTCACACAACATTAGATTCTACTTGGTTCAAAATTACAAACAAAATTCATGAATGATCCCTGAATGAATTTTCAATTCATTTTGTGTTGGATAAACAAGAAATTCTTGCAATTTGACTGGATTTAAGCAGAAAATTTCCAGTAAGCAGCTAGCGATGAGAAAACATAGTAATATTCATGACACAAAAAAATCTTTTGCATTCGTTATTAATATCTTCCATGTTCTAATTCCCCTAAAATTAACCCATCATCACATCTATATCCATAAATTTTTCTAATCACAACTTCTTGTACAAATAACGACCACAATTTGTCATCATTCGTATCATTTCATTAATAATTTTTCGTGTCTTAAAATAAAATATTGAAAAATAAGCAAAAGCTGCCACTTCTTCCGCAAGTAAAATTAATTACAATGAATATTAATTTTGATAAATTAGCTTGTGGGATGCTCATGAAATAGTTTTCTTCTCCAGTGATCACAACACGTGCTTATTTATATTTCCATTTCTTTATTTAATTCCTAATGAAGATGCGACTTTCCATTTCTGATGTTGAAAACCTCTCAAATGTTTAAGTTTCGTTGATGAAAATTTCTGAAGATGTCGCTGCAACTTTACACATGCGAAAAATAAAATTTCATAAATAATTCATTTACAAGACCATCAGAAACTCCAAGACGATGAAGTTTTTCTTTTGGATGTACATTAAAAATGTGTTAATGGTGAGCATAAGAGATCATGAAATTATAATTGACCTACTTCGTGTTTTCCTCTTTAATGAGGAAGCAATTGGATGTTGGATGAAATTTAGTATTGTTCAGGAAAATGTGTCTTTTTTATAAGAATTGGTTAGTGTAAGTTTTAGGAATTTTTTTAAAATATCTTGAAGTCTACTTGTGACCTTTTAGAAAGGTTAAGGTCTGATTAATTATAATTTTTCATTGAAAAATTGAAAAGTTAATATGGAACATAGTTTTATGCATTTTAGGACTATTTACATAATGTATTTAAATTTAATTAAGACAAACTTCAATCACAGGAATTTTAAAATTTTTAAAAATCTTAAACTTTTATAGAAATCTAGAAATTCATATTTTACATCAGGCTATGACTCAAAACATCGAATTCTACACAAAAATTTCTGAAAATAATAAATTTAATTCTTTTGTTCATCAAAACTCGATCCATCAGTTTTCATAGATTCCATACATATTTCCAAAACAGTAATTGAGTTGTCCATGAATAGAAAAATAATATTTATTAATATATTTCAATCATGAAAATTTCATGTCAGTCACATCATCAACATTCTTGTTTTCCCAAACGTATCAAAATCAAAACGTAACTTGAATGTTTGATAAATTCAGCAGAAAAACATATTCCGCATGCAATTTACATTTCTACAAAATGCAATGACATGTTGAAAATTGAAAATGCATAAGGAAGAAATTCCAAATTTCATACATGACCACCTATCCGATATATCATCAACATTTTCCAATTGACAACGTTTTTTTTTGTTTCCATTTCTGGAAATGGTTTTGCACGATTGACACAAAAATTGTGATATCATTTTTTAGATAAATTTCCTGCAGTTGAATCTGTTGAAATAAAGATTTTCTGTGAAATTTTTGTACGATGAGATATGGAACATTGAGTTGTGTGGGAAAATGAAATTCTGTAAAATGAATTTGATATTTCAGGAAAATTGTAACTCAGTTTGGAATATTTTGTAAGTTTTTGAAGAATTCTCGATTGCACTTTTTTTAAAATGATTTTTGTCAAGTTTTAGAACGAGCTTTAAGCAATGTTGTTAGTAGTTCATTAGAATTCTTAATTGAGTGGTAAATTGATGCAGATCTCATCCTCATGGTTGCTAAGCTGCTTGTTAGTAGGTTACGTAATAACAGAGAAGTCACAGATCCTTTCCTAAGAATTAACCTTTTTCTTCAACTTCGTTAGCATTTGATCGATGATTCTTAATTATGTAATAAGATCAAATAAGATAATCAAACCTCTAATTCTCCTTCAAACTCAAAAATTGATATTCAATAATTTACCAAAACATTAAACATGGAAACTTGACTCCATTTTATCACTCATCCCAGAAATATCATCCATATCATCATTTATTTGTACAATTGACAACATGATAAATAAAATTACATAAAATATCAATTTTCATTTCAAAGTACAGCACATTTCACAATAAATAACAATTTTCATTCAAAAACATGTAATGTAGACTGATGTGAATGTTAAGTTCATGTACATTTGAATTAAATAAACATATGTCTACCTAATGTGTCTGACTGAATAAATATTGTATGTTATTTATTTTTCAAAATGCACAAAATTTAAATGAAATAAATTCACATTTTCATATTTTCTCACCGTCAATTGCATAAAACTACATTGAAATTTTTTGGATTAAGCATGGATATATTCTGATTATTGCTAGGTGTTAAAATCAAATATTTGAATGATTGGTTTAAATTTGGTATAATATTATAATTAGCTGAGAAGTCATGCAAATATTATACTTAATGTCAGGCATTCATCTCAGAACTACCTCATACGCCCGATACCCCATCAAAATCAGCATCAACTCCACACACAATAATTACCTAAAATGAACTGCAAAATCTATCAACAAAAAAAAAATTCAAAAGGCGTGTCCAAAGCTTTTTCAAGGCTTTCACATCTGAACTGTAATTGAAAAAAGATTGTAGCTTTCGATCAATATGTCATGATTTCGTCCACAATCTCATAAATTTGAAAATTGATATCAAATGGATCGTGTAATTTGAGCTTTTTTTTTCAACTCCTGCCATTGTGAGCCATTCATTGTTTGCTTTAAGCAATCACATTTTACAGTTGACAGAAAAAAGTTTAAATGACCCAGAAGGAAGAAGTGGAAAATGAACTAATTCGAAGGCAATGAATTTTTCAAATGGAAAGATAAAATTGCTACAGATTTGTTGACTTTGTACATCGTTGAGCATCAATATTATCTTCATTGATGATTATCATTGTCAAGTGCGAATCAATTTAATAAAAAAATTCCATTTTATGTGGACAAAAGAAGTTTCCATTCAATTGTGAATTTATTCTGGATGCAAGATAATAGAATATTGATTGTGCTTTTGTTATCGTTGCAATCTGTAAATCGAATTGAGTATTCAGGAAATTTAAATTCATATAATAGAGCTAAATGCACTTTAATTTTGTGGATTGAAAAAAGGCTTCATTTGATGATTTCATTAAATCTGAAAAGTATTGATATTGCTATAGCTTCAGAATTGTCTTTCTGTCTAAATTGTTACATAGTTAAATTAAGTTTTGGAGATCGCTAATGCTGTGCTGCTTGGGTTTGTTATAAAGAATCAAAATCTCTCATTCCTAGACAAACTTTAAGCTCCAATCTTGCTTTGTTCGGTTCTTAAGATATCAAATCTTCCTAGTCAAGTCACAAAGCTTTTAGTCTCAAACATTAAATATTTAAATCCTAGACATCATAAGCGAAATTCCTCGATTAAAAAACAAAACCTTCACATCCTTTCATTGTATTAGTAAAAAAAGTTCACAGTTTTTTATTTCCAATGATTACAAATTACAGAAAAAAAAATCAATAAACCAATAATAACAGCATTGTATACTTTACAGACAGTAATTGCCCTCAAGTCTGTCTGATTATTATCATTATAATTTCATTGAATTTATAGCTGACTTAGCAGCCACAGCCATTTCAAATTCTTGAGATCCACTGGGTTCATGCCTTAAAATTTCATATGACCTTTGTAATATTTGAATGACTTCCCTCAGTCGTTTCTTAAAATCAGCTGGTTTAATCATTCCCATCTGTAATTCACGTGTTATTTGAAGCATAATAGGTGCATGTAACTCATATAAAATAACACCACGTAATCGACTACTGCCAGGCTCGAGGATATCAATCACTTCTAACAAATCTCTACAATATGTCTCTTTATGCTTCAATTGCTCCACACTCAATTCGTTGATTAAAAATCCATCAATTTTACCGTACAGCTGACACAGTGAATGTTTTGCTGACAAAAATATGTAATGATTCTTGTGCAATGTCTTTGAATATTTGCTTATAAACATTTCAATTTGATTGATATCATTTCCACCTAATGCATCAAGTTCATCATACAGTCTCGTTACTAGATTCATCACAAATACTGCAGTCAGACTAAAATTGCATTTCTGGCATCTTACGGAGTGGAAAATGTAAAGAAAGTAATAAAATGTAAGGAATGAAACAACATTACATGACATGAAACATGAAATCATTAAATATTAAGTCCTTTTTGTTGTTTAATAAGTGCATGCAAATTTTATGAATTTGTTAGAGGTGCTGGTTGATGGATGGTCGATGTGAAGTTGTGACGGTTATGTTTGATTACTTTTTAGATTGATGAAGGTAAGTGTTGTAGCAGAATTAAGTATTCTAAGTATTGAGTCGATGAATGGGATTCTACATGCGCTTTTTCAAGGGGTAGAGACCAAGATAGGTATCATATCCTAAACTGAATTGAGTTGATAGCTATTATACAAGCACAGTAGTTTTGTTTTTGGAAAACCTAGTCAACTAGGGATTAACTAGGGTTTGGTTCTCCTAATTTAACCAAGATAGTTCTCAAAAATTAAAAAAAAGCCTTTACAACAACCAAGTACCTCATAAATGTACACCCCCAGCTTATAATCCCAGTAAATCACGACAAACTTCATTCCCTAAGAAATCCAACATTACTTACAGCAGGAAAATTCAATGAGAAAATAAATAAAAAGCTACAAAGCAACAACAATAATAAAAATAAGGAAATAAAAAAGTATGACATTCTGTTGCATCAGTATTTTATGAATTGCTATGTTGCTAGCAAAAAGGATTTAATAATTCAACAAAGAAGAACATCAAGAAAATTTATGCAAGAAGGATATAAAAAGTTGTTCTTCGTCTTTTTCTTTTAATTTGAAAATTTAAATGATACAAGTTGCTTTTAATGTCGTTTTTTTAGTTATTTTTAAATCGCATTTTATTCCCTTTGAATGCAATTTATTAATGCAAAGGAAAAGGAGATATGAGAAGCCTTGTAGCATGAATACACACATGTTAGGGTCATTAAAAATTTATTTATGTAAGGTTTGTGTTATTTAATGATTAAAAAGTTATGAGAAAGTTTTAATGTGATACTGAACAAGTGGCTTGATGTTATGCAGTCAATGTATCATCTTTGATGTGCATCTCAGATGTTTAAGGATCCGAAGGCATCTTCATATTTTATTTTGCTAATTTTTTTATTTTAAATATATATGTTGCTATCAACTTCTGCTGCACTTAGAAAAAGTACACTTAAAATCTTGCGAGAGACACTTTAGAAGGAATATTTCTTAATAGGACAAGTCGGTTAATCAAAAAGAAATCCGGAGCCAAGTGCTGGCTTCGATTTAAATCTAGCACCATGCCAGAGTCACACCGGTTTCTATCGATCGATTAACCGACTTTCGAGGTCATTTGACTTTCTTTTTGAAATATCTTGTGGACAGCATTTTAACGTTTAACGTTCCTCATTCCAAAAAAAATTAATTTTATATTTTTCAACTCCAAAGCATCAAACAAGCATGCATAAATGTGTTACAATATATCAAACATTTTATATCATCCATAATACAACACACCTCCATTCAGCATTCTCATTAAGTGGATCCGCTGAGAGTATGAAGCCGTTTGAACATTTGGGACACAAAATTGTACTTGCATGAGTACCCAATTCATCATTGCTCTTGCATCTCTCACATGTGCACCAGAAAAATTTTGCCTCATGCAGATGCGATCGTCTTTTTAATGTTCCCTGTTGAGAAAGAAAGAAAAGTTTGGTTTGAAATATTGCATTTTTTAATGTGGGATATGGATTGGATGATGGGGGATTCTGAAAGGATGTGCCGGAGTTTAAAAAATTGTCACTGCTCAAGAATATAAATCTTAAAATAAAATTGAAAATTTGAGTCTACATGGCAGTTTGAGTCGCCCATACATTGCTTCGTCACTGAAAATTCCCAAATTTCAAGCTATTTTCATCCCCAGAATCACCCATCATTTAATATCCAAAAAAATTATTTCTCCCCAAAATTCACAACACGACTATGTTGACAGAAGCCGCAGTGAGAAAAGCAAGAATGAATGAAGCAATAAAAAGGAAAAATTTTAATATGAAATATGAGTTGAATGAACCTGCAGGGTGTAAGCATAGCTCAAGCTGATGACATCGCCTTTTTTCAGCGTTTTTGTTGTTCTCACAATAAGCTCATGTGTTTTGGGATTGTCAGTATGATTTGTGTTTGGTACACAATCATGACACATGAGATAGGCTTCGGGAAATAAGGCACGAGCTGTTGAGCTACTCTGTCCGCCTCCAACCTCAAAACAATTCACTTCTAATATTCCACAAATTCGATGAATTTCATCTTCACTAAATTGTAATAAATTCCATTGATCTCTAATACGATTGACAATCGTTTTCTGATTACGGTTCCACAATGCTGGAATGCTTTTTCCTATTCGATTGGAAATTGATTTTTTTTTGTGTTCGGATGTTGAGAAATGAAAGAGAAAAATTGAATTTAAGATATTTTTGCAAATACTGGAGGATCTTGGAGTAGTTTTGTCAGAATTTGTAAGATCCTATTTGAAGGATAATCAGTCATGTTTGGTGCTAATCATCGGCTTGTGATTCAGATTGTATAAAAAGCTAATCTAGTCTAAAACTTTAAAAAGTCAATCAATAAAACATCGTTTCTTGTTTCTGAAAGATTTTGATGTTAAAATCAAGATTTGTAGAGTCCACATCAGGAACTCAAACCTACCTGAAGTAAGCTTCCACAACTTCAAAAGCTTTCATCTATATCTAAGACAAAATCTGACAAAACATCCACAAGACAAACCGCAATATCAAAAGCTGAACTTACGTATCTCACAATGTGATTCCATTTCATTGAGCTTCTGCCATAATTGTTCCGATAAAGTTTTTAACATCAAACATCTTGTTGAATAAGAAAGAAGATAAATTTTATAGATGGAAAATTTACTTTTAAAGAGAGACAGCAAGCCAGAGAAATTGAATGGAAAGAATGCTGAAGAAAATTGATCGCGATTTAAAGAGAAAGAAGAACTTTTGCTAAAGATTGTGGAATTTATTTTCAACAATGGTATTCGAGTAGAAGTAATTCAACATTTTGACATTAAACTGGCTTTAGAAAAAGTTTAATTTTGGGATAAATTGAGATGTTTTTTGTCGCTTAAGTTTGGAGGTTGATTTTTGTTGCTTGGGAATTAAAATTTATCTTGTTTAAAAGGTTTTTTATTTGACTCAACATAACTTCTTATCAGCTTTTAAAGACTTTTGAAAAATTCGCGCGAATTGGAAACATTTGTGAAAGTCTTATTATAGGAAAGTATTGATATTGCATGAAAACTATACTAATCAGCCACAAAATTATTAATTTGGCTTTAAGCATGAATATAAATAGCTCTAGCATTGCTTAATATGACACTAAGCTTGTTAGCCAAACAAGAATCATTTCAACACATATTCATACTTGATTTTGATTACAAACATTTCACAAAAGTCATGTGCTATTCCAATATTTTCTCAAAAACTTCCTCCGAACTGTTCCTCTCACATCTAATTCAAGTTTTACTTATGCAGATTGAGAAATTCAATTTTTTTTACTTCATCTCAATTCGTCCATAAATTAAATTTTTTATTTTCCTATTCGGAGATCCCCTCAAGCTTAGAAGGAGCTGTAGAAGAGGAAAAAAATATCATTCAATAAAAAATGCAAAATAAATTTCGAGTAAAAATCTTCACCATCCTTTCGTTCAATATCTCTATCTATATATAAACTCAATTATACCTCAGAATGATGATGGCTTCATAGTCATGCTGCAACTCAATAGTATTATCATCCTTATGTAAATATTTTGCTAGATTATTGTCTTTGAAAAAGCTGCATTCATCTTTTGTGTGATCTCTATCGTTGCAGTGCTTACCGCAAAGTGGAAATTGACAATTTGAACAGCTATTGGATATAAAATTGTGTAAATTGAATTATATTCTCTTTTTTGCTGCCTTTATCGACTGCGATGATAGTTAAAGAATAATGTGTTTGTAGAGATGGGGATATTATTGGCATTTTAATTTGAGGGTTTGCTTAAAAGTTGTGGACTTTATTTTGGGTTAAGGACTTTGAGATATGCATTTTGAAGGTATTTGACTTTGAATAAGGTTAAATTTTGTGGTAAAAATGACAAAAATTGAGAAATTGTCATAGTTTGTTTGAGAACTGGCATAAATTCGAAAGGAACGATTTCAAAAAAAAGAGGAATTTTTTTAAGCAGATTTAAAGACAAAACACGAAGTTTCATACTGTTTGTAGAGCTGATGAGACATAACATCGGTTTTCTTATCATCCGAGATTAAATTACCAGTTCGCCCCCTTTGCTAAGTATTTAAGTCTCTTTAGCGTAGTTTAAGCTATGCTTATAATGCCGTCGTTATTACAGTTAAAACTGAATTTACTCTCAACCGTCTCAAACTGGTAAAATTCTTTATTATTCGCTATATAGGTGGAATGTGACTCATGGAATATTAATTGAAATGCGTTCCTTAGGATGACTGTTAAAAATACTGAATTGGATATGATGTTCCTCTAAAAAGTTCAAAACATACCAAGTTTCCCTCTATAAACAAACAAAGTACAAAGCTATATCTTTATGTAAAACCTCCTTTTAATCCACAATTTAATATACCACAAAGAAATAAAAATAGTCCATTACATCCAACATTATTACCAAGGATACATCTCACAGCTTAAAGGGATTATTATTCTCATAATAATTTCAATTTTAAGCACCAGAAAAATGAAAATTAAATGCCAAGTCATCTCGTGTCGTATTCAATTTCAAAAACACAACAACCCACATAAATTCATTTCCAGCTTAAAAATTTTCCGAGCACCCCGAAACCAAAAAACAGGTACATTATCACCTTTCTATTCACCATTAAATTGTCCCATAAATTTCAAATTAAATTACCAAAAAAAAAACTTAATATTTTTTTCATACATACCGATAACAACCGCTCATTGATCCCAGTGGATTGTAGCAATTTATACAAACGGGTACATGATTACAATTTGCAATTGGTCCAATAACTAATGGGCTTTGTTGAATGATGATTTCACATGGTGACAAGTCTCTCGATGCCACTAAATATCTGAAATTATGGAGTTGAATATTTGATGATATAATAATAATTATCACACAATGTTTGTGGCATAACATAATTGTTATTGTGATTAACTTAATTAAGTTTCAAGCTAATCAGCCCGTAAAAATTATTCATCATTATAATTACCTGCCAAAAATATCCGAATGATTCACATCATATGCCTTGTTGTGGTTTATTTCACTATTAGCAGCATTTCCATCAACAACTATGTTGTCAATTTTATCATCAAGCTCATTATTACGCTTCTTATTGCCGTGCTTATTCTACATGTGTGAACAAAAAAATTAAAAAATTAATGAAATTTAATTTTTTTTTCGTTGAAAGATTTTTCGAGAGAATTTAAATTGGAAGTGGGAAAATGTTGCATCAGCTAAAAAAATTCCATCATCATTAAAATTTTATGATACCATTTCTGTATGTGTGTGCATTAAAAGAGGGAATTTGGTATAAATGATGCACATGATTGATTCTGTAAGTAATGTTATGTGTTGCAGATGAGAGATGGAAATTCTTTATCTGAAGTTAATTTTTTTTGAAGATGTGCCTTTGTGCATATTATGGCTTTGCATGATGTTTAAGAAGATTGCTTTAGGGAAGAAGTTCTTTGAGAATAAAGCTGTCGTCTTTCCTTTTGTGGTGAGTTTGGAATGATAAATTTATATTCTGTAAGATGCAGCGAGCTTTTATAATGTTAAAGAACCTGATTAAATCAAGTATGTTTTTAATCTGTTTGAAACATTCACTTTGATCAAGCATTGGTCTGTTCTTTATGCATTTTAGGGAAACTTGGCTTTGACTAGAGCAAGGTTCTATTCGATAGCGATAGAATCCGGCCCCGTTTGTGTGATGCTCTTTGAATTGTGTAGATACTAAGTGACAGATCTGTCACAGGTTCCTTTTTTTTGACGCCAGACAAGTGACAGGCAACAGACAATAACGTATGGCAACTTTGGTCTTAAAACACATTAATAAAGGATGTTCAACATCATCCAAACAAAAGATCATGGAAATGGCAGTCATGTCATTGCCAAATATTCTATTTTCAAGATTAAGCATGAAATACAAGTTGATCGTCTTTTCATTATAATGTACAAAAGGTTTTACAAGATAATCATATTCAAACTTTATTCCACTTTACAAATCAAATGCGTTCCAGCACTCAACTAAACCTGTAGACTCCCAAAACTTTCGTTATAAGTTAAATCGCATTGCATCATCGTTTTCATAACTTTATTTTTCTCCATTTCATCTTGACTTATCATTTTAACTTTCCTAGACGTTTTCTCATTTTATTCTTTTACAATTTCATGAAAATAGAATTTTTATTGCTTTTTTGCTCGTTTAACTTGTGTTTTTTTTATGCTGTTTAAAAAGTTATCGTATTTTCTGGCTTAAGATGATCGAAAAATGCAGAAGTTGAACACAAAAACAAACAGAACTTCAAGTTTATGCCATCATCATTGGGAAAGATTATTTACACAAATTCATTTCTGATGATTTCATATTTGTTGATGTTGACTGATTATTAATAAAATAAAAAATTTTCAGGAATATTTTGAGCATGAAATAAATTTGATTTTTAAAAGAACAATTTTTCTTTCGTGACTTTAAATGTTATTTTTTGCTGAATTAATTTTATGAATGAACTGACTTAGTGCGGACCATGTCTAGCTGATTCATGTTTTCTTTGTGTCATTAAAAAATTTCTATTTCAAACATCGCATGATGTTGTTTTACATGTGTTTGATTTACATGAATAATTTTTCTTGTTCAAAGATGAGAAGAGTTATGTTATACGGAAAGGAACTGCTTGAAAAATCTTAGAAATAAAACGCGAATGTTGAATATTTAAGAGGTTATTCACATTAGACATTTAAAAATTAATTTTGGTAAATTTCTTGACTGCATAAAATGCCTTCCTAGCAAATGCAGTAAGAACCAGAATTTATGACAATTTTTTATAAATATAGATATAGTAAATTCATTTAAAACTCTAATTTTAACTCATTTTAATTAATTGCTAGAAAAATCCCAGAGATTTATGGACAGCAAAAGTTCAAAATGACCCACTCATGAAATATTTTATCTAACTCGAGTTTTCTTCCCCTACACCCTAGCAGAAATTTACTAGTAATTTCCTAGTAATTCACTAGATAACTTTCCATTTGCTACTTGCTATTTACTAGTCAAAATGCAAGTTCAAATCATCGCCAAAGACCCGCATTTTCGCTTGCTATTTGACTAGTCAATTCGCTTGCAATTTAACTAGTAATTTACTAGCAAATTTGGAAAAAAATTAAATGAATATAACCGTTGATTTCCACGTGTTCTTTTGATTTTTTTTATTTGTGTAAATTATTGTAAAAGTATTAGTGTGTACTTAGTTGAAGTTAATTAAAGTACACTAACACTATGATAAAAAGCAAAAGACCAAATTTAATTAAGTCGAACACTGATGAACGCCCATGACTCGCACGCAAACCTGAGGAAGATAAATAATTAATTGAATGTCACATACAAATTTGGATCGACCTTATAAAGGTGATTTCTGCGCGCTCTTGTGAAGTATATGGCAAATGCCAAATTTAGAACAAAATTCTTTATGACGCAAAAAATTCTTTTTTTGATGATTTTTCGTAGGATTCGAACTTAAGAAGATTTAATCAAACATTTTACATGGTAATTTGCTAGTAATTTGCTAGTAAATAGCAAGTGTAATTTTCTAACAGTAAGTTGTTTTAATAATTACTAGTAAATTGCAAGTAGTAAAATAGAAAGACTAGCAATTTGCTAGTTAGTCTCGCTAGGGACAGCATGTAGATTAAAAGAAAAATATAAATTTATTCAAACATTTTCTACAGCATAGAAAAAATAAATTCAAAGTCTATGAAAACTGAGAATTCTATTTCGTGATTTAATTATTGCTATATATCATTTAGAGTCTTTTGTGTTTCATGAATTATTTATCTTCCATTTCCTCTACAATATTGATAATTTTAAATTGTTTCTGAAGAACTGAACAAATGTTTTTAAAGCTATTTAGCAGAAAACTTTAGACAAAAGACTGAAAAATAGCCACAATGTTGAGCACCGATGCTTGCCATTCATTAAATCTCTGTCACCGAGTAACTATAAAATTTGATATTCAGCAAATTCGAGGGATATTTTCTGAAAGAAGAATACGCTCGAAGTCTCATGAAATATGATCGCATTTCTCGTTGTTTTCGATTTTTCATTCAATGTTTTTAAATTTAGAAATGAAAAACTGAAAACATTTTATTGATTGAATAAGCAAATGATGAAATTGAGAATGATTGAAGCCTTTAGGCATATTGATTCTAGTAAAACAAAATATTTATATTTTGAATGAATTAAGGATCTTAAGTTAACAATGCTGGAATATGATGTAGGCTGGTTCTATACGTTAAAAGTTGGAGAACTCGCAGGTGCAGACTTTAAAATATGAGATATTGGTTTACTAAAGTGAAACTTAAGTGATCTCGAAGTAAACCTAAACTTTCAAACAATTTAAAGTTGAATCTTCAATCCAATCGGCTGAGTAATTTAACAATAGACTAGTTTCTGTACGCTAAAGTACTTGATTAGAATATAAAGTACTAGGTTGGACAGAAAATTATTAAATTAGATAGTGAAGTACCAGATTGAATTGTAGGGTACTAGATTAGCAAGTGAAGTTCTAGTCTGTAACTTCTAGATTAGATAATGAAGTTCAAGATTAGGTAACAGGGGACTTGATTAGACTGTGGAGTCCTGAACTAGATAAAGAATCACTAGATTGGAACGCTAGTGTCTCGCTCAAAAGTGTATTCATGTTTACTCATCCTCAAAACATCAAGACCAAATCATAGTTTACATCATCTTTCTTCTTATTTATTCGTCTTTCTTTCCGCTTAATTTTAAATTTTCTGATCTTTTATAAACAATAGAAAATGTGAACAAAATAAATTCCAATCTCATCTCCTTTCTATTCGTAGCTCAAATCATGAGGAGAAAGAATTTAATTTCGTTATTTTTAGCATATACAGTTTGACACAAAATCGAAGCTGCTGTTATTTAAATCCATAGTTCTCTTAAAGTTCAGAACAATTTATTTTCTTACTTGTATGAAAATAAGAAAAACAGAAAAAAGAAATTTATTTTAAATTCAAAGTTTGACAAATGTCTTTTGTCTTTTGTTCCCTTCTTATTTACTCTGCTACGGTTAGGCCACAATAACAAATGTGTTTCTATAAACAGAAAGAAGAAAAATCAATGCAATGATGCTGAGGTGTGGAAAAGTCTTTGAGCTTATCATGTTAAATGAATTGACAGACTTTTTTAAGGTTGCTTAATAGGCTGATTGTGAAATTTAGAAGTGGAAATTAAGCTTTTAAGATTTTTTGTAATAAATTTGCATATTAAATGTCTTTCTTTATTAAATGTGTTAGTGTCAATCAGGAGGAAAATGATATGGGTAGGGAACGTGATGTTCGTTCTTGATTGAGAACTATCAGAATCATCAGATCACCATGCTATAGTAAAACCTTCATGTCAAAGGACTAATGTCATGCAATTCGCTTGGAGGATTAGTCTCAAAAAACACTAACATATCAATCTAAGAGACAGTTTTGTTTTGGACTGACTTGACCCCTAAAACCCTTTCAATAAATCTTAGAATCTCACATTATCAATCCTCACTATCCCCTCAAATCTCACACTTGAGACTCATTCACATCATAATTTGTCCTCAAATCATGTCTTTATGACACTTAAAAAATGAAATACGACATCTTCGTGAAATCTTTAATGATTGATTCTCTTTACATTCTGTATTTTCTTTCCATATGTAACTTTCCGCTTCGATTTTGTCTTATTCATGAGTAACCATTACTAATGAGAATTGCACAATAAATAATAACTTTTGACACATTTTATTTCTCTCGAACGCCTCTTTTTTAGTGCTGTTCTTCTTTGCAGTTTTTTTCTGGTCGTTCATATTTTAGGATAAAAAAATTGCGAAGAAAAAATATTTTCTTAATTCATCAACAATTTGAGTTTATTGAACAATAATTCACTCAACAAATGATAGCTTTCATGTCGTTACATGCACATTTTTTGCTCTCTTTTTTCAAGTCTTTCTCATTAAAAAATGTTTTTTTTTCATGCGCGATGAAAGAATTTATGAATTCTTAAATTTTCAGCTGCTTCATTTTTCACTTGTGTATAGTATTCGTGGCTGTATTCAAGGCATTATTTATTGTGCAAAAACGAAAGGAATTTCTCATTTTTATGACTCTACCACCCCGTCATTTTCACACAAATAAATACGTAATGGCAAACGATGAGGAATAAGGTAAGAAACAAATAAAATTTCATTTCTCGTTTTTCCACTCTTTAAATTATAAATCAGCACGAATTTCCGATTTCAACTTAAATTATGCTTTTTCTGAGTTTATTTGTGATCGAATGCAATAAAGAATAAAGCAAGGGGAGGGCATTTTTTGTGGTAAATTCTACATTATGAATCCTAATTTTAAACGATTTTAAAATATTTTGATTTATTCTTTATGATTTTTTAATAGTTCCACACCCTTTAATTGTTGAAGTTTGAATAAAGAATAGTTATTACCAACTTGTTCCCTTACAAGTACCCATCCCTTACCGGATCACCTTCAAAATATCAAAAAACAAACAAGCAACTCCTTATCATTGCAACATTTTCTCCCACATTTCCCAACAGCATAGCTCAAGTGTGCATGAAAATAAAATCATTTTGATATTGCATTGAACTCATAAAAACATTCGGTACGAAAAGCAATTAAATAAGGGACTGTTCACTTATTAAGTAACGCGAAAAAATGACTTCTTAGACCCCCCCCCCCTCGTAACAAAATTTGTATGAAAAAAAAATTTCCTTGTTTGAACCGTAACAAAATCTTAGACCCCCCCTCCCCCTAAAAGCGTTACGTAATAAGTGAATGGCCCCTAAGAAAATACTCAAAAATTTTACATTTTGAAATGTTAATTAGTTCATGTCAACATTCACCTTGCACTAATTAAATTTTCAAATTTCTTTTAACTTCTTCATGGAATTTTAAATTTCTTTTCATGATTTGGTGCAGAGTTCAATGGAATGTCGAGCTTGTATTCAGATTATCTGAAAAAATATAATTTTTATGATGATAAATTAGTTTATAGCTGTGAAAAACTTGGTAGTTTCTCACAAGTTCGCTAGTCATTTGCAGTAACAATTTAAGATATTTTTTAAAGGAGGTCATTCGATGAACTTTTCAGAAAGGCGTGGACAATGCAATTTTCAAACAAGAAACAATTTTTCATCCAGAACAATGAAAAAACTTTCATCCGAAACAAAAGATTTCTTTTATCCAGAACAAAAGTATCTGGTGTCCATACCTTGCTTTTCAGTGCTTTAAAGCTAAGCTTACGAAAAACTAGCTTTTAAGTCATAAAAAACTCGATCGAGCCACAAAAATCCACAAAATAACCCCAATTTGCAATCCCATTAAATTCTCATTCATAAAATTCTCATTAAAATTACAAAAAACACATCTCAATCCACAAGTTGCTACAAAGGCCACAAGTTGCTCAATTAATTAAAAAATTGTTTAAACAAATTCATTTCAATATTAATAATCCGTAAAGGAAAATTCTTCACAGTTGGAAAAATTTATTCGCGATTTCATGTCAAAGCCACAATAATTTTCATTTCACTATGAATGAGTATTAATAATTACTGTCACATATCACTGAATAATTTAGTGTAGTTTCATAATTAAATGTTAATTTAGAATTATTTTTTGCAACACTTATCACTAATGCATCATAATGAGCAGCAAATGTGCAGTTTCATGCTTCACACTTGAGTCAAGGTAAGGTAATATTTATGGAAGAACTTGAGTTGTGGAACATAAGATGTCTAATGGGAATTGAGTCAGTTGAGTACATGGTCTAGACTTTAGACCAGACTGGTAAATCCAAAACATAGTTACATCACTCAAAACTAATCCAGACTAAGAATTTGATCTGGTTTGAATTCAAATTTTAATCTTGAGGAGTTTGAGTAGTTCTATCTCCTATCGACTCCTCAACTACAACCATCACTCATTTCAAATCATTCAAAAAATTCACAACAAATCAATCAGCACTTCCAAAAGTTTCCACACCTTGACATGTGTTCATTAAGTCATTTAATTTTATTATTCCTTTCCTTTTTTTCACAAAAATTCACTTCATTCAATTTTAAAACATTTTTCATCGTTCCTCTTCTTCCCATATGCAGTTGCTATACGAGCATGCAAATGCCAACATCACACATACGGCAGTAAGTAAGAAGAAAAAAAAATTAACTCTTTGAAGAGGAAAATTTTAATTTAAATTGAGTAGAAAAACTTAAAATAATTTATGCAATTTTCATACTTTGTGTCTGTTTTTATTGTTCGGCATGATGTGTTGAGCAAGCCGTGTAAATGAAAACTAAATTAAAGGAAAAACTTCAAAGACACTCCGCTGTCTCAATGTGTCGCGAGGAATTAAATAAAATGTGAAGATTCTTCTTGTTTCTGTTTTTTTTTTCACTACTCGACAAAATTTATTTTATTTTTTTTCCGTTCTTAAAACAAACTAAAAAGACGATCTTTTTATGAACGAGATGACGCTTGATAATCCCATAACACTGTTCACTTGTCGAATTTAATTTCACTAATGCACAAGCTTTCTTGCTCTGTTTCTGTTTCCTATACACTATGTCGCTTCTTCGCGGGCGATATTCTATGAGAATAAAAAATCAAATTGACGAGAAGGAAAAAAATTTCATCTCCGAGAGATTTTTGAACGTAATTTTAAATTGGGCGGAAATGTTATGTACGCACTTTGGGTGTTTGTCTGTCTTGTAGTTTAGCTGCTATTCAAGCTTGAATTCTAACTTTCAAAAGATTAGAAATGAATGAAAGCTTTTACTCATTACACTCCAACCCGCACCCTCGCTCTTATTGGACATTACATTTTTTGTTAAAGTGACCAATTGACATGCAAGATACGAATAGATCAAATGCGATTAGTAAGAGGTAGATTAGGGTTGGAGTAGGGTCAAATTTTGGGGACCTTTTATTTTATTTTATCCTTAATCTTAAGAAATAAGATGTCAGTTCCTTCCAGTTCAAAATGCGCATCCATCACCATCCAGTAATCACAACTCTACTAGTCTCTTTTCTATTTTGAAAGAAACCAATGAAGTGTGTGTACACCAAGATGTATAGTAGTTTCTTCCGAATCGTTTAAGCAACAAACTTTATTTTTCAAGCTGAGAAGCTAGAAAAAAAAATTCACATAAAAAAGATGATTGAATGAGAAGCAAAGTCGTTTCGCTCAATTCAGCTTCAACTTCTCATCTTCCGTTTGCTGTTTTTCATTCGCTTTCGATGTCGATTGAAATGAAAGGAAAAATGTGATCGCTAAAGAATAAAAAGAAACTTTATTGAGATTGAGGGAAAAATTAAATTGAAATATTTCTTTCTGGCGCATTTTTTGCTGTTCGATGCTTTTATAGAATATTGATGGATTCTGGTTTTTCTTCTTGCTTTGAATTCACTTCGAGAATTTTTCTTTAGATTTTGCTGAAATTGGGATTTTCTTTTGAATGCATTTTTCGATAGATTGAATGAACAGATTTTTAACTATTATTATTTAAAGTTATTGTTCAATAAAGGTTTTTATAAATTCTAGAACTAGAAGTTTACAAAACATGGTTTTGATTTGTTTGATTGTGTACTTCGAAAGTTGTATTAGGAAAGTTTAAGCATACAACTAAACTCCTTTATCTTCATCTTGAACTGAAAGTCCCCTAGCAGATCAAAAAACCTAAAAAATCTAAACGAACCCGAGCGGCACACTGGTCAATTAAGAAGTCAAAATGAATTTTTCATTTAAATAGACTCAAGTAATATCATCACACATTTATAAATTTAGGTCAATAGAACTTCATTCAATATTCGATTATTAATAAATTTTCATATAAAAACGTTACTACAAAAAGGTATATTCTCAAGCACGTAATAAATGCATTAAGTCATAAAATTGAACCCTTGCACTTAATACCAAAAAACCAAGAGAACAAATTTGGTTCACAAAATCTGACTGACAGTCCTTCACATTTCAAAAGATTCTATTTCCTTCTGAAATTATTAAATGTTCCACAAATCTTTGCGTCTAATCTCCTCAAATAATATTTATCATGCAAAAACTCTTAACTTTTGCCATTTCTGACAGTCTATGTCTCTGTGCATATGGATAAGATTGAAATAGATCTTTTTATTGCTTTCCTGTGGCTATTAAATGAGCGTCATTAAATATGTGCTATATAACATTTGCTAAGGTCATCGTCACGTCTTAATATTTTTTTCATCTCATTCTCAATAAATTTTTCTGTTCTTCTTGTTCTAGTTTTGTCGATAGTAAAAAAGTGGATTAGGGATAAAATTTATATTTCTATTGATAGATGTGGACGAGACTAGAGATAAATGGGTTTGTAGGAAGGTTGCTTCTTGTGGAAGTTTTGAAAGTAAAGGTGTAAGGGGAAGAGGAGGGGGAGGCACTTTGATTCTGGTAGGAAAGGTGCGACTTTTTTCAAATTTTGAAGTTCTTTTATCGATTCCATTTCATAGTTTTAGGTATAAAAGTAAGTTACCTTGTATAGCTCCAGAAACTGGCCTCTAGACTCAAATGGTACAACAATGATCTTTTGATGCCCAAGTCCACGGCTTCGCTTTATTAAGCAATACCAATCACAAACTCTAAGATAATCATACCAACAAAACAAAAGGTCGCCTTATCCCCAAAAAGTCTATATAAAATAATAAAATGATAGACATTCCACATAACATTAAATTTTCAACTATAATCAACCAAAACATAAAAATTTTCCGCACTATAACTTTTCAATCAAACTCGAACGGTGCCATCGGTATATATAGACATATATGTATAAATATAGACAGAATAGATGGATGAATAAGAAAAAGAAAATGATGATGATTATTGTGAGTAAGAAGCAGCCGTCGTCGATAGAAGGAAATATGAAATAAAGAAAAAAACGTGAGCAATCGTTTTCCATCTTTAATGATGTGAAATGTAAATAATAGAAGAGGAAAAATTAAATAAGTAGGAAGGGAAAAATTGCGAACAGAAAATAAAAATCGTCTGACATTTTTTTAACTTCAGCACAGAGAATGGAATTTTATTCATATACGATAAGTCTGTATATATGTGAATTTACATTAGTTTTAAATATTTAAAGAGGAAAAATAATATTTATGAAAAAATATGAGAAGAGTAGGAGTTGTGCGGTAATAAAATGTAACATGAGAACTTGATGTGATCTGCTGAAATTGAAGAGTGTGCTTGACATTAGGTTTTGTGTTGATAGCGGCTTATTCTTGTGTACAGTTGAGGTTTGGACAAAAAAAGAGAGAATCTGACAGATTTTATTAAATGGATATGATTTACAACTTTTGGTGGTTTTTATAGTTTTTTTTTGTGCATTTTGATATTATTTGATGAAGATTTGATACAAATTTTGTCTGATTACAGTCTTGTTGAAGAACGATCAAATCAGCGAATACAGTAAAGAATGATAAGCGAGTAAACATTTCAATGGCTTCAGGTTGATGCTTCAGGCACCCAGTATTATCGTTTTATGAATCCTAAAGTGAGGAAAATCATGAACTTCAGGATTTTATCTTGCATTTGGAGCTCCCTCCTACCTAGAATATATGACTCTTAATGTTAGCTCATGCAGACTCTAGTCGGAATGTCATTAATGCAGTCATTTTGATTCCAGTGCAAGATTCAAGTTCCTAGTTGTGTTCTGTTCTCGTTTTATCAAAAGACTAATTTTTCAAGAAACTTCACGCATTCCTAATTCTTCTTGTGATTTTATGCGAGGCACAACTTATAATTCTCATTTTAAATTTTTCTGACCTAGGCAAACAGTCAAGCACTCAAAACAAAAGGTATTAATAGACATTTTCTTTGCGTTCTTTCCCAACTAGATTTTCCTTTTTCTGCAAAAATCTATTGTCAACATCCAATCATCTCAACATACGTCAACTTGACAAAATCAATTCAATACATAACTTTTGTATGCGTCACAGTCGATGGCTTAAATTCATGATTGAACTTTCAGCATGCATAAATAAGCTACATGATCATTTTCTCATAAATTTTCCTCTATTTTAACACAAACCTATTAAATCATATGCTAAGTCCGATGAAATCATCCCAAACTACTTAATCATCAATTAACAATTTTTTTAAATGACTTTCTTTCAAAAACTTTCATTTCTAATTTACCTCAATATTTCATTTTTTACATGCTGAAAAATGAGCGAAGAAAAATTGAGAACAAAATATGAGAAAATTTAACCGTGACCCTTGTCATAGAGCCAAGAAAATGAAGAAGAAGCCACGTGAATATTTTAAATTTGTGAGACAATTTATTAACAATTAGTCGGTGAAAGAAAAAAGTCTATTTATGTTGTCTACATGCTGATTACAATGACATGTTTATCTGAAAATCATTTACGCTTTTGTCATTTTGATCAAAATCTGCGCTTTTGACTATATTGTGCTGCTTATTTTATCAATTTTGGGGGAAAAAATGCTTTGTTTGTGTAAAAATGGCTGCATTTGAATGTTAGTCTCAAAGGTTTCATAAGCTTGTTATTATAAATGAGATGGAAAAAATGCTTGAAATTGAGAAATAAACGACGCATTTCTGAGGATATAAATTATCCATAAATAAATGATTTTTTTTTACTTTGAAGATTTAATTTATTTTCAAGGTTAATTTCTGGATGATTGATTTCCTTTACAGAGATGTCGAATGAATAGGATTTAAAATTTTAAATTTTAACCTTACTAGAATCAGCATTCGCAAATTAAAATCTTGAAAGATTGGTCCAATAAACATTCTCTTTTTTTTCAAATCTCATCATTATGATCTTTTGCATTTGGTTATGTACCAGACACTGTGAAAGTTAATCTGTTGAACTGAATCTGATCCCAAAAGCCTGTAGCATCTTTGATTCTTGTGATTCTCGTTCATTTCGGCATGCTAATTTTTCAATTCCAATTTATTAACCACAAAAAATCAATCAAAGTTTTGAAATAAAAAATTAGCTTTCCACCTACAGTTAAAGATTAATGAGAATATCGACAGACATGTGGACAAATGAGATACTGATATTTCATTTGATCTTCCATTTCAAGTTGGTTTCAAAAAATCTTTAAACAATTTTTTTTGTATCGCAAAGAAGAAAAGAATGAAAATTTTCCGAGAAAAACATTTTTCCCACCTGTTTCGTTTCGTGTATAAACGGCTGAATTGTACAACTGGATACAAGCCAAGAAAATGAAAATTGCATCAACAGAAAAATAAAACGAGAGGAAAATATGAAAATATCATCTCGATAATGATCGTAAAGTAATATTCGTCGTGTTACAGTGAAAACTAAGGAAAACATGAAAATTATACACAAAACAGAAAGAAAACTTTGCAGCACGAAAAGTTTATTTGAGATGAAAAAGTTTTGCTTTTGTTTGCGACTCTGCTTAGTCGCGGAAATAAAAATTTGAAAATTTCATTCGTTATGAGAAACGAATTTTTGAAGTCGTTTAGTGGCTGTGAAATGTATATTGGATGGAAAAACTATGTAAACAAATGTAATTGGGAGATAAAAGGAAAATTTTACAGTAAACAATATCGTTTCGCTGTTTTGGTTTTAATAGTTTTATAGCTTTGTTTTTTAAAATGAAATTGTTTTGGTATTGTAAGCTGAATGTGAAGATTTGGTGGTTTTAAATTGAATTTAAATTAAAATTTAAGATTAGAATACGCAAAGGGTTATTAATGAATTACCGTCAGCTATTCAATAGAATTCGATTCTTTCGTTTAAGATTCAATAAAATCTAAGTCAATTCCAAGGTTTGTAGAATAACAATGAGCTACAGCTTGCAAATTAGGTCACTTTTTAATTTTTAATTTATTTTACCAAACAATTACGAAGTCATTGGATATTTAAATGAATCCTTAAAACCAAGGAAGCTTGAAAGAAGCATAATCAATCGCTTATGACAATATCCTCAATAAAAATCATTAAATTCCAATATCTACAGCACAAACCTACTCATTAATTCCATCAACAATTTAAAATCATCTGTCCTTAATTCAATACGACACATCTCGCCGTGGGGTCAGTAATGAAATTACTTGCTGGATTTAATTATTTAAAACAGTAAAGAAAAAATAAAAATTAATCGAATGTCACCGGCAGCAACAGAAATAAGAGAGAAAAAAATTATTGATAAATGACCAAACAGTTTGGCTTCCTTTTAACTTCTCATTTCGAATTTTTTTTCATGCATAAATTTTCGTTCAATTAATTAATGAATTCGAATAAAATAAATATTGCTTAACTGTTGTTGCAAAAAAATATTTTATTTGTGAGAGTAAATAAATATTATTGTTTATAGGTTGTACGGATGCGAATTTATGTTTGTACATGAAAGAGATGGTGAATGTAGTCACTATTGGGATATGAAAATAAATCAAAAAGTATGAAAAGTTTTACAAAAATTGGTAAAAAATTATGATAAATTTAAAATGCACATGCTGGAGTCGATAGCGGTTGTACGTTGGGGATGCGATAGCGGACACTTTGATGCAGTTTTGTTGATGAATGGACTGAAGTCAGTTTAATATTTTTTATAGGACTTAAACCAGAAGTTGAATGGATTTTCCACATTTTAACCAAAACTGCATCGTAAATTGTGTTACTGTGATGCAGGCTCGTAGCCAGGAGAGATTTGGGTGTCAAATCCCCTTACGTTAACAGAAGTTTCTTCATTTTGCTAGGGTTTTTTTGTTGAAAAAAATCGTAAACCCCCCTCTTCAAATTCATGGCTATGCCCCTGCTGTGATGTTCTGTTTACGGATTGTGGTTTATTGTTAATCAGATGTTACTCTACTGCTTGAAACAACCAATCAAGCTCTAGTTTAACTAATGATCGACTGATTATTAGGTTGATTGTGTAAAAACTGAGTTAATACTAAACTAAGTCAGTTAATTTTGAATCCAATTGCAGCATAACATCATTCAAGATTAAAATTAACTCAACTTACCATCTTTAAATCCATTAAATTCACTTCAAAAATCACAACAGCAATCAAACCTCAGAAAAAAATCTGTCATCAAGCATTCAATCAAAAAACAACTCTCATATAATTGGAAGGACTTACACAATAAATATGCATATAATTTTTTTTATTAATTGGATGGATGTCATTGAATATTACAGAAATTTATTTACATAATGAATAATAATTAATTATAAAGTTTTTTTTAATGCAATAATTTCAATTTGAGAAACAAAAAAAAAGTAGAGTCATATGCGATTTATATGGTTTGTGTAAATGAATAAAATATAATTTTTGTTGTGTGAGTTTGTGTATTTGTGATAAAAATTTTAAATTGTCATTTTAAGGTTCTTTTTTTAAATGTTTAATATTAATGGTAATTGTGCCTCAAACTGTCATTCGATTGCTGTGTCTGATAATATTGAACATTATTATTATCCGATTTATCACGAAGTGAATTGTCCTTTATATTTATATCCAATTTTCCATTTATTGTTGTCTCTGGCTCATTTTCGGGTATTTCAAAATTCTCCTCCGAAAGATTATTTTCTAATGAACGACTTCCATTTTTACTCAACATTAGTGGTGCTCCCATTGTGCTCGGTACTCCTTCTTGCTGTATTTTACCTTAAATAATACAAGACAAACAATAAAAAATTAATATAAATGAGTCGACAGAACAAATAAACATAACGATAATGATGATGATAATGCTTTTAATGTCGATAATGGCATAACGGACTATTTGGAATCGATGAGCTATATTCATGCTTGTTTCAATTGAAACGGATGAAAGAGCATTCGATTGATTCAATCAGGCATTTGATTTATAGATGTTTAATATTTGTTAAGTGTGTTTTAAAGGTTTCATGGCTAATTATGCTTTTTATTGGATGTCCCGAGCTGTCCTTGTGGTTGTAAGACCAACACATGATTTTTTGAAAAATCCAATACTGATCTAAACTGAAATTTTAGCTTTATTTGTTCATTTTGGCATTTTTTTCATCAAAATTCTATTAGGGTACATTTTTGACAATAGAATAGCTAGCTCGGGATTTCAAAATGCTAGCAAATCATGTCGATGAATTCATAATGCATCGTCGGAAAGAATTAAAGCATTCAAATCAAATTGTAAATTCAGCTTGTTGAATAAATGAAACGTTTGTAATTATTGTGTGCATAATTCACACGTATTATATGATTTTCACTTTAGTCCACAATGTTAATTTTAATAACAAATAACGACATTTATAATATAATCAAATCACAGTAAATTGATATTATTGTTTGTGGATCGTTTTGTTTACCTGCTAAATTTAAATTATTGAATGTGAAAAATCTATTTTATGTTGAACATGATAGGACTTATTACGAAACGCGAAAAAACGACTATTTAGAACCCCCTCCCCCCTCGTAACAAAATTTGTATGAAAAAAATTTCTTTTGTTTGAAACGTAACAAAACCTTAGACCCCCCCCTCCCCTCTAAAAGCGTTACTTAATAAGTGAACGGCCCCATATGTTAATGATCCCATAATTAAGCACTGTGCTTTACTAATGTTTTACAAAAACAAAAAAGTTTTCCGAAAACATTTCAAAGCTTTTCAATTAACCATCTTTCTGCAAATCTAATTTCTAGTAACGAAGCATCCAACTTTACTTCCACATCCACAATAAACTTCCTTCTTTGATTAAGCAACATCCCCTGACAAAAAGCTACACAATCAGTTGTTAAAGTTGCTTAAAAGTTTAAACAAATTTACTTTATCTTTCTAGTTCCATTTCCAAAATGAGCAAACAAAGAAAACAAAGCAAATGCATTAGTCAAGTTCATGACACATAACATCCACATTACTTTCATGTTGAAAATTGCAATGAGTTTGTTATTTGAATGTTAAGTTGCTTCAGTTGCTTGTAAGGCTACCAAGCAATCGAGGCAAGAGGGTTTCAAACATTTTGGCATAGTAAAAATAAGAAGGAAGACAGAACCAAAGGCTTTTTCAAATGCTCCGTCCATGTTTTAAAGAATTCCAAAATTGTCTAACATCACATTACATCCAAACAATCCCCACAAAAATGTGCCATTGTAAGGTGAGAAAATCTTTATGTAAGACAATCGTAAGAAAGTCTTCGTTATCCTCTTTTACCTGTAAACGGATCAATGTGCTTCTTACTAGCATCCTTCAATGTATCTATCCTCTTTTGCTCTTGCTCATTCCTCCTTTGCTCTTCTTCAGCTGCACGAAGTGAACTTATGTGACCTGGAATGGGTGTCCGTGTCATATTAATTGAGACTGTCGATGATCCGGAATCTTCTTCCTGTAAAGTTAGAGAAAATAAAAATCTCATCATGACAATTTTCTTTTTTTAATATCAAGCCAACACAAACTTCTTCTTCCTCGGTTATTATAGATGATTGTATCCAGTCCTTTATACGATTCTTCTTTGCAACTCTATCCACTACTGTCTCAACGCCTTGCTGAGTGAATGAATATAGCAATTTATTTTTCTCATCAATATTACTGTGGAAGGAATATAGCGATGGATTAAGTTCGTCTGGTTCGTACTCTGGAAATAAATCAATTATCATTAGAAGCAATAAAATAAAACAAACTTTCTTGCCTTACCAGCCATTTCTTTTTCAGCCGAACGTGCGAGCCACCTTTCATCGAGATATTTGTGAAGCTCATTCAATGACTTTATACGTCTTTCAATTTTAGGCTCGAGAAATTTACGAAACATCTTGCTTGCTTTTGCTGAAATTAATTTGAAAAGTTTTGGTGTTCGTTTGATTGGAAATGATGAGTTGTGCCATTGGATGTATTTGTTATAGCGTGGATCATCCATTGATGCTTTTTGCCAGGGTAAGCAGCCTGGTATGGTGTTTTTTTATGACGATGATATATGAAAAGAGAAAAAGGAAAGAAAATATTTTATTATTATTTTTCTTACTCTCGGTTTTAGTGATAAAATTATTTTTTTCTTGTTCATTCATTCTTTGCTTGCTTTAGACTCTTATTCGTTCATTCATTCCTTATTTCTTTTAGTGTTCCTATTATTACTTCAAAATGTAGAGAGTAGTTTGTGGAATTTTTAATTTTAAGGTTGTTCCAAAGCGCATTTTTAAGATCAGCGCAAGGGTTCCCAACTTTAATACTCGAAATCAATGTGAGGATTCCTAAAATCCAGCCGTAAGGTCGTTAAAACTGGAGATTCATAAACGACTCTTGATCTGACCTAATTCCAAAAAGACAAACCGCTCACCCAATCCTAATCACCTCAAACTTCCCTATCGTATCTCTTAAAAAGGTTTTGAAAAGAGAATCAATTTTATGAGTAAAGTTTTTGCTGTTGTTAGCTGATGTTGGTGTTTGCAAGAAGCTATTTTGGAAAACAGCTTTTGGAGTGATAAAGCTTCCATTTAGAAGGATAAACTTTTCTTTATATTACGTACATATTTATGTCTTTTTGCTTTCTTCTTCCTCACTTTTTTCCCCATTTTCCTTTCCTCCTTTTGTAATATTGCTTTCATTCTTATTAGTTTTCATTCTTCTTGCTCCCCTTTTTGTGTTACTTCCTTTCAAGGCTAAACAGCTTTTCATCTTGAAAATGATGTTCGGGATTTTATTTGGAATTTATGACTTGCTATTTTGAACTACAAGGACGACATAGCGCGTCTAGAAATTTTTTTGTGTCACTTATTCGAGGAGAATAAGGCAAGAATGGGGATTCTTATCTTGAATAAAGGAAAGCAAACAAGGTCAAATCGATTATTCTTTAAGAAGAAAGGAGGATAATGATATTCGATGTTGTAATCACTTCCGCACGAAAGAAGACTTACAGATGTGGATGAATGAATCTTTTGTTGTTAGAAGAGATGCTTTTTAAAGATTTAGGTGGAAAGGATGGTGAATGTTTCTAGCTCAAAAATAACTCACGCTTAATTCAAGCCTCGCTTGCATTCAAGTCCTAGCTTTAATCAAGCTTACCTCTAGCCTTGCTGAAGCCTAGCTCTAGCGCAGCTCAAGCTTAGTTCAAGCCTAGCTCAAGTCCAGCTCTAGCCTAGTTCAAGCCTAGCTCTAGCTTAGCCCAAGCCTAGCTCAAGCCTAGCTCAAGCCTATCTCAAGCTTAGTTCAAGCCTAGCTCAAGCCTAGCTCAAGTCCAGCTATAGCCTAGCTCAAGCTTAGCTCTAGCTTAGTTCAAGCCTAGCTCAAACCTAGCTCAAGTCCAGCTATAGCCTAGCTCAAGCTTAGCTCAAGTCTAGCCCAAGCCTTGCTCAAGCATAACTCAAGCCTAGCTCTAGCCTAGCTCAAGCCTAGCTCTTACCTAGCTCAAGTCTAGCTTAAAACCTAAAGCTGAGAAAAATGTTTCTTAAAAATCTCAAAATTCTCTCTCGTCTGTATTTTGTCTGGGATATTTCCATCAATCCTCTATATTTAACCCTGTCATCTTCCTCTTATTCTTTATGACATTCCCTCCCATGTCTCACTTTGAATTTATTTTATCAACATCAAGAAACATATGGTCCCTCAAATGGCTACACAAACATCTCAACAAAGAAATTCTCTCATACAACACAAAAGTGACAAATCACATTCCTTCTTCATTTTAGGCAAATTATTATGACACTTTTATTTTCGATCTTCAAATTTTCACAAAATTTACGGGTTTTCGTTTTGTTGCTGTTTTCGTCTGAATGGAATTTCTGTGAACTTAATAAAAGGCACATTTTGTTTGCCATTTCATAAATATGGCTATGGATGACAAAATATTTCATTCTCACACCCGAGATTATGTGGAAAAAGTTTTTAGGTTCGAATCTATTTATCATTTAACATGACTTAGGGGTATAGAAAGTTATGTAAAGGGGTTGATGATTCTATTTATGAGGGGATTGATGACGATTAGATGAGTTTTTGGAGTTGGAGTGGTTGTGGCGCATTTTTGTTGATCAATAGAAGTGAGTGACACTATTTGGATTTTTAAGGAGTGCATAAAGAAACCCGGGCGATGAATGCTCTTACTTTTAGTCTCAGTTCCAAAATAAAACCTCTGAAGTCATCCCACCTAGTATAAATCCACAAATATTTCATTATACAACCATAATCAAATCACAACTCAATCAGCAAATCAACCCTTCATTTACTCAACCAGAACTTCTTCCAAGTAAAAGCTCATCCAAAATTCCAGATAAGCTTCATTACAACAATACAAAATCATACCATCAAGAATTGGATTTACCAGAAAACCATAAAGAAAAAAAGTTTTTCGTTCACTTCCAAGAAGATACATAAAAGGAGATGAAAAAAGTTTATTGCACTTACCGGTCAAACAAATGAAAATAACAATACCAAATTGCCATATATCATGAGTAAAGTCAGTCCTAAAAAGCAAGAAAAGAAAAAATGAGAAACAAAAAGTGAGAAAAAAGTTTTAATGCAATGCATTAGTAGCACAATCATTTGCCATTTTCATTATGATGAGTGTTGTTTTATTTTGTGGGTTTTGGAATAAAAGAATCTAAAAGTTTTTGAAGAGTTGTATTGGGGATTGAAGTTCTTTTAATATTCATAGAAATAATGCTGTGAGACACAAATGTGTACTCTTGTAAATTTTTGAATAAATGGATATTTTTGGGGGGATTACAAGTTTTAGATGGACTAGATCCTTTGGGAAATTTCATCTGAATTGTAGATTTGGAATGGGTCATAAGTCAAATGGAGTCTGTGACACTTTAAACCAGTTTTTCTTAAGCTTTCAAGCCATGAAACAGTTAATTCTTGTTTATGGCCAGGAAGTATAACAATTCAATGTTTTTAAGAACTCATTGACATCGACTCCTCGACTGATTCTCAAGATTTAGATCTCTTTTTCAAACCAGAGAGTGAAATTGGCCTAAGTCAACTATTCAAGGCATGCTTTTAACTCAATACCCCCACTACCTAACCCCTTACCAAATACTCACTTATAAGTGTCATCAGTTTCTGTATTAATAATTTCAGGTGCTGTATACGGAAGCCATTCATTTCTCCGTTGTACCATCGTATTCACTCGTCTCGATTCACCAAAATCACATAATTTAACGCGTGAGAAATCCGATCGAAATACCAATACATTGTCCAGCTTTACATCTCGATGTACAATTTCTCTATGTTGGACGAAAGGATAGAAAAAAGTTATATTTATTGTTAGCCATAGCCATCCATTTATCGATTTTCATTCATTCGGTACTTACTTTAAATGCATATATTCGAGTGCAGCTGCAATTTGCCTTGCAACGCGTTTTGAATGGAGCTCACCAATGCCATTATCAGATACATTTGATGTTAAATCTCCTACATTATGTATACAATTTTTTAAATAACGCAACAGCAGTATCCATGAGCATTAGGATTATGAAACGAGCAATAGAGAGAATAACAGAAAATGAATTTTTCGGAGCTGAATGAGTTTGGGATGGATGATAATAGAGAGGCTTTTTTGGCGCATTTTTAAATGTCAATATGGTTTGTGGCTGATGGTTGGATAACTAAGAGTTCGATTCAACAGAATCAGAGTCAATGTTCCTGTTTTTAGAACAATTAATAAGAATAACAGCCATGTCATTCAGTGATCAGCTTTATTAAGTTCTTGAGTGTAAATTTCAGTACATAGAACTATTTAAGGTTTTCTCCAGTGTCACTGAATGTTTATGAACGATAAATAGCAATAAACAGCAAGTCCTTTCTATGCCTGAATGGCAGGGACACTAAAATGATTAGCAAACAACTTCTAAAGCAGGCAATGGTTCGAATCTCCATCAAAATCAAAAGATTATAGTTTCAAACTTGAACACAAACTTATTTAAGTCTTTCTCTGTCATTCCGACACAGAATCACCACTTAACCTTCTCCCTCAGCATTAAATGCTCTCGGAAATCTCCTCAACTCGGTTTTCATTACAGATTTGTGGTTGAGCTTTTCTTATCAAGAAAAAAGTTTTGTTCTTCTCTCTCGTTCCATCCAAATGTAAAGCTACATATATATTACCTAGAGGCGCATACTCCTGTGTAAAAACATAAAATCCAGATGTCTCAAAGGCCACATCGTAGGTTGAAACGATATTTTTATGAGAGCCCAAACACAATCCTAAATGAAATTCTCGATAAAAATCCTGAACGGACACATAAGGCTTCGGCAATGCTGTGTATAATAATAAAAGCATTAGTAAATTTATTTTTATGAGAAGTGCAAAATACCTGCATGTGTTGGTGTTTATTTGGGATTTAATGCTTATCTTGAAAATAAGATAAGCATCATCAACAATATGCAATCGTGTTCTTTACGTAAGAATTACCTTTAAGCACCATTTCTGTGTCAGTGGCACGATGTTCAACTAAAAGAATTTTACCAAACCATCCTTCACCAACAATTTGCAGTATGTCAAACTCGTCCATTAAATGTACCTGCGGTAAATATAGAAAATAGAAAATGTACTTTATGCTGTAATCAAGACAATTCATTGTTCTGAGAACGAATGACAAATTGTGTTGGAATTTAAGCGACAGAATTCAATTGAAAGGTTACGACTATTTTTATCAATTTGCTCGAAGCGTCTTTATCATGTTGCTTAATTTAGAATATTTGATTGCGAGGTAAGAATTGCTCTGCTATAAAATAAAATTCAATTGATGGAGATGAACATGGCCTTGGAAACCTTCATTATCATTATTCGGTTCACAAAATTACACCAACAATTTTGATTCGATCTGTTTTAAGATTCTTTTGTGATTTTCTTCATTTTCGGATTCTTTGAAATGTTGTATTTAATGACTTTAAAGGATTCTTGTGGATAATGTTTTCTTCGTCAATTCTATCGATAAGACACATGATTTTGAATAGCTTAGGGCAAAGGAGGAGGAAGGGGGTCTCTGGTGTTCATTAAGATTCGTCCCACACGTAAAAAAATTATGCAGAATAGCAAAATAAAGTTGTCGTCTTTTTGCAAATTTGAATTTAGAGCGTAACTTCTGGCTTTGAAAACGAGAGGGAAAAGAGAAATAAAGAAAAATTGCGTTCCACACAAGAGGCAAAAAAATCCTACAGTCATAAATTCGAATTTGTTTTATTCATGTTTATATGAATGTTGAAAATGAAATTTATTCAAATTTTTTTGATAATTTTTAATGCAAACAATTTTATATATTTTAAAATAAAATGAAAGAATGAGATTCATTGTTGCAGCTTGATATGATATTGTGGAATATGAAATTTAATTAAAATTAAAAATTTATAAAGCTTCCATCGATTTTTCAAGCTTCTTAAAAACTTTTCAATCCTTTTCAACATTTAATGTATCGATTTCACTTCTTTGGATTCAGACATGAAATTTTTATTTCTTTAACTTCTCAGAAGGATATTTTATCGAATAATAAACTTTAATCTCAGACTGAAAGTCCTTCAACGTAACTAAAGAATTTCGTTTCATAGCAATGCTATTGAAGCAATAACTAGCAACAATATAAATATTTTGTTCCATTTTCATTAATTTTTCCATGAAATGAACTTGAGGATGCAAATTGATCCATAGAAACAGGATAGACAGAATTAGAGCTGGGATATATGCTTCTAAAATAAAGAGAGTTTGAATTCGAGCTAAATCAGATCTACATGAGTCAAAGCATGTTCAATCTGCATCCAATAATCCTTAATTTTTATCCTAACCTGCATTCTGATCTCTCTTCATCCTAAAATCATTCCAAATCTACAAAAATCCCTCTAAGACCACCCCAACAAGTTTCTATAGACCATCATGAATGAACATTGTCGCCAGCAGTAAAAATTAATTAGGTAAGCTTTATTAAAAAATAATTGATTCTCATAATGTCCTTTTCATATGCTTTTATTTGATACTCCAAATGAATGGTTTCTAGGAAACAATTATAATAATTTCAAGGAAATTAAGCTTGAATATGAAAGCCATAAGAGCAAGTCAAGTTGTTCAGTCGACTGTTAACCTTGAACTTTATTGAGAAGAGAAATTAAGAATCTATTTGATTCGAGCAAACAGTTGCTAGATTTGATAATGAAAAGAAGAAGTTGGAGGAACTGAGATTGTTGGAGAGGAAAATTCGCATGAAAAACGAACAATAAATGAGAACAGAAGTGCTGTTTTTGATTGTAGCTACTGTTTATTAGGCACTTGATAGGATGAAGGGAATCATGAATCATCATCATTAAAAATGGACAATCAGACAAGAAATTCATTCCTAAACTTTAAGAAACTTTTATAACTCTAATATTGAATATTCTCGATTATTCTGGAACCAAACTTAAAATCGAGTTCCCACCAATATCCATAAAAATCAACAATTAATCCAGCACTCACCTTCTCTAACTCAAATTCACGTATTTTGTGGACATGTAGATTTGATCGTCTCGAACCTGATGATTCACTTCTCGACGATGAAGATGAATGACTTGATGACGCCATCACTACTTGCTCCTTATTCTTATTCCTAATATGATTATGTTTATACCGTTATTTTATTGTTGTCTATTCCTTAAGAGGTTTTGCCAGTTCTGTCTTTTATTTATTGTCAATATTGTTGATTTTTTTATTCCTTCCGAGAATTGTTTTGATTTTTCTATTGCTACTGTAGCTATGAACATCTACAGATTGCTCCGCTTTGATGCTAGAAACGTTTGATCAATGACCACATTTTTTTATTCTACGGACAAAAAAAGAAGGAAAATAAAATAAAAAAAAGATAAAAATTTTCTATCAAAATGAATTGCTTAGAAGAAGACATCGCAAACATGAAATACATGGAAATAAGTAAGGATGTCACAATAGGAGATGACAGGAAAATAGAGGAAGAAAAGTTTTTCGATTAAATTTAATGGGATTAAGATTTGTTTAAGAATTTTATTTTTGTTTGGAATGTGTTTATAAGAACATAGACAACGGAGGGATGCCTGACAACAGTTTAAGTGTTATGTCTTTTGAAAAGATTAAGATTCCCTTCTGTGGAGTCTGGGGTTGTGGTAGCTTAAGTAAAAGTAGCTAGTATGGGGGGGGGGGGGAATTGGGGGACGCACCCTCCGACGTTAGCAGAAATTTCTTCATTTTCTAGGAGCTTTATTAAAAATCATAAAAATCCCCCAATTCCCTTTGAATTTTCCAAATAAAATTTTTTTGTCCCCCCCTCTTCAAATTCCTGGCTACACCTCTGGTAGCCCAGACCGAATGTAAAAGAGTCCCCAATCGGAAATGTGTAGTGCCTGTGTGAAGATGTAGATTTAAATACTAGCTGATAGACTGTTAATTTTTGTCATATATCGATCATGACTCTGGAGGCTCAACAGTGCACATTTTTCTAAGGTATACATAGTAACTGCCCCGAGATGTCACCAAGAACTGAATTCTAGGGTTAAAACTATAAAATTCTCAACATAAAGCCCCGAAATCCTCGCTAACACACATTAAATTTGATTTTTATCAGCCAGACTATTGCTAAACTACTTCTTGTATTGAAATAATTCAAATCAAACAAAATTTATGTGACATTATGTGAATGACTGCTCTACTTGAATATCAAACGCAATAGAATAATTTTTTGGCACAATATTTGCTCAATATATTTATTTTCTAGTTGTGTTTATGCATGCCAATACATCACGTCACTTCTTCTTGTTTACTCTTTTTTTTATTTTGAGAAAATTTTTTGCTCATTGTTTGTGTTATAAAATTGGAAGTAAAAAAAAATCGTCTCAAGTGTCATTACGTCTACTAATTTTTAATGACGAAGGATGAACATAAAAATTCATTTGAATGAGATCATAAAAGATTTAAAATAATGTCGTCATGACACAATAAACTAATTTTTCCATCGTAGGGACATTCTCTCATTCTCTCAGCATTTATATCGTGTCAGACAGCAAAAAATAATAGAGAAGTAAATTTAGTGTAGATGTGATGAAATGAAAAATTGGTCATAAACACGAATCATCATGAATCATTGTTGGGAATTATAGCTTGAATGGTTCTTTTTTTTCCTCACTGATAATCCTTTTTGGGTGAATGAGATATGTATAAATTTTTTATTTGAGGGGATTAGATGCAGGGCTGGGGAGTGGCGTGAAAATTATGAATGGAATCTCAAAAGCAGGTGAGTTGTGATTGTGGATTTTTTTTAAGTACATGACTAGGTTTTTCTTCGTGGAAATTTGAATTTTATATTAAAGAATCACGAAAGCAGCTGAAAAACTCACTAAAATTGCTTTTCAAAATTTATTGATTTTTACATGCTTTTTATTGAGTTGCTCTGTTGGTTGATTGGTCAAGTTCAAATCTTGCAATCGATTTTTTGACCAATTCTCCTGCTCCAATCGACCTCAAATTTTTTATACACTCGTATTCCCGGTGACAATACAATATTTTAACCCTTTGGAATCACAAAAATGTTTAATTATAGTATAATTTAAGTAAACCTTTTTTATGTGGGAGAAAAATCCAATGTCAATGACATAAGCGTGGGGCGTAATTTAAGGATGAATTTCTTAGTTCAGCTATGTTCTTAAGTAAGAGAAACGTCAAATCTCAAAGCCCCACGCTTTTAGAGTCATTGTGTTCTTGGATTTAATCACAATATTTTGAAAAAAATTTATGTTACATTTCTAGTTGTCACAAGAAAATTTTAAAATCCTGATTCGCTAAAAGTGTGATCTTATTTTATTTTCAACTTTTTGGTTTTTAGTCTTTTTGATAAAAGCGTGTTTTTTAAAAAGTTTTTTTTAACGTTTTTTTTTGGATTGAGTAATCAGAATTTAGGTACAAATAGGAAAAGCTATACTATATAAAAATGAATTTCATTGACTTAATTTAGACATTTTAAGAACTTAATTAATTGAAAAATAGAAGAAATTATGCAAAAATCTGTTAAATTGTCAGCAACTAGCAATTAACAGTTGACTTAAATTTAACTTAAATTTTATTAAACCCAAGGGTGTGGTACTAATGAAATGATCAAAATTGCTCAAAAAATTATCAAAAATGATCAAAAATGATCAGTAATGTTCAAAAATGATCGAAAAAAATCAAAAATGTTCAAAAATGATCTAAATGTAATTTATCAGTTCCGCACCCTTGATTAAAACTATCAAAAGTCCCTTTCCTATTCGACATCCCTGAATAATTCACAATACAAAGACCGATAGTTCAAACTTTTCAGTTTATGATTTTCATTTGTAATTATTCTTTATGGGGAACAATAAAGAATTTCATATTAATGGATAATGTGTCACATAGTAACAGAATCATAAAAGTTTTATTCATTTGAGACTTGAATCCTAATAAAACATGATATTTTATGCTAGTTTGTATTATTATGAAAACTTTTCTCTTGTTTTATTGGAAATGAAAATTTTAATTTGCAACAAAACATGAGAAAGCTTTAGGGGTTAATGGAGTGTTTTGTATTTTCCCGAAAAGCAAAATAACGAAAAACAATTTTTACGAATTTTCAAATTTACGAATGTTCATTTTTACGAAAATTTTTATGGTAAAAACTTATAGGATATAATTTGAATCTCAAAAAACCGTTGGTTAAATCAAACATTAAAAGACAATTTGAGACAATTAACATTAATTTCATCATTTAAATGCGAATAGATATGATATAATAATTATTAAAAGATGAAGGATTAAAAGAAGTGAAAAAAAGATTTGCATTTATCAGCATTTATTTAAATGTGAAATATTTTTTCTATAAAAATTTTATTTTGCTATAAAATTTTCTCATAGAATTACCCATAAAACAAGAAAAAATATTACACATTTAAATAAATGCAAATCTTTTTGTAGTTCTATTAATCCTTCATCTTTTCATAAGTATTATATCATATCTATTCGCATTTAAATTATGAAATTAATGTTTGATTTAACCAACGGTTTTTTGAGATTCAAATTATATCCTATAAGTTTTTACCATAAAATTTTTCGTAAAAATGAACATTCGTAAATTTGTAATTCGTAATAACGGTTATTCGTTATTTTGCTTTTCGGGAAAATACAAAACACTCGGGTTAATGGAATTATTGTTAATTGAGAATTTTATGAAGGCTAAAGGGTATTTGGATTATAATGAACATTTCAAGTATCCCCTCGAATAAACCACAATATATCACTTCAAAGTCTAATCGAACATCAAAGTCGATTCCGAGACATTCAGTCATCATCATTATTTCACAATCAAATCATTTTCATTCACATCAACATCTCGTTCACAAAAAAATGAGTATTTGACAACTGCCATACTTCCAAAATGACAACAAATTCGACATAAACTTCCTAGCCTCATTTTTTCATTGCTTTTGAGAGCTAGAAAAAAATAATGTTTACGATTCATTAAATTACAAAATTTCCAAATATTTACTCAATCGTATGAGAGCAGTTCTTCTTTACCTAATTTTATTTCCTATGTACTCATTCGGAAATAGCAAAATAAAAAGTAATTAATTAAAATTCTTCTTTTACTATCCTTCTCTCTTCTCTAGTCAAAGCAAACATGATGTTAAATGTAAACGTATGTTTGATGATTCATGCTGCTACTTAATATTTGAATGTGAATCACATTGTTTGAACGAGTCATAAGGTATAATTATAGGTTCATGTTCTTAGAATCATTTTGTCAGATATCTACATCGTGGGAAAATTGCGTGAGTGTTGATGGTTTAGATATGATTAGTTCCTAGTGATTTAGTCAGTTAAATTGATGTTGGCAGATGTTTTTGAATGAAACCTTAAGGTGATAAATCAGATGAATGCGAGTCTACCACTTAACATACACTAAAATCAAAAGTTGTTGATAGCAGTCAATGGTACCAAATTTGACTGTGACTAGAGTAAGCTAGCCTAAGAAACTGGTCTCCTTAAATCATTCCTTAAATCAATTGATTAATTTTAAAGTCCTCTAAATTAAAAAAACACTGCCTTTAACAAAGAACTGCGTATTTGCTGCCTCATTTTCAATACGTGTCACAAAATACTAATATATAACTTCAAAACTAGAGTCAGAAGCAATTTACAGCTAGCAAAAATTAACAAAAGTCAAATTTATGAAAATGCTTGCGCAAAATTGCCGAGTCCAGCTTCTATGCTCTCATAATCAACTCTATGTGACTATAAAATAGCCTCGTTTATAATCTATCACGATTAATTCAATATGCTATATCACATGTCCACCGCCAACGCTGATTCATGACTTTCAAGAAGCTTGAAGAGCGAATGATTCAAAAAATCTGGCGAAATATTTCCAAGAACTGTTGTTATCATAAAATACGTGACTATTAGTGCTCATACAATATCAAAATCAATATTTACAGAGAAATAACAAAGTGGATATGCGTAGTTATAGCAATCATTTGGAATCAAATAACCAAATCAGATCCCAATTCCACTCGTATTTCCATCATTTCATAATATATCATGCGAATCGAGTTTCTTCGTTTGATGATTTAGAGGCGAAATAAAATTTTTGTTTTATTCCAAAAATACAAAAAGCGAGAAGAAAATGAGATGCGGCAGTGCTTAATGTCTTACATGCGATGATGGTGTTGATATAAATAAAACAAATTGAAGTGTGCTAAAATTAAATTTATACAATTAATAAACAATTTTTTATGGCCCCATTTTATATCCATGCATCATTTATTACTTCATTTAAATGTC